CGGCGTGCATAATAATTATCAGGACTGGAGATATTCAGCAAAGTACTTACACATCGAAATCCTGGAACACTGGTCGTGGCAAGAGATTGCGATGAGACACCTGTTCTCTCATGCGAACCAGGGCCTCCTCGGCAATGCTTATCCACTTGTCCTCGGCTCTCTTCTCCACGTGATTGTCTCGCGCTGCAAACGTTGCACTCTGGGTGCGTCTACCGGCCGGCTTACGGGTCACTGTGAGAGACTCCTCTGGCGGCATGATGAACTGGTTCTCTGGAGCAACGCTCGCTGTCGGGTTTTGGAGGAGATCACTTCGTGTGAACACTGCAATTTAAAAGGTAGACGTGCACATATGAACACGCACACAAGCAGTCGAGTAGAGGGAAATGGAAAGATTGAAGTGATTACAGCAATGCAAGGCATCTATAGTAACTCAATGCCTGTCCATCATCACCACCTATACTCATTCTGAAGGAGAGAGTATTACGTCGGGTGTCTGGAACACAGAAAGAGTATGACTGAGGATCTGACAAATAGTAGATACATGCATGGTGTGGTAACTTAGACTTGAGTCAACCAGCCAAGTACTACACAGTCTTGTACAGTTCTAGTTTGATCATGTCACAGTGTGTCTTCAAGGTTACCTTCATCAATGTCATGCTGGAACCTCTTCCAGAGGACACACTTGCGGTCTGTGCGCGATTTGTCAGCGTATGCTGCACAAAGTACATCAGCTTCAGCTACCAGCAGAGGCCTCATGCCAATGGAGTCCAGACACTAAACAGAAGAAACGACATCACAAACATGCTAAGATGATGTCATTCAGAATCAAAGATGTCATAAAGAAGCAGGCATAATGTACTGTACGACACTACATGTGCAAGGGAGGTCTAAATGGAGCACTTCAAAACCATAATAAGGCACAAGGTCGTTACTTGCCACAACTATCTGCAATGTTTACCATAATTATCGGCAGCATATTCAGACAAAATCTCAAGAATATTCTTTAATTTAATCCACTATGTATAGATGCCAGAAGGCCTTAGAGGACCCTGACTTTGCCCTTAGATTGGCAATGCGATGAATAGCCACTATCTGAGATAAAAGCATAACTATGCTTGCAACGTACCCGCTTGAACTGCTCGCATGTCATTGTTCCTGAGCGTTTTGGGTCAAAATCCTCAAAGTGCTCGGTAACCTGTGTTGGAAAATTACAGAAACCAAAATTAATGAATGTTGGCTGTAGGTTGAGAGGTCAACACGAGCTGTTCCACAACGATGGGAAACACCTCCTGAGAAGAAAGACATGCACAGCTAATGAAGCTGATGTCGCCATTGCTATCCACAATCTCTACACAAAACTAACATGTCATGTCTCAGTACATGGTATGCAATCCAGGCAGCAACACTGAACTTTCAATGGATCCTGCCCCAAAGTAACCATGGCAACTTGCAGCATAGTGCATAGGTCATCAGAGTACAATAGGACTCGTGGCGGATCAGAGCAAGGTGGGATGGAAACGTATCTTGAAGTGTGTTCTGCATGGGTTAAATGCACCAAGTGAAAACACCTCTTTCAAGTCAACGGGTCTTGATCCGTTGACGTGGCATCCAGGTACATGTATTATTATTACGCAATCCATCTTACTAACCCGCACTTGGTTGCGCAGCACATGATCTTTGAGCCGTGCCATTATTTCCTCAAAGCTACGAGCGGCTGGTGACCTATACGGTGTGCCGCGTGTGGACCAGTGCGCTGTGCTGGGCGGCTTGGGTGGGAACAGATCAACTGTGCGGTCACCACCGACGTGAGCCACGTAGCCTACATGTATTGAACCGCACAGAATGGATACCGGTACTCATCGATAGTTACACCATCTCTCCGTGCACACACAACACAATACCAATTGTCCGTGCAGAATGCAGTGCCAAGTGTACACGTGGACTTCAGAACCGTATTACTTGTAATGCAGTACATCGTGATACAATAGTTTTGCTACACACTCGTACAAGGCATAACAGCAGAATGTAATCTGCCATCCAGCAACTATTCCTGCAAGTACTTCTACATGTACGTGTACTTGGTATGTCCTTTTTAAGTCTGATAGTGACACGCCTAGTGCATACACCTACAGTACAAGTGTTCATAATACGACTCGTACTTCAGCAGACAAAATTTTATAGAAGCCAACGACCGCAACACACGCACACCTGGATTTTGCCATATCCGACGCTTGGTATACGTAACAGGGGCAGATGCAACTCGATCACGGCGGCGTGCCAACATGGTGCTCAGTTTGTTAAAAAAAACTACAGGACTGTGTATACGCTCAACGCACTGATCTACACTAGGGGTGGCCTTCACCTGCCAGCCAGCACTCAACAATTACTGAACCAAGCCGTTTGCAAACAGCTTCAACTCATCACCAGTAACAAAGGAGTCACTGAACAGGCACCGCGCATTCAAATCCCTCCAGGTACTAGGGGATACAACTAGCCCTCTTCAGTGGCGAGGGTCTTACCAACCTGCACTGCTACATGTATGTGTGCTAAAGTCTCACAATCTCACAATCTGATAGGACTGGGTTGTGTTCGTTTGTCAGGTACAATGTGCAATGTACACGTGCACTCCATCAAGCAAGTTAGAAGGTGTGCAAGTGTGACTATGTAGATTACTTGTCACTCCACTCATGGCTAGTCATGGACTATGCCCGCACCTCGCTAGAGTGCTAACAGTTGCACGCACGCACGCATGCAGCCGGTATGTCAGTTACTGTGTAGAAGTGGTAAAACAAGCAAAGCACTCACCGCTATCCACAGCCTGAAGGAACGCGGTGTAGTTGATGTCACCTTTCCGCTCGTTGCGGTACTTCCTGCACAGCAGCTGCGAGGACAGGTTGTGAAGTGATATAGTTAGTGAAGACAGGTGGTGACGTGATCAGTATAGGCAATGGTAGAGTGCAGATCACAATCAGTCTGACTGCGGTCAAATCAGCATAATAGCAACTGTCTGCATCTGAGAGTGGACTTCGAGCATATTGACAGATATGCATTTGGCGCAGTCTGGCTGCGTCTCCCCCCCCCCCCCCCCCACCACCCTCATTAAAAGCATCGGAGGCAGGCACCATTTCACATACATGTACCTTAAACTCGGGCTCCGACACTTGCAGTGATACATAGTCGAGCATACGTCGGAACTGGGGCGCCGTTATTCCACGCGTATATGCACCACTCTGGATCAGTGTTACAAGGAAAAACAACAATAGAGTCACTTGGCACGAAACACTGCGGTGTTGGTGAGGTGAAATGTGACGGTGGAAAGACAAACTGTTATGTTGGTGAGGTGAAGTATGACAGTGGCGAGGTGAAGCTTTAGCGGGCCAAACATGGCCCAGAGCACGTAAAATAAGTTGTTGTTGTTGTTGTTGTTGTTGTTGTCGTTGACTTTTATTTTACTTCACCAGCTGCACAGGCAGTGTTGCCTTCTCACAGTCATGCAGCCATGATGTTGATAATGTTGGTAGCCACATGCACATTGTGCACATTGTGAACATACTAACCCAATCAAAGTCTTTGAACAGCGGATAGGTCATCAGCTGGCGACTGTCCACTGAAGAACGCAGCCTCGACAGGAGCTCTTCAACATCTTGCTCTTCATTGATTGTGAGTGTGTTGAAGGTCTACGGCAAAGCAAATGGCACAACAAAACAGTGTACGGCCTTGCATTATGCAGTGGTTATTATCAAATGTGTGCAATTCATGAGCAGCTCACCAGTCTACCTATTCTCTATGCACCCCATGAAGACACCTGCTCACTTGTAATTAGAGTAGATTCCCCCAGTGACACACATAAAAGTATACCAGTAATACTGACCTTTGCCAACTCTCCGTCAGTGGGACGATACACAACTTGCGTTGGTTTCTTGTCAAGGTCCGGGATCATATAAGCTGAAGGAAGCAAGTAGAATACGGTGCAGGCAGACTGATAACACTCTGTGCTGGTGTTGTTGTAATCGGCAGGGTGCCAAGCAGCATCCTGCACCACCCTGTAGTGTGCAGTTTAGTCTAGTACATCAGTGCCCACAGGAAATCTACATGTACAAGCAATGCCACTGCCCACAGTCACACCCTGGACGTGACCTATCAAGCTCTCAGTGTCTCAGACAGCAATGCCGGGCAGCTATCATGAAAACCACTGTACATACATTCAATCATCCCATCCTGTTGCCACTGTGTCCTGAACTGCAGCATTGCAGGAAGGTGCTATGGCATACAGGTATTGTCTTTGTTGCTCCACCCCAGTGGGCTGAATACAGTACCCAGCATGCCACCAGGAAATATCAGAACTGATTTCAGCTCCGCCAGTATGCACAACACTCAACTCAATGAGTACTAGTAGTAGCCGTGCACCAATACTGCTGATTGGCCTTACTGTGCTCCAAGAGGTGGCAGAACTGGCGGTAGTTGACTCGTCCGGCGTCCTGCCTGAAGTGCTCCACCAGTAGCTGTGTGTCCTGTCGGTTGAGGTGGGCTTGTTTTCCACAGCATAACATCAGGCCACAGATGAACTACAACAGGAAACCATTGCAGAGTGACCAGTAAGCTAATATTACTATCGCCATGGACATCTATACACCCGAGACAAGCACTAGACCACTGAATCAGTCACCTCATGTCAGTGTCTGCTCCAGCGCCGGGTGAGCCGGGTAATCTACCCGGTTGGGCGGCGCTTGGACCTGGTTGAAAATATAGTACCGGGTCACCTGTGACCCGGTTGGTACTGTACACTTTCGAACTTTGAAAGGACTGACTACATGGCTTGTACATGTGTGTGTCAGATACTTCTTCTTCTTTCGTAATTTTCTAATTCCTGTCCTCTCTTTTCTAAATGCGGCTTATCCATTAGCCTTTATATCATTGGGCGTACATGTGTACCCGGCTCCGACCCGGTTGAAATGGTGGCGCCAGGTACACGTGTACCCGGCTGTCCTACAATCCTGGAGCAGACACTGCATGTATACGTGTACACACATGTGTATGACTAGTTCCTGCATGAATAGCATGTGACAACTCATCAGGAACAATCAGAGACATACCGGTATTATGGTCCTTGCTTGACAGAGATATATACTTCGTAAATACATGTACTGAAGTACAGCTGAGTTGTTCCTATATCTTATCAAGCAATTCAATCTCTTCTTCGCCCACCGCACACTCTAAGCCAACCAACATCACGGCTCTCATTTTCTGACTCTCACAACTCACAGCAAGAGACTGGTAAGGAAGTGCAATGTTTCGATCATGACTTGGTAAGCTACATGGCTATGGGCGTGTGGAAGAAAATCATATTGCCAGTGTCACTTGGTCCCGTACCTGATTATCAGTGACAATGCCATGATTGTGACGGTCGTAGTCCACAAAGAACTCTGTGCTGCGAATCCTGTTGTGGTACACTGCATCTCTGCAGGTGCCAGCGCAGTAGCACACAAATACACTAACCGGTGTTGCACTGTCACATGCATGCTGGCGCAGCCTGATGTCCATGCATGCCTCTATATTGGATAAGGCGGGGCACCACACTGAACAATTTGCCCAAACACACTGTAGTGGCTACATAACACCAAGAGTAGATAAACAAGAGTGTGCAACTCCGGATCTCTCCTGCACAATCTGCAGATACCCCCGCCCGCAGCGGAATTTTTTGTTGACGTCACCTTTTTTCAGAAGAACGCACATTTTGCCCCAGAGCAGTGTGAGAGCACGTGCTGGGCACCGACTTTGTAATGTAAAGCCCGGCCAAGTGCACGAGGCAAAACTTTCCAAAAGACTCGCAGCGCGTGCATCGTCGAAAAGATTACGTCAACAAAAAATTCCGCCGCTGGCCAACCCATCCCGGAGTTGCACACTCTTGTTTATCTACTATTGATAACACTAATCATGTTCCTGTCAGCTCTAACCTATGACAGTCCTCCAACCGCTTCCCAACATTCAATTTACGGGGGCAAAGTACAAGGAGCACAAAGGTCAAAGGTCAAAGGACAAAGGTCATGGACTGCCCAAAGAGAACACAGTTATAATGCACTGGTACTTCACGTCGTGTGCGCACTGAAGCAAGGCAATAAGTGGATCAAACCAGGAAAAAGGAATTGAGCAAGGCAAAACAGGGTCAGGAGAGGAGACCCTATCAAGAAAATGCTTTTCTCCTTCTACGTAGTAAACAGGCAGTGCATGTTTGTCTTACCTGATACGTGCCAGCACATCACTGAGATGTGCTTCCTTGGACAATCCCAGTGGCTGTAGGCAACAAAAATTCGATGGCCAATGCAGTTGTGCCAGTACTTGTACCGTGGCAGTCAGTAGACTGTGCAATGGCGTGTACGTGTACGCAATAGTAGCAATAAGTCAATGTCATATCTACAGTGCATGTTAATGACATACATGTGTGGACCTAAAAGAACGGTTTAGTCACTTTTGTCTGAAAAAATGGAACACATTCTACCGGCAGAATGTGTTTCATTCAAATATCAAAATCTGGTCTTCACAGTTAGGGAGGTTTAGTCACTTCGAGTCACGGTTCTTCACCGCATGCTTTTGGAAGGGTGCGTATGGTAGGGGGTCCTGATTTGGCACCTACACATACACACATACACATACACACCTGCATAGCACACTGCAAACGAACAGCACACACTAGCACAGACCTGAGCAAGTCGGGTATGTATGCATGACTCTTTGTACTCATTGGTTTGAGGGAAAGATGCAAACGGGATTCTTTGTACTTATTGGTTTGAGGGAAAGATGCAAACGGGATTCGTTCACGGTACGCAAAGAAGACTTGCCCCTCAGAGTCGCAAAATCAGGCTTCCCGCTGGTTGACGAATGAATAAACTAAGGCTGGATGGTGTTCACCAAAACAATGTATATTTGCTAACCACAAGTCACGGTGTCGTAGTGCGAAGAATGGGAATGCGAGACAAACCTGGGCTTCTTGGGGCTCTATTATCTCCTCTGGCTGACGTCTTGCTTCCTCTGTAGTCCAAAATGAGACAAACCAAACAAAAGAGGATGGTGATAATCAACAGAGAACAAAGACTGGCGGCAGCATGCATGCAAGTTAGAATCCATACAGTTCTCACCACGCATAGGACAAGTACATGTACAGGTACTCTCAGTGTCACATACATACAGTTACCACTAGAAACGTACGCATCGCTTGTACATCATTGTGGAATTCCACATAGTTGACCAGTTTAGTGGCAGGATTGCGATAACGCGCTATCAACAGCTCAATCTCCTCCTCCGATATCATATTGCGTGGTCCGGGAAAGGCACGTCGAAACTGAACAGTCACACAGGATAATTGTATGCATAGAACAGTACAATCACTCTCAACGTCGATAAAAAAGAAAGAAACTGGTAATAACGTTACATAGGAGAGGTGTTGCAAGTACCACACTGTAATGGGAATGGTGAGAGGTGTGCAGAAGAAATGCAGATGACTGTTCAGCAGCTTGCCACTGGTTAGGTTTTGGTCGGACCAATGTTTGGCCAACCAAAGCGAGCACAAAAGAGTACAGAAAGGCGGAAAATTGCTAATTTCTACAAGCGTATGTATGCACTGTATTGTTGAAATCATTTTCAGATAGCAGACGTCCAGGTCTAATGGAGCGTTTAGTATACCCTGGCTGACTTACCTGGGCATCTGTGATGTACCCTCGGTTGTGGCGGTCAAAACCAGTTTCCTGAAAGGCCACTTTGACATTGACGGCATGTTGCTGGAGTGCACGTTCAAGCCAGAAAACAATATACATGTACTAGGGGTGAAACGATTAGTTCGAATATTCGAGTATTCGTTCGAAAATTTCAAACGAGCGAGTATTCGAAATTTTGCACTCGATCGTTTTTTTGTTTTGTTTTTGTTTTGTTTGTTTTTTTTAGTACTGGCATTCTATTTTTCAAAAACTTCTGTTGTACCGCTCATCGACTGGTATGCATGCATTATGCATGCCTTTGAGTCAGTATTTTATGAGTCGGACGATGCGATCAACACGGCAAGTAACGTTAGTTTGTTATGAGATAATGAAAGTACTGGTGAAAATCGTTACTTTAAGGCCGATTCACAATACAACTTTCTGCGACGCGACATGCGACTTGCGACACATGCGACGAGCTGCGACAGCGACACACGGTTCACAATATTCTTCATGTTTGCGACATCCTCATGCACAAGTAGTACTATGCACGTGCACTGCACGTGCACCCAGGGTCGAAACTGTACTCCATTTGTGTATGTCGCGTGTCGCATGTCGCAAAAGTTGAACTTTCTTCAACTTCTGCGACAGGTGCACTGCGACAGCTTGCGACAGGTTGCGACAGCTCGCGACAGGCAGTTTCTTGTCGCAACTGTCGCAAATCGCGTGTCGCGTCGCAGAAAGTTGTGTTGTAAATCGGGCTTTACACTCTGTACAAGACGTTGGCGACTTGTGTTCTATGTCCACAGATAATTTCTTCCGAATTGGTCGAGAGATGTTTATTTCTCGTTGGCTGAGCGAAGCGAAAGAAACGAGAAATCTAGTTCTCTGTTAATATTTTTGCACGTGCGTGCGGAACGGGTACGAGGGCAGTGTGCTGTGGTTGAAAGTGCTGTTGCTGTGATTCTGCAGATCATTGTTTTTCTTCTTGCCAAGTGTGCAGCTGCCCACCCATCCACCCACCCTGGTCAACTGTCTTCTAAGTGTGCGCTGCCGTTATCCGCTGTAGTGTGTGCTGCAGACTGTAGTCGTGTGACTCATGATGCTCTGGTCTATATGCCTATAACTCTTCGCTTGGCGAGTTTTTTGTACTTCAAAAACGAAGTAGTAAAGCATGGTTCCTGAAGCCTAGCAAATGCTGAAGCTGCCGTTGCCTTAGTTTTCTGCCTTAATCTTATGTATTGCTGACAATAAGTTCGGGCTACAGCGCTGGCTTTCTTCCAAGGCGCATAGCGCCATTATCTAGCTATGGCAAGAAGTCTTGTGCAGCAGGTCTGCATTCACCGCATGTTCAAATGGCCGCTGTGTGTGATAGAGCTGGGTGTGCATGCTGATGCTCGTGCAAACAAATTTGGAGCAGAGAACTCACAAATCTAGCGCTTTAGAATTTTGATAAAATACTCGAAATAATCGGATACTCGATCGAATATTATGGATGAGTGATCGATTGGTCAAAATAGATACTCGTTTCACCCCTAACATGTACCAAGCATTGTTTGACAAAGGGCATCGGCTGACAAACACGATCCCTTGCGGTGTCCAGGCAAACACCCATAGATGCGTCTTACTTCGAAGTAGATGGAAAACGTATGCCGATCAGTTGAGCAGTGCATTGGGCTGAAAACTGTCCATGTACACGAGTGTGTGGATGGGCCAGCATGCAGCACATTGACAATACCATCACACATCCTTGTATTGGCACATTTAGGGTACCCTGTAAGAAGGCCTGAGGCCTGTGGGGATTGCCCTATCAAAAATTTAATAATAATAATAATAATCCAACCTACCTCAAAGAAATTCTGGCACCTGTTGAGGATCTCCCAGACTTCAACACTCTCGCTGTACAGGTCACGCTCCTTCACGGAACTGGGCAGGAAGAGGCGACGGGGAGAATACCATGAATTGCAACACGAGGGCACACGCCAACAACAAGTTACAGATGGAACAAACAATACAGTTGGCAAATGTTAAGAAGTGGTTTGTTTGCACCAGGGAGTTGTAAAATAGTATGTTACGACTCCCTGGTTTGCAATAAGAACATACCTCGTGTCTTACACAATTGTGAAGTGAGTTGAATGTGTGTACTGGTACGTGCCAAAAATTCGATGCTGTTACAGTGTCCAGTGCAGCAGCCTGCTGAATTCTTCCCAAGACTCAAAGGGATTTTTAAATAAAAAAGAATGGAAAAGTCGGGCATGGTTCATACCCACATGGAGCTACCGGAGTCAGGGTAAAGCTATTGCTTGCATCAAGAGTATAATTATAACCCCCCAAGAGTGTGCAACTCTGCATATGGGGTTTCCGACGGCAAAAACTCACATCACGTGTCTCAGATACGTTCGTACTACGTACAAACGAAGGATAGCGTGCGCGCCATCAGAATATCTGCCATGATCATGCTGGGGATTTGCATACCCGCGGTGAGTTTCTGTCAGAGAGTACTTTTTCTATTACTCCGCTGCTCGCTAAAAACAGGCTGGAAACGTACAACTGCGACACTGCACCGCGTGATGTGAGTTTTCGCCATCGGCGTAACCCATAGAAAGGGTATCAGGAGTTGCACACTCTGGGGGGGGGGGGGGGGGGGGGGGTGATATACTCTTGCTTGCATACATATCATCAGTAAATGAATGATGTTTCCTCTTTCTTTTTAGGCTATGCAGCAGACGTACTGTCGGGTGGTCTTGGACGGGTACATTGCTTCAATCGGTGCTGTATCCTGCGGGCCTGAGCGACACACACCACACACACACACACACACACACACACACACACACACACACACACACACACACACACACACACACACACACACACACACACACACACACACACAATGCTTTGCTGGTCATTGCACTTCATTGTGATTAGTGAAACCAGCTACTCTGAGCTCTGTAGGGAGCTCCCATAAGGTTTAAACAGCTGACTGTCCGCAGATGGAGTGAATGGTATTACCGGTAGAGAGACCTGCTGCCACCCTAACCATGGATAATGCTCCTGAAAACACTCCAAGAAATCTGGACCGACGTACACACTTTCAGAACTGACCTAACTTTTTTTCCGGTTTTGATGACATCATGCAAGTAGACAAGGGAGAAAGAGTGGTGACAATGACGAATGAAACTCACCTTTAACACAATGGGCAAAGCGTTCGTAGTCGACATTCTGCGACTTTGCAGCCCGGTACTTGTCACACAGCGCCTGGAACTCTTCACTGGTCAAATTGACGGCAAAGTGCTGGCTAAGACAACGCTGGAACTGGCCACCTGATACATTTGGGCACACACACGGAGCACAACGAATGAATCACAGACCTGTATAGCAGATGGTGTGTAGCATCGATCAGTGTGTCGCTTGTCTGACTAGGTCAGTGCACGGTGAGCATGGCTGTTTGGCCTCTATGGCGCACACGAGCAAATCCTGGGAAAAGATAACTCTACGAGTTCTGACTGATATTGTGACTCATCATTAACTATGCCATCATTAGCTATGCCATCATTAACTATCCGCCATCATTACAATCATTACAATCATTACAATCATTACAATCAAGTATATGTACTCTACACTGGGATGTGAACTGGCACAGCGGCTACAGGGCGCAACCTGGATTCACGCGATCGGATTTCACTGAGCAGCACTGTAGGATATCCCTTACAGCAAGAGTACATAACCCCCCAGAGTGTTATCAAGAGTACATAACCCCCCAGAGTGTTATCAAGAGTACATAACCCCCCAGAGTACATAACCCCCCAAGAGTACATAACCCCCCCCCCCCCCCCCAAGAGTACATAACCCCCAGAGTGTGCAACGCCGATCCAGCTCTGCATAGGGTCTTGGTCGAGCGGAATCGGATCTTCTGATGTCATGCGTACACTCCACACCAGCGCAAGGCCCGTCTCGAGGCAGGGCACCATTGTTTTTGATCCGAGAGTACCCGCGACTCCCCGGGTTCCCCTCAGATGTGTACGGTATTATGACACAAAGATCCGATTCCGCTCGACCAAGACCCTATGCAGAGCTGGATCAGGCGTTGCACACTCTGGGGGTTATGTACTCTTGCTTACAGTGTTACCGTATGTCCGCACCTTTATAAAGCCATGGCGGTATATTCGATTATAAAGCCAGTCTCAGTTATAAAGCCATGGACTCCATAAATGAAAAGACATTTGAAGTATGTTTTGTAAAAATGAAGGAATAAGTACTATACTAACAAACTTACAGCCCAGCAGGAAGGGTGAACAAGTAGAGTTAGATTGAAATTTCTATGTGGACTTTGACTTTTATGGCATGGCGTAGTGGGGGAGTCATTTTGCATCTAAAATATCTAGGAAAGCAGCGGTGTTTCGAATATAAGCCCGCCATGGCGCTGACATACGGTAGTACCCTATGGCGTGTCTACTGTAACTTAAACCAGCGGCCTGTTGCAAAAGTACTTGAGAGTTGCATGCACCAAACCACTTTTTAGTATCTTACAGCAGAATCACTTACTTGATACACGACCTGAACGCAGCCGGTCAAAGTCACGGAAGTAGTCGATGACTCGACTTGGTTTGATGGCAGCTGCAAGGCGCACTTTGTCCTCAGCCCGACACGCTACCTCCACTGCTGCTGTCGACTGTGGTATATAATCATGGTGGTGGTGTATGTGTGTGAATGCAAGAACAGTCAGTGTTGGCACATCAATAGAATATCTGATACTGTATCACTGCGTCAGGAAGAGATGGTTCGTGAGTGAACGTATGATGACTGGAAAACGTATGATGACTGGAAAACGTATGATGACTGGAAATATCAGCTCAGGACTACGATCAGTACCATCGGCACCAACAGTCAGACACAGCTGTGATGTCAGTCAAACACAGCAGTGATGTCAGTCAGACACAGCAGTGATGTCAGTCAGACACAGCAGTGATGTCAGGGTTTAGGCCGTGATCGTTTGGTCGGATCCAGATCCAGATCCATCGGATCCACTGGATCTGCAATGATCGATTGGTCGAATCCGGATCCAGATCCTTCGGATTTGGATCCGAGCAACCCTGCCCCGGGAGCAGGGTTGACTGGATCCATCGGATCCAAATGTGACCTTTGTGCGTATATGGTGGGTAAAAATCATTTTTATACTCATTGTCGTACGTCTAGTGGACTTTTGTTGACTTTTCGTACGACGCGGGCGATCAGTACGACTTGTGCCTTTTTTGGGTGACCTGTCAGCGCCATTTTTTACTTCGTGAACATGGCAACAGCCAAGGTCCGCAAAAAAGTGTTCGGTTGATTCTGAAGGATCCGAGGGATCTGAGATTTGGATCTGGATCTGGATCCGACCAAACGATCATAGCCTAAGTGTCAAGGCTGTCACAGCCGGGGCGGCTGTGGCCGGCCCACTTTTTCGACCTTTTTTTTTTTGGGGGGGGGACCAAACTGCAAGAAAGCGCTATGATCGCAGCTCAGCGCAAACGTGGCAAATCCTTGTTTATTGCAAAATCAAAAAGTCTTTCATTGCAGTTACACTGAAATGGCACCAAATGCTTGCAATTGGCTTCAATTTTTGAAAAAAAAATTGAATTTTTTTCCCAGGGGAGGATAATGAAGAACCCTTGTCCTCAATCGTAGCGTCTTCTTGGTTTGTTGTAGAATCAAAAAGTCTTTCATTGTAGTTACACTGAAATGGCACCAAATGCCCGGAAATGCTTGCAATTAGCTTCAACTTTTGAAAAAATTTCCCGGGGCCACGCCCCCGGACCCCCTTCCATGGCCACCCCACCTCCAAAGTCGGTGCGACGGGCCTGAGTGTGGTAGTGACAATAGCGACAGTGGCAGCAGCAGCAAAACTAGTGCATGTAAGTTAGCAATGGAATACCAGTACCGGTACTAGATACAGGCTCCGCTACATAACCATAATCATCACTCCATAGTAATTATACGAGCATATGCAGCGTATCTACGTAACTTGGTGCATACATGTACTTGACATACATGTACAAGTACATACAGTCACGTGAGTGCATGTGGTGATTGCTCATTCACCTGCCATGGTGCACCGGTGTGAACACAGCTACTGTGATCTCATGATCACTCATCATGAGCATGTTCTGCTGTCCGATGCCAGGGAGAAGTCAGTCCCGCATGTACTGGCTCAGTACCCACTACTACACAGGGACGTAGCCGTAGAACCGGGATTTTAGGTGCCGTCCGGCCGGCCAAATGCGATACTTGATCAGACACGTCGACGAAAAAAACAAAAACATTCTGCACAAGTTGGCAATGGGTGGGTCAACTTTTTTCGAAATAAGGTGCAGCCCTGGTCAGAATAAGGTTTAGCCCTGGTCGGAATAAGGTTTATCCCTGGTCGGAATAAGATTTAGCCCTGATCGGAATAAGATTTAGCCCTGGTCGGAATAAGATTTAGCCCTGGTCGGAATAAGATTTAGCCCTGGTCGGAGCGGGTGCTGCGGCCCTGGTAACTGTGTACACACACGACGTGTCACTGCTAAGTGTCACTGCTAAGTGTCCGCATGCGCAGTGCTTGTCATGCACATGTGTTGTACACCACGTACAATACAGGTGGCAACGACGGCAGTTATGGTGATCGCAATTGTGAATGTGGTGATCTGCACTCTCGTTCTCTGTACCGTCTGCATACATGCACAGCATGTCCGTGATCAACTCTACTTCTACTTGTGTACAGTATTGCGCATGCCGTCCGTGATCAACCCTACTTTGTACGTCAGTACAATGTCATGCACATTATTATCTGTGAACATCCCTACTGACTACTATTACTACCAAGAGTATATAACCCCCCCCCCCCCATATATAATATTCTTGCTACTACTATAAACTAGTTACTATAGCTGTAATACTGTGTACAATGTCATGTACTAGTCGTCTACACTCACCATGGTTGCCTTTACTTGCTCTGACTGGCTGTGCCTGCGATCGCTGTGAGCCCCGGAGCTGACTGTCGTCGCAAGCCTAGCAGCTAGATTTACTGGGGAAGCTCAAGTCGATCGTGTCGATACTGTAGTGGCAGAGATCGATTAGAAACCGCGCCAACACTACTAGCACATTGATATCAGTGCTGGAGGCCCAAATAGTTGATCAAGATCGCTAGTGTCCCAGCCATCATAGGGATATTGCGTATAATGACACTGTGCTCTGTATTACTAGTGGGCTGGCTGATACTCTAGAAGCTGTTGTCGACTCCTTTCAGCGATTCCACAAAGAAGAGCTACATAGAATTGTAATTTTTGATCCTACATGTAGATGACGAAGGTGTGGACATGTGGCTCGTGAGCAACAGAATTCTGGTCTTGATTGAGTCGACTACAACGTGTCGACAGGTCGTCAAATCCGAGAGTACCTCACGATGCATCTCCACGACGACGGTCAGTATGGTAACCAGATGGCCCTCTAGTCAAGACGACAAGTACATGATTGTACATGAGCTTGTCATGTACACCGCTGATTGTCTAGATTCTACCTGAAACCTTACTCAAGTAACACCTCGTTGGTTAGTTACTACTCTGTCCCTTTGGGAAAACGTGGCCAATAATTCAAAATTCCGTGGCAAATTCCGCGGGGAAAAGGGGGGGGGGGGGGGTTTCTGCGGCATTTTCTGTGGTAAAATCAAAAAATCTGCGGCACTTTCTGCAAGTTTTCACCCTCCTTGTAGTACGTAGAGGATATGACAACTACAGGTGGAATCCTGATAATTCGAACCTCCAAATGCCAGGAAAAAACTTCTAATTATCCGGACATTCTAATTATCCAAACATGACCCCACAACACAATAATTATTATGTCAAAATGCTCCCATGGTCACGCAGAGTTGCGCTATGGACCTTAGACACAGATTTCACGGATACTGAACTGACCAGCACAGCCTGCTCATGCAAACTGAGCTGATCAGTACAGTCAAGAGTACATAACTAGTAGCGTCCAGTCCTGAAGCAGGAGTCTCCATTCTCCGTCACTACACTCTTCCTTCCTGAAACAGTTCTCAACAAGAAATAATAAATCAATTATTTTGCCTTTTGGACATGTTTCTTCACCACGAAGGACACGTCGCGTCACGCGTCAGTGAAAAAAGAAAGAACAGAAAAGTGGCGCAGTTTTCCACCATTTCCTTTCCACGGCTTTTTCGTGTTTGGCCGGTTTCAGTCAGTTAAAATCGAATTTCCCCATCGCGAAACTCTGCCCTCACTCTGCCGTCTTGCGCGTCTGGCGCCAGTTTGTGGGCCAAAGTGCGATCCGAAGACTGCAAAACATCGCGCACGCCGCGCACCATGCAGTTGAACTAGGAATTCCGATGAACCAGATCCCATGAGTGGAGTTGCACACTCTTGTGTAGTTATGTACTCTTGGTACAGTGTACAGTGAACTTCGAATTATACTTTGCTAACTTCGAATTATCAGCACAAATCCCACACATTTTCTATGTAAGTGGAATCCGTGGAACTTCGAAATAATCGGACATGTCCGGTTGGAGGTTCGAATTATCAGAATTTTTTATGTGGGAATCGTATTGACAGAAATCGGTCCTGGAAAAACTTCTAATTAAGCGGTATGTTCGAATTAAGCCATATTCGAATTATCAGGATTCCACCTGTAGTTGCATGAAGGAGCACTTTTCACACTATCCTTTGCAGTCACACACTGTCTTGAGAGTGAAGAATCTTGGAGATCCTGCTCTCACCTACACTGGCAAGGGCATAATGTGCTCAAACAGATCGCAAAGTAGTTTTTCTGCTGCTTTCTGAGTAGTAATTTTACTAATTTACCCTAAAAATTCAAATAATTCCGCGGGCAAAAGTGTGGATTCCGTGATTTCCGCGGATGATGGCAATTTCTGCGAAATTTGCCGCGACCGCGGAATCGCGTTTTTCCAAGGGGACAGACTACTCTGATGTAGTCTACCATGATCATGAACTTGCGCTACTGTCGTACTGTGCTGTCTGTTGTCATGTCAGTACAGAAGATCTATCTCTGTCCTTGCTTGAGCATGGGAGCACTCTAGTTTTGACCAGTCTGGAACCCTTCTGTTTTACCGGCTACCAATACCATGCTACGGGCCGCACGAGTGTGCAAACTGCGAAGACGCTACCATGACTACAAGTACAGAGTAGTAGCAAGAGATTATGGAATATGGACTCTTGGACCTTGGTACACTGACTACTCACTAGCTTGCACTCCTGTCCGGAACGTTCCGCAAGTCACTCGGTCACTGTGCATGCAGGACATCGACTCTACCTTTGAAAGGTGCTGTCTGGACCGGTAGTGGATGCATGCTGCTTTTCTTCCCAGTTTCGTGCTTTCACTTGCCATTAATATCGAGATCCATTGGTTAGCCCCCCAGCCACACACACACACGCACACGCACACACTACTACTACTACTATTGACAGCTGCCAGAAATTGGCCACGCCGCTCCCAAATGGGAGGTACTGTCAGAGAGGTTAGGGGGGGGGGGGGGAGGAAGGCAATGCTCCAAGTGGCGATCCAGATCTTGCCGCCTCCGGAACCGTCGGTTGTGGCAAACTTGGCAGTGAAACTTGAAATGCTGGCGTTCAGCCATAGTGGGGCGCTTTGGACAGGTTCCACAACGGTGACGCTTGAGACCCGCAGCCGATTTAAACGAACGCTGACAGGTTGTGCAAGTTACACCCGGAACAACAAGAGGAGCAGGGGCCGGCGGCTGGTCGTCATCGCCTAGCTGACACTTATGCACCGCAAAGCCTCCTCTGCTACGTAGCCATCGGTTGCAGGTTGGACACTGTACTGACCCAGGCTGCTCTGATACCGGGAGCTGACGGATTGTTGAACACGTGTGCCGGGCCATGTCGGAACTACGGCGGAACAGACGGTTGCAAGTTGGGCACTCAATGCTCTTCCGGGCAGGTTCCTTGTCCTCACCTGCTGCTGTCGCCACTCCACGCCACTCTCCACGATTGCCGCGTTGCCAACTCAAACCAGTTACGCACTCCAGCCACGGATAGGTCCGTGTGGATGGTGTCCTTCCAGCGACGACGAGGTCCACAGAATGGCCGAGACTGAGGGAGACAGGCAAACAGCAACTGCTTCAGTACTCTGGTGTCATCAAGACGAGCCAGGTGCCCAAGCCACTCCAACCGTCTCTGCTGCACCATGCGTGACAGTGGTGTGGGATCACCCCACTGTGCTCGCAGTTCCTGTGAGGAGATGCGCTGTTCCCACTGTCGGCCGCGCGATACGCCAAGGATGGAGCGAATGTTGGCATGGTGAAACCGGTCCATTCTATCTAAATCTGCCTTCAATGGCGTCCAGCATTCTGAACCATACAGAACCGTTGACAGGACGCAAACGACATACAGGTGGCGCCTGGTAGGGAGGTTCAGGCTCCGGTCATGTAGGATGCGCCGAAGACCACCAAAGGCCCCTGCACCCTTTGCTAGACGGCTCCGAATGTCCGCTTGCGACCGCGAGTCCGGAGTGATGGTGGAACCAAGATAGAGGAATGAGGTGACTGCTTCAACCCTATCATTGCCAATGACCAAATCAGAGCAATCAGCAGGGCAAACTCCGAAACCTGCGACGAGAAGCTTGGTCTTGGTCATGCTCACGGTGAGACCCAAGCTGGATGCAACCTCACAAAAAGCAGACAGGGATTGATCGGCTCCGTTGCGAGTTGTAGCGAGCAGTACGGCATCATCCGCAAACTCGGAGTCATCAGCATGGCCGGACTCGGAGTGGGGACGCCGCCTAGTGACACGAGGGAACAGCTGGCCATCAATTGTGAAGCTGAAGTCCACACCAGACTTTATTCCACGCTCCACGAGAAGGGATTGCCAACGCTCAATAACTAAGCCGAAGTACAAGTTAAACAGTACAGGTGCCATCACGCACCCTTGGCGCAGCCCATTCTTGACAGATATGGGATCCGTGCAACCAACGCGAACGCAAGCTGACATGTCTGTATGGAATGATTTGATGATGGCCACAGTCGAGGGCGGCACACCCAGCCGCAGCAATGCCTGCCAAAGAGCTTCGCGAGGGACAGAGTCGTACGCTTTGCGGAGATCCACAAATACGCAGAAGAGCTTCGATCGATGTTCGTACGACTTCTCGACAAGTTGACGGACAGAGAAGATGGCGTCTGCACAACCACACTGCCGCCGAAACCCGCATTGGGATTCAGGCAGCTCCGCCTCAGCAATACCCTGCAATCGGTTTTGCATGATCCGAGCAGCCAACTTGCCGACAACCTCCAGCAATGCGATCCCTCGCCAATTATCACAGCGAGAGAGGTCGCCCTTCTTTGGAATCGGTACCAGCAGTGCTTCGCGCCAGTCCTGGGGCACGCAACCCCCCGACCAGACAGATTGGAGTAGGTCCAGGAGGAGTGGATGGAGGACAGGCACACCAACCTTCAGCAGCTCCGGCACAATCTGTGACATACCACCAGCTTTGCCATTCTGTAGGTGTCTAACTGCCTGAGTCAGCTCATCCTCCGATGGTGGCAGTGAGAGGGAGTCCTCGACCTCACGCTGAGGGATAAGTTGGAAGACATGCGGATCGTACACACTGCAGACATTCAAGACACCCGAGAAATGCCCATGCCATGTGCCCTGCTGCTCCTGAACAGATTCGCAAAGAACTCAATCGGCATTGCGGATGGATTGGACGGACAGGGGTTGCAAGCCCCCAAAGCAGCGTTGCATGTGGCGAATGGCAGACCAGACAGCTTTGCCACTGAAACGTCCACGGTGCACCACCGCCGCTTTGTCCATCAACCAAGTTGTTTTTGCCTTCCGGATACCAGCACGAGCCCGGCCACGCGCTTCTTTAAAAGCCCGGTGATCAGAGTCCCTGCCGCTTCTCAGCCATTGGCTATACAGGGTATTACGAGACTCCAGTAGAGGCTCCAATACAAGGGCATTGTCACGGAACCAATCTGGCATCCGCCGCTTGTCCCGACCAACCACCTGCTCCGCCGCGTCAACAACAGCCGACTTCACGGTACTCCACTTACAGTCCACAGACGAGGCGCGGTCATACGTGGATAAACGAGATTCAAGACTAGCACAGTACTCAGCACGTACAATAGCCACACGCTCAGCCTCCTCTTCACTCATGAATGGCTTCCGATTGAATTGGTGAACAGCAAACTAATTACTTCCGCGGCCTGGAACGTGCATCATGATGGTACCGTTGCTGCACAACGTCAGGTAACCGGTATTTCATGCGGACAAGACGGTGGTCTGTGCTACACTCTGCAGTGCGCATCACTTGACAGTCCATGCAACGTTTACGGTGTTGTTGGCGTACGAACACATAATCTATACAATGCCACTTCTGTGATCCAGGGTGTTGCCAGGTGTACATGTGAATGCGTTTCTTGGGAAACAGTGTGTTACACACACACATGTAGTATGATCTACTGTTCCCAAACCACTGGCATCCCTCCATACAAGGTACATGCACTGTGCATGCTGATCTATCAGATCATGCCCATTATATGGCCAGGAGCGTGACAGCCGGTCGGTCCACCAGAGCAGGTTTTGCCCAGACCACCGGCAGGGCAGGGGCGATCTTACGAGTTTTTTTTTTAAATGCGTTTTAAAGTACAGCTAACACCCCGGAAGAATACGGTAGTCCCTGATGCACATGTATAGTGTTCTTGTGCAGGGCCACCATGCGCTAGAGTGGGCTGACCTCCTCTGCAGCTGGCCTTGTCACAGTCACACCAACTGAAGGCTAGAACACAACCTGTCGCCTGAAAAAGGCAGGAACACCCCCCCCCCCCCCCCCGGTTGCCTGACCTCGACATGAGAACGTTGGTCCTAGAAAAGTGCAGTTCGACGTAAGTGTAATGTAGTCCACTGTAGACTAGTGTACCACAACAATCTACGGGATTTTCTGACAGCCGAGTAGCACCAAGATTGGCAAGAATGCATCCTAGTACTTCTTGAAGTAGCCAGGCCGCCGTCGTTTAGTATTTCTTGGCACCAAAGTGAACATGACACAGTACATATCTTTGATGCCCATCACATCATAATTATGTCATTGGCAACTCTCAAACCAGGTGGTCACTCCTAGATCCATTGCCACCTCTTCTTCTAACACACACGCACACACTAGTCTGATGTACTGAAGCAGTAGTCTTGTATACATACAGTGACATGTAAAGTCAAGTCAAAGATATGAGATGATGAACAAAGCAAACATGAGGCAGAGATATCCTTCAGATAGAGCAGTCGACAGCTTCACACAGCAGAGAAATAAGGGCAAGCAAATACACACGGAAAAAACTTAAAGGTGGGAACAGGAAAATATATGCCAGATACGGAGATATTTCATTTGCACACGTACATTGTAGCAGCTACTTTCATAGGTGGAATAGTTGTGGTGGGTAGCAATATAAAATGAGGTGATGGCATGGCATGGCACAAAGCCAGTACAGTAGTACAACAGTGCAGTAATATCCCCGGCAGTTCTTACCCTATGGCCACGCGTGTGTAGCAGTGCCAGCAGTGCCACAGCGGAGGGAAAAGGACTGTGCAAGGTTTGAGCTGCTCAATCCACCGGCTAGTTGCAGTATGGGCAGTGTGTTATGGTCAAATGCAGTGTCAAGTGGGCAGCCAGCAGAAAGGCAAGGGCAACATGTCAAGAGACAGCCAAACAGAGCTCTCAGTAGCAGGTACAATGCAAACAAAAAAGTACTAGATATGGACAGTGACAGGCACCAAATAGAAGGGGCTAAATGCAACGATGATGGCCCAGGCGTTAAAGCTGGTGATTAGTATGGGGAACCTAATTGAGGGGTAAGAACACGGTAAACTAATGCGTCGGCGGATAGATTTGGATAAACAAAACAGAGGAGAAATCTAGGGTTTTACACAAGATGCCGAGGATGGCACATGTGCTGGGATTCGTGACTCAAGACAACACATACATTGCCAGGTTACTAGTTAGTACAGCAGTTGAAGTAAAGCATCAAACAGCGGCGGCCTCTCATGCACGTCCGTACACGCATACGGACAAAAGTGGAAGTGCACGGCTAATCCCACCAATTAGAGCACAGGATGGTGCGGCGTCACAGCGGACAGCATACACACCACTACTAAAGGGAGAATATGAAAATCTAGATGCTGCAGCAAGTCAGGAACATCACCACTGGCATTAAAGGGCAGGCTCAGCAAAAGCAGCAAATATTGAAAGCAAGGAGAAACTTGACAAAGAAGAAACGCAGCCATGTTTATCAAGGAGGATAACATAGACACCAGAATTATCAACAACAGCATCACGAATGTACAGACATATATGGGCTGATCCATTCTCAAACCAGGAGCAACGGAGAGGAACACGATAAGGTGCTTCAGTGCATGGACGTGCGAGCATGGGCCTGGAAGCACCACACACCCGCGCTGCAGCACACATCAGCCGCAGCGCTTACTGAAATAAGTGACTACTGCACGCATGTGCGCAAAAACACAGACAAACATAAGTGGGATACAGACAGCAACAGGCTGGTCTAACCGATTGCTCCATCAGTAGAGAGGCAACGGGTACGAGGCACAACACCCAAGTCACTGTCCTTTCTGTCAGTCCGGACATCTTCGACAGCAGTTTTCCGTCTTTCCTGGAGCTTTAGTCTCTATGCAGTAAAAGAAACACATCACAGTTTGACTGTAAGTTGATGAGCTGCAATTATTTGCCTAGGAAATTGCCATCCCTCTCAAGAGTTCTTATCCAACATATAATCAGTCCACTTGTAATCAACAAACCATGGTGTGTTTCAGTCCGTATATTCAAACATCGACAAACATTACCATCGCAACAGTCTGCAGTTATTTGCATTGTAGTTGGTGCCTCGGATCCGCAAACCTGAATAATTCTTCTGCCAGAGCACTAGCAAGCAAAAGGCATGTCATTGATCCCTTCTCTTGCATGTCACAGCATAACAGCTTCTAGATTATCAGCTTGGTTAACTAGTAGCTGGCGCTCAACTTACACTGACTTCCTCCACTGCGTTGATCCAGTGCTGCATTTCCGCCTTACTGCCAGCTTGCATGTGGTAATCTTTACCTGTTACCAGAAAGAAACAGCAGGCAAACAAAATATTTTAAGAGGAGACTTGGGATCAATGATTTTTTAAATCACTTGCCAGTTGTGCCTAGCACTTTCACCATTCTTCCAGCCACTCTACAATGCACACAAACATTCCTACTTCGAAGTATTTCTTTAACCCTTATCCGACTGATAAAGTGGACAAATTATCAGTCCTAGCGACATGTCGCGGCCCATTTTGATGACTTATAACTTCTCTTTCAAGCATACATACCGTAAAAGCCCCTGTATACGCCCACTCGAAATTTCGCCCACCCTCCGTGTACAGGCCCAGTCAGGGGAAGTCAACACTTTTGTTTCAAAATCGCGCCCATGCCCATGTATACGCCCAGGTATGCCGGCAACACCAGTACATGTACAGGTACTGATACCCAATACTTACTGCTATCCCTATTCCAAGTATACGCCCGGTTCCGAAATAACGCCCAGGAAATCGAGACTGCTATTCTATACGCCTATACACGGGCTTTTACGGTATGCCGCTAGGATTTGCCGGATGTTAGCGGCCGTCGTGATTTCCCTTCGGGAACGGACAGTCCGACACAATAATTTTCCTTTTTTAAACTGTTTTTCGAGCATATAAGACGCTCGCAAATGAAAGGTGGGTCTTTCCTGCTTCTTTTGAGACCCAAATGGTGGAGATTTGGGTTGAAAGAGCCTGCTTGTTCAGTAAGACACAAACCAGGATGTGGATTTTATATGTACAGTCAAACCTCGTTAGGACGAACACTGATCAGGCGAACTTTCCATTAGTACGAACTAGGGCCAATCCTATGGTTGGCCAGGCATCATATCCAGTCAAAATTATTCGTTTACGACGAACTCCTGTATGGCAAACTTTCGCGAAGACGAACTATTTTCAAGTGTGATTAGAATAAAATCAGCGCGTAGTACGAACTTTGGGTGCGTGCGCGTGCGCTGGCTGTCTTTTTTTCTTTCTTTTTTCGATAACCGGGTCCATACATTGAATGTACGTACATAGATCTACGTAGATCTACACTGCGTAGTGAATCGTAGTAGACGCATTGACGACGTGCGTGCTTTCTAGGCCAAGCTTCAGCGTACATTGTTCGCGTCGTTGATCGCGTGAGGCGAAGGTGACTTTTATTCCGTTTATTTTTGCAACAACGATGTTGTCCCTACCAGTACCAGTGTTCGAGGTGAGTTGTGAAGTGTTTTGTGAAGCAAAGAGCGCTGATCTGTAGAGGGTAGTGGCGTTCCTGCGAATGCGGAAAACTCGGCCTCCACTGGTTCCGACCGAGTCTCACACGAACCGTGAACTTTTTTGTAAAGTGTGGATGTTGAGATGCTGTGCTTCACATGCACACTCGTAATCACTCATATTCAATCTATGGTTTATCGTAATGTATTTGTTTGGAAGCACAGTCACGAATTGTAGCACATTGCCTGTTTCTGGCTTATGCTGAGAATAAAATAATGCTTCCCATTTACCACAGTGCAGTGTGTACCTTCACGTAAATACAATCCATATGATATGCATATCGATTTTTTTGTCAGATCTGGATAAGAAGAACTCCCGATAAGACAAACAAATTTGTTCAGCCCCTTGAAGTTCGTCCTAACGAGGTTTGACTGTACATGTATATGCTTGATGTATGGGATCAGAAAACTTGATTCAGTACTTAGTCCGTAAATATCGACATTTTATCACGAAACGAATTCATTTCGTTTCAACCCAACCCCTCCATCCCTCTCCCTCAGAACGAATTAAAAAAAGGGTGACAGATACGTGCATAAACAACAAAAGCCGCAAGTGTGTCACTGCTCCTACTTCCACGTACATGTACCATTATAATCAATATTTTCTGAAACGAAATAAATTGGTCAACCCCCCTCCCACCCCATAATGAAAATAATGATTTTGTGTTGTGAAAAAAGTTCGATATTTTCTGGACGACCCTTTACGTCAATACAAGGCAGAAACTGAAGTCACAGGTGAAGCAATGCAGTGCCAGATTAAGAGTCCAAAGTGGTGGTTTCCATGACTTGTCAAGAACTATGGATATCTCGGCCAGTGTGCTTATCAGGCTAGATTCGACTGCAACAGAGTCAAAGAATGAAAAGGTAATTATTTCGCGCACATACTTATTTACGGTGCCTTCGTTCAGTTAGAAAATGAACATAATATGCTCTCGTTATATCGAGCTTACCATCAGCTGTCCAAATCGTAAACACATTTTCATGCCGCTGAAAAAGATCTGGAGAAAAACAGACACACAAACGCGAACAAGGGTGAGAGTGAGAGAGAGAGAGAGAGAGAGAGAGAGAGAGAAAGAGAGAGGCAGACACACGCACAGAGAAAAAGAGGAGAAACAGACAGCATGAACACACAACGACCACACAACACAACCCTGCCACAATACACCATTCCTTTAGTCAGCCAAAAGCAAATGACATGGACATAGGCAAGGAAGTCTCCGGAAAACCACTGTATCTCTACTCACACATCTGTGAACCAGATGCTCATTACGAAGTGGTAATGTATGCTTCCTTGCTAAGGATCCTGCCAGACATCTCTCTCATGAAAATAAACACAGAGCCCTTTTAGCATCATTTCCGCACCAATCCGTTTTCTAGTGATACAGATGCAAAGTCCAGAAGACGGCCGGCTGAGCTAGGGTCAGGAAGTACAGGACTAGAGCGAGATGTACTGACCTGTACATGTACCAGTACTAGTATGTAGTACAAGGTAACTGTATGCATGCACATGTACATGTACCAGTACTAGTATGTAGTACAAGGTAACTGTATGCATGCACATGTACATGTACCAGTATGTCGCACAAGGTACCTGTATCCATGCAGCAACACACTATACTGAGTCTACAGAGAATGCTTATTTTGCGAGTGCAACCGTACGATTACACAAAGGGTTTGCCTTACGGTGTGTTCGATTGGTTGGATCCGAATCCAGACGGATTGAGTGGATCCTTTGGATCCACATCCTTTGGATCCACTACAAAGGATCCACCGATGTCCAATCAAACGGTGCACTTGATCGAATCTGGAATTTTAGTGATTTTTGAGGGTTTGCATGAGAGAAAGCAACGATTTCTGCATCATGACTTTTATTCCCGCCATCTGTACAAGTATCACGGGCAGAGTACGTTTTCTTGGCAAAAAAGAATCCGGTGGATCCGGTCAACCCTGCTCCCGGAGTAGGGTTGGTCGGATCCAAATCCATTGGATCTGGATCCAGATTCGTTGAAACGAACGTTCACATATTGAGTGGATCCGATTGATCTTGATCCAGATCCAACCAATCGAACATGCTCTTCTTGAATCACACTGGCCACATGTTACATGATTGGACTGGTATTAGAGACCATTGTCAGGTGAACTTCATGGGAGACATAATTATGACACCAGTAGGCATGACCAGATCGAAACATGCACCCTGGCATTAATCTTGATAACGTGATAATGATAAGCCATATAAACTGGGTGAACAGCTGTGTGCTAATAGATCAAGCAGAAAGGCAAAACATACGACCTCATATGTGAAAAATGTGTTTTCCTGTCAAGCAGAGCAGATGGATACGGGTATGAAGAGACTAAAGAGGTCGAGTAAAGCGCTATCCAGTGAATGAGCAATGATACAACCAAACTGAATGAATACTATATGTTGTACAATATCAACATTGCTGGAGGACAATTCTCCCTTTGCCAGGCAAGCAAGACTGTGGTAACCTGTCAAGAGTGAAATGGTAGTTTCTCGTGAGCAAACAAGCACGAAACTGCAGGTGCACTGTGACAGGTAGTCGTTGGACAAACTCAACACCCTGCACCCTCAATACAATCAGCTCAGTACGCAAATAAAAGACGTACGATAGAGAACTTCCTCGTAAGTACAGTTGGACACGATTTTTAGGATTTCTTTCTCTTACATTCTGTGGACGGTTTGGGGATGGGTACCAACCTAACCTAGCAGTTTGTGTTTCCAAGCAGCCTCCGAGTATTGAAGAAAGTTTCCAAGCACCATAATAAAATTATTCATGCCGGCACCTAAAGTGATCATGATTCAATAAGCACGAATGCACTGAACACATCAAAATCCCATGACCCCATGCCGCATGCGAGTATCAGTCGAACTCACCTTCTTTTACGGTGCATCCAACTAGCATAACATTTCCCTGTGGTTTACCTGGATGCAGCGATGCAGTCTGAGCAGAGAACACCAGTCCAAATAAACCGTTCGAGTCACAGAGAGCTTCCGCTTGATCAGAGTCAGGATAAACCACTTACCATCTCATCCTTGTAGTAGTGGAGACCTTTCTTCGTCAAGACGAACCAGCGATTTAGCCAATTTCGTCTCATGTGGCCCTTCTTCTTCATCAAGCCCTTTCGTATCACACCATCATCGTCCGAAGGGCCTGTCATACGAGGCCTGGTCTGACTGCTCCAAGTTAATCTTCGTACAAGAGATGCCATGGCAGGCACAACACAGTACAACTGGAACTCCCAATAGAAGCAACCAGATAGACTCAAGGAAGAAAAATAGTAGAATTTCAAGACTACAGTGTAGCTAAGGGAGCTGAATCAGTCTATGACTATGGATAACTGTTACTTGCTCGAACAACCAGAACCGAGAACTCCAAAAGACCAGAAAACTCCACCCTACAAATTGGATAGCAAAGCAGCAAAGTGACAAAATTGTGTCATGTACATGTCCTGAGGTTGAGGACACAAGTCGATCACAAATCAACGAACTCAGCAATGCAAGTCCAACTCCAACTCAACTGCTTGGTCTGCCTGCATGGTTGTGCAGTCAGTCGAGTCGAGTAGGCATGTGGAGCATGATATTCCCCCTGCGCGCCCCACGATTTCCCCGGAAAACCGCGATTGCGCAGCGTATCGTACCCGGTTTATGAAAATCGCCCACTTCAACCCGTTCAGAAGATAACTTGAGAAAGGGAAAGCACCTGACTCTGAGGCTGAGCTGGATCATGGATCAAGCTTGCAAGGCCGCGTAGGTCTACGATCGTAGAGTCTACGTGCTTCAAAATTCTCTTGTGCAAGAAAATTTTGTGTTGAGCATGTACATGTTGATGTAGGAAGATCAACAAAATGGTCCTTGCCATCTTACAGTAACTGTTACACTTTCACGCTACGGCGTTACTGTAGATCCATTTTGATCTCTGTCAGGAATTGTTTGTAGGGAATGGCAGCCAGAGGAGAGAATTTGCGCGAAGCTTGCTGCATTGGTGACTACGACGCCGTTCGTGGAATCCTGGCGTGCAATGTTGACGTGAATTCTCAGAATTCAACGAATGGCTGGACAGCACTGCATTGGGCAGTGCACCGGGGTCATGGACGCGTCGTTTCTCTCCTACTCACGCATGGAGCCGATCCGAAACTGGCCAATAGCAAAGGCCAAACTCCTGCAGATCTGGCGAAGCGTGATGACGTCATTCAGCTCTTGGGTGGCCAAACTCCAAGTGAATCCGATGTAAAGTCTTCTGGTGGATCCGCAAATCAGGATGGATCTGGATTTCAGCCGAATTACTTGAAACACCCACAATTAGTGTACCGACCACCGCAGAAAGAAGTGGAAGCGCCAGTACATGCATCCCCGTCCACAGCTGCACAGCTCGCCACGGCCGTGGGCTCATCTGAAGTACCTCCCCGCACAGCCGCTGCTGCGCCCGAATCTAAAGTAATCTCAACGACAAGTACATTAGCTCCTAGTATGAATGACAGTAGTACATGTAGTAGTAGCAGTAGTAGTGATCTTGTGGTGAAGGTGAGAGTTGTAGATAGCGGTGAGGATGACTTTGTTGAGGTGGATGTGGCCACACGCACTTTCAGCGGTCTTGTGCAGGCGTGTGCCGAAGAGCTGGAGTTTGATGCCACGTCCGTGGCCAAGGTACGGCGTCTACCGAATGTTCTCGTTCGCAAGGATCGCGACGTTGAGCGGCTAGTCTCTGAGTGTGAACTGGAGGTTGTGCTGAAGACGTGAGTATGTGGCACACTGTCTTCCTTTGAATGACTAGTTTGCTTGCAGGCCCACATTGTTACGGAGTGGTGTCGGTGTTGCCAGTTTCAGCTACGAACATCTGACCTAGATTGTGGACAATACAGCTATTGTATGTTCTTTGTAGCAACATGCACACACACAGCAATGAGGAGACAAGGTCAGGTCAGCACATGTGCACCTTTGCTGCACTTGGTGTTATGCAGCTCATCATGGTCCCATGCTGGTGTTGAACAGCTCAATGAACCTGTCTACAAGATGCGGTATGCTGTATGCAGTGGTGTACACTGTACGTTGTACTTGAAGCCAAGCTACCTGCTGTGCAGTACAGGAAGTATGGTTGCACTAGTATGCTGTCTACCGTATCGGTGTGTGTGTGTGTGTGTGTGTGTGTGCGTGCGTGCGTGTGTGTGTGTGACAGCACAAGCTGTGCTCAAACCGGTGGTACAGAGCACAGAGGGGCATCGTGCAGAGCCATTGGGCCGTCCCAGGCCGGGCCCTTTTCCAGCTGCAGGTCTCGGCTGGCTACAGGCAGGGCATGTGTTCCGAACTACAAGTGCCTCGCAACACCAGCAGCTACTCTCAGCCCTTTCATAACTAACTTCAGTGGACCAAGCATGCGCATCAGCTGAGGAACTGGCGCCTTGCGAAACAACAAAGAGTATTAGCACGTGGAAGCGGCAGATGTGTAAAAGACCTGCTCGTAAGGAGCGATAGAAAATTATAATGTGAATAGTGTTCTTATCTGTGATGATGTCCATCATACTTCATAATGTTGTTCATCGATATCTTATAGTCTCCGAGCTACAGTGCAACTCATTACCAAATTAATATCAGCAACTACAATTTGAATCCTCGTACGCAAAGTCAAACAGACTGTTGAAAAATTCTTCCAATTGTTCTTTTCCAAGAGAGCTTTTCGAAGTTGCCACAAGAAACTAGCTACGTGGCGGGTGCTTGGTTTGGCTCCACACGGCTGGGTTGTGTGTGTGAAAATCCTCGTGCATTGGTGAGTCAAGACCAGTTGGAGTGTGTTGCTCTGTATTCTGATAAGCAGCCATCCATCGGACCCCAAACCATGCATGGACCGTGTCGAGTAGCAATGATGATACAATATGTGTGTACGAGTAATACATGATACGATATTTGATCATTGTTTGGTCTCATATTGTTCGACGCACCACTAGTAGTAGTAGCCCACTGGCTGCCACTGATATCCGGGAGCAGTCCTGAAATTATGTGCATGACATTGTACAGACTAACAGTGCATGAGGGCTACACCATCTTGTAATACTAGTATAATAATAATATTCACCAGCCATGCATAATATCAACGCCGAGGACGTACTTCGCAGTCTAAGTACACTGCAGTGCATGCACCTGCCTACAATCATTTTTTTCATACTTTTTTTTTACGGTCGGTAAGGGTGCGTTCTTACATGCTCTAGCTTCTAGAAGAGGAAGAAAAGAGAAGTCGAAGAAACTGGGATTACTCAAGAACGGGTCTCGAAGAATTCGGAGATATTTTGCACATGTCAAGCAAAATGAAGCGTCAAAGGGGCCGCGATCTTGAGTGATGAATGTATGTGCGTATGCAAAAAGGGAAATGCGTACACTCATGATGAACACGTGGCTTTTAGTCGTAGTTCGCATGCGCTGATCCCAAACCGCGGGAATCTCCAAGTAATTAGTTTCAACCACCTCTGAAGCTTGGAGAGCCTCCTAAAAGTCGGAGAGGATATAAGAACAGCTCTCGAACTTTTCGGAGAGTCTCCAACTTTTCCGAGAGGATTTAAGAACGCACCCTAAGGTTCTATAAAATCAATACAGCATTCTCTAGATCTCTGTTCTTATTCAACCACACTTGATCCGTATTATCATTAATTCCACATTTTAGGTGTCACCTTAATATGTTTAAATAAAAAAATAGCTTCATGTCATGTCATTGTCAGAAAAATTATCTAGTCTATTCTCTACTCTCTGGGCAAATAGTTTCATGATAGCGGACGAGAATGGACTTCTCCTTTTGTGTGTGTGCGTGCGTGCGTGTGTGTGTGTGCATGACATTGTATGTTATGATAGCAGCAGCAGCAGCAGCAGTAGCTTACAATAAAAAGGCCGATACATGGAGAAGAGACTGTTAAAATAAGAGTAAAACAAGCAGGCCAGCAAGCCAAGAACTGAACCAGCAGTTCTTTACAGACGATTGTTGCCAAGCCCCAACTAGGGTAAAGAAATCAAATGATTGAACACATAAGGAGCGATAGTGAACGACAAAAGTTGGAGCAGAATGTAATCTTGCTTGGTTCTTCTTTCCGATCTATCACATGCCGCATGTCATAACATGTAGTACTGCACGAAACGGCTAATTTGCAATGACTTTGGTAAGAGTGAGAACACAGCAGCGGTACACAGTGTTTGTCCATCAACACACCACGGCATGACACGTGTTCTGTAAGGAAGCTTAGTGTTGAGAGTAGGAGGTAGTTTGCTGACGCGATTCCCTTCAAGTATTACGGGACTCCTCGTCATCAGCATCACGTTACTACTATCAGGCGTGAAGGCGTTCTGTGCAAGGTGATGCTCAGCGTGTCAGCTCTCTGTGACATCCATCACAGACGCGAGCTGGCTTCTTGATTGCTGGCAGCTTGGCTGTTTTTGGTGTGCATTGCTGGCAGAAGATGCTTCTGCAGGATCACACGCACATACAGGCACATACACAGTGACGTGCACACACACACACACACACACACACACACACACACACACACACACACACACACACACACACACACACACACACACACACACACACATTGGTACTTGTACTTGTTGCTCACTGCCAAAACTGGTCACGTGGGTCTCCCCGGGAGAGAGGGGGGGGGGGGGGAGAGACTCAAAAGGAATCTTGGAAAGATGACTCAATTGGTCATTGAACCGTCCAACGGCCGACACCCCCTAAAATCCCCAAAACTCTGGGTAGACTTGAAAATGATCCCACTTATAGGCTCACCACACCTCAGTAAGTGGGTGAGGACAAGGTGCAGAAAAAGGATTGACGGCATCAGCGTATCTGTCCCGGGTTCCAACTGCAGTTACCCCTGCCCCCAGTGAAGGTAATACTTGCTACTAGTGTGGGTGGCTAAATCAGAGTGGATCTGATATAAGCTTCACTAGCATCATTGATTACACAAGAGTTAATCTAGCCAGAAGCAGTCCATGGTTAGCAGGTATGTATACCTCAAGTAGAAAGTATATGAACCCTGGAACCAACAAAGGTGGCAGATACAGCATTACACCTTCAAGCAGCCGAGCCCGTTGGCAACAGACCCAACACAATCAGGCATAAGTGCAGCACCCTACTTACCCGCAATTTCGGCAGTGATGCTTGCGAACGGTGACGGAAAACTTCACCTTGCAGCGCTTGCAGTTGTTCACCTCGCGGTCAGATTCCCATGTACGCTCGCTGTACTTGGACACGTCAACCTGAAAGAGAAAAACAAAACAAGAAAATGACATTATCATCATGAGACCCGCTGGTAGTGGATGCATGCACTTCACCCAACTGCATTGACAAGAAAAAGGAAGGGTCCGTCAAGTGCCACCCGCTTTATCCAATTGCTGCTTACAAATTCTCAACCAGCGCTGAGATACCAAACAAACTATTACAATTTAGCAACCCGTTCAGTCTGTCCAAAATAACGTTCAGCTCGAGATTAATTAATACTTGTCTTATCTCTCGAGGACATCACATGAAGTACAAGTACAACACGCTCAGGGACAAGGGAAAGGGGTAAGACGGCTTGGTTAATGTGCTGGAATGGGGGTGACCCCTTGACATCCAGCACTGGCTTGAGAATGTGTGAACAGCAACTAAAAAAAGCACTTGTCAGTTGACAAACCCATCCTTTTCTTAGTCCTTGCTGGAATCTGGGACTGGGTAGCCCACAACCGAAAACACAAATCAGTACTTTATAGCTGAAGTACCCGGCTACACCCAGGTTAGAACTGGAAATACTGTATTATCTCTATTACAAGCGCAGTCTCTTGTAGAGGCCCAGTCCCTATTATAAGCGCACTCCAAGAGGGCTTTGAAGATATACAAGCGCAGTCTCCAAGGCGCAGTCTCCAATATTAGGCTGCAATCACACTAGGTACAAAATCACGTACAAACGGCATTACAGTAGAAATCGTCATGGCGACGCGTGCTAAATGCAAAATGCGCTTTGTAGGTTTTCAGCAACTGGCACACCCCTGTAGAAAGCCATATTTGTCTTTTTCGTCGTTTTCGCGCTCCATCTCCTGTGTACAACTTTGTTTTTGTAGCTGGTCGTCGTACATAGCATCAGCATTGGTTTTGAATTTCCCGGTCTTTTCCAGCGCATGGCACACGCTTTGGTACGACAACGTCACGTGCTGGTCGCGTGAAAACGTCATCTATGCAGACCGAAAAGTGTAGTGTGGTTGCGTACCGACTTGTACTTAGATATGCATGCAAATTTGTACATGTACATGTACTGTGATTTTTACGTAGTGTGGTTGCGGCCTAAGCGCAGGGCTTATAATGGAGAACCGTATGGATCATGTTCTGCATGTTTGACGTCACACAGTATCACATAAACACATGCCGTGGTAAAAGTCTGTGATCCCCGAGATCTAAAGTACAGACTCAGTGTACCAGGGAGCACAAAACTGCAGTCCCCAGTACCTGCTGGGAAACTTTCTGCTACTGATATAATGAAAAATAATCGGCAGTGTACATGTATCAGGTGGTTGAAAAATTACAAGCCCAGTCTCTAGTAGAAGCCCAGCCTCCAATATAAGCCCAGGGTCCGGACTGGTTGAACAAATATAAGCGCTGGGCTTATAATGGAGATAATACGGTACTTGCATAGAGTAGTGCTGTACCTGTAAGGTTTGAGCCAGTTGCCCCATGTCGTGAAGAGCATGTGTAGAGTCGTCCACTTGCTTGCGCAGTACTACCACCTTGCCCTGCAGTATCTCCACCTCCTCTTCACTTGTCAAGCACCTGTACACGTACACATGCACATACACACACACGTATGGTGCACACACGTACATATACCTCACACCGCATCACACCACACATGCACACACAGACACACAGGCAGTGAACACAGAGTCAACATAATACTAGGAGTTCGGGAATGTACATAGCAGCACTTGGTAGCCCTGTAAGTTGTAACAATATTCAGTTAAAAGTGTCCCATACTTCAAGAGTCACCAAAAGTATCTAAATATTTTGTAACAATATAGATGAGCGGAACAGCCACATACATGTACATGTAATTAGATCCGCAGGTAACGTTACCAAAGCCACATCCATTATACCAGTGTCTGCTCCAGGGCCACATGTACCCACATACGCACACAAATCGGACACCCACATGGACATACACAAACAAACACACGCACCCCCTCCCCCGACACACACGGAAACGTACGCGAACACACGCACGCACACAAAACTTGTTTTAGCATACCTGCCAAGCAACTCCGTCCGCTCGTCTTTCAAGTTTCCCACAGCACAGTCAAGCTCTGCATGCAGATGTGGAAAGAAGGTACAGTGCAAGTTACAACAGTGCACATAAATGGACCAAAGAAGCAAAATTGTTCTTGTGACTTGCCAGCAAGGCAGGAATGTACGCCGTGGCCAATGCGAGCAATCAACCAAAATCCTGACTTGCTTCACTGACATTTAACACTCAGAAGTCTGTAGATTCCTACAAGCATAACAGCTTTGTCTAACACCTCTACGGTTCCTGGAGGTTCACACAAGTGTTCACATACTGGAACCACTTGAGTGCAAATAGCGTAAAAATATATAAGCCGTGTATGCACATATACACACACGTATACACACACGTATACACACACGTGCACGCACACCACACACACACGTGCACGCACACCACACACACACACACACACACACACACACACACACACACACACACACACACACACACACACACACACACACACACACACGTGGATACTGGTAAACCAATACTTCGGCTAACAAGAGTGATTGATAAGCACTTGACAAGGAGATTCTGAAGACCAGTACTGTCCAGCTGCGCACACAACACAACTGTACTACTCACCCGCGACATCACCTTGCAGTCGCTCATTCTCTGTTTTCAAACGCCTCACGTCGGCCTGTAGTCCACCGGTCTCTGACTGGAGAGATGTGATTGTGGCGTTCAGCGTCTCAATGTTCATGTGGTGACGAGCAGTGAGCTGTGACATCTCATCAACAACGGACGTCCTCTTCTCTTCGGCCTGGCTCTGCGCACGGATAGCAGGAATACACATAGCCCAATACTACTACTTGCTGTGATGAAATACTCGAGAGACAAGAAGACGCACTACAATGGCTTGGGTCATGGCTACAGCGTACATAGTACAGTCAAATGTCACTGATCCGGTCGCCAGTTATCCGAGCACGTCGGTTATCCGACAAAGCCCGGGAGTGGTAATTTTATGACTCTCAACAGTAAAATTCTAAAAAAAATTTTTTGTTGTATATTATACGGTGTATTGTAATATGCATTTACTTGAAGTAGATGTGGTCAAGTATGCTAACATGTATGTGTACATGGGCAATTCATGATATGCACGAATATATTTGGGTATTGTGTACATAAATCAGTGAAATCCAGCCATATACAGTAAAACCTGTAACTAAAGACCACCGTGACTAGCGACCAGCCTGGTACTACGGACCACTTCACCAGGCACGGACGGTCTCACATTCAAAATGCACTGTGACTAGCGACTACCTGCTGAACGCGACCAGCGACCGCCTTTTCTTGTCCCAAAGACGACTTTTGACCCGTAGCTAGCGACCGCGATGTAGGAAATCAAATGTTGCTCGAAGCTCCTTCTTGAAATTTTGCTGATTTTCCAAGGTCCTGAAAGGAATCTTTCGATACTGCAGCTGAACAAATGAACGCAGGTCATTTTGACTGTGGAGTCGGTGTGGACTGCACTGCACCTGTCAAAGTTTCAAGCCCTGTGAAGAATAAACATGATCGGAAACGTCTTGGAGAGCGCATCGGAAGCGCTCTCTGGTCGATGTTACTACTCGGAGGAGAAACGAAGACTGAGCGGCTCTGTCACCCCAGTCATACAGACGAATCAACGATGGCATCAAGGAATCCATAAACCAAGCAGCACCACAAGGTCCTGATGCTGACGGATCGTGTTCAAGCAATCGAGAAGTCCGCACAACAAGGACAGTCGATACGATGGACTGCATGAACAAATTTGAAGCCCAGCGCAAAACGAAACTTACACAGGGAGCGTTTGACTCCTGGCTTCAGAAGTAGCCGCTGAATTGATGTCTGCAAAAAATTAAACTCTTCTCTCTCTCTCCCTCTCTCTCTCTCTCTCTCTGACTCTCTCCATCTCTCCGTCTTTCTCTCCAAGTGTTGTTTGACCTAAAATAAGAATGGTATTGCGCAAGTTCTGGGGAATTGTATTGGCTGCATTTTGACATACATATCATCTAATGGGATCCATATATGGTCACGCAGTGCAAACCTCTAACTAAAGACCACCTGCTACTAAAGACCGCTTTTGCTGGAACCAAGGGGCGGTCGGTAGTCACAGGTTTTACTGTATGCACAGTTATCCAACATATCCAGTTATCCAACATGCCTGATTCCCGAAGTGGTCGGATAAGTGACATTCGACTGTACATGAATGTATCTTCAAGTTGCTAGATAGGTGAACTGGTGTGCTTCAAAAGTGTACACACAGCAGAATACATGTACAAAAATGAATATACATGTACACACATACCCCCCCCCCCCACACACACACACAATCACACACATTCAGACTGTCTTACCAGCTGTGTTCTCAGTGATACCAACTGAGTACCAAGACTACTGGACACGGCTTCAGCATCTGTCTTCTGCTGTAACGCCACCTCCAGGTTCTACAAGGCCAGAGCACAAGGAATAGAGATAGACCTGCATTAGTTTATATCTACATGTATTTTGAATTTTTGATTGGCAACCATTACAAACAGGTCACTGATATTGGTAATGCACAGCCAGTTTTCTCTTGGCCCCATATGCACGGCATGCCTTCACCATACTACATGTACTTGCAGTAGTGCACTGGTAGAGGGTGGGAGATTGAGAGTCTTACTGCTACTGACAGTAGTACATGTAGATTCCTTTGACAGCTGAACAATCTGGCCAGGTCCATTCAGGAGGCATAGGAGACAGACTCAGTCAATAGCAGCGGTGGTGGCAGTCAAGCGTAGCTTCATGCACTTCTGAAGTTCATGCACTGGAAGGTGGCACAGCTGGTCATCTTCCTATTACAGGAATAGCTCTTGCACCCGGGTATGTCAAACGTCAACTCATCTTCCAAGAGGATAGGAATGACTGCCAGACTACGTTCTTACTTTCAGCAGCTCTTTTAGCAAGGTTGATTCTTTACATGAGGTCCACTCTTACTGTTGCACAGGCTTCATAATCAACATTAAATTGAGAGCAGCACCTTCAATATCATAATCAGTCTTTTCTTGTTGATCTAAATTCAAGTAAATTGCTTATTACTGATTAGTCCCCGTAGTGGGAATCAGCTCAAAGTCATTATGTGGCGGCAGCTAAGTACCTTCTGCAGGTCTGCGGTCAGCGCAGTGACGCGATGCTGCAGCTCCACCTTCTGTTCGATGAACAGGCCGCGTGCCTTTTGGCTCTCCGCCAAGTCCTAGAGCGGAGACACACGACCCCGGCGTCAACAACATGCGCAGTAAGTACACGTAGCAGCGATAACCCACGGCGCAGATATACGGCAGATGCACAATCAGCAATGCACAGTGATGAGCTGGTAGTGCGCACATCCACAAGGTAATCTTGAGCAATTCATGGAGAAGAGGTGGTGACTTCATCAGGATTATCTGTTATCACCTTGGACATTAGTTGAAGTGGTCATTGTCATTGCTGTACTTATCCTCATCATCAGAACACTTCAACGAAAACTTGTTCGGATCCTTCTTCATTGTTCTATTCACGATTGCATCTTTCTAATTTCTTTTTTTGTTGCTATTTCACACTGTTTTCATCGGTTGACACTGTTTGAATAAAGTACCACATGTCGACTCAGCTGGTCCTCTTGCTTGCGATAAAGAATTGATGAAAACAATGAAGTCCTTGGGAGGGAAATTACCTGCTTGTGTATATGCAATTATGCATGTAACGCTACGTAAGTCAGTCTGCCAAAGACATGAGTTAGTTTGCCTTGCAGTTACTGCCGAGAAACACAGGGAAATGCGTCTCCCGTAGTAGCTGTGGGTATCACGAGAGAGTGCGCTGGAACTATAACCCTGGTGGCAATTGTCGCAAACGTAGAGGTGTGGAGAAGGGCAGCAGCAGTCCACCAAGCACCACTCAAGAAGTTGGAGACCAGGAGGCGAGTACTGGCTGCAGTATTGTTTATAACACCGAGAATGTGAACGATGGGTGTGCCTACTGCACATCATCAATGTTCCCCTGAGCAACTGGCCCAGATGGACAAGGTTCCGGAACGTGAGCTCACGTCCGTCACTGCTCTTATCATTGCTGTCGCCATCGTCATCGTTGTCGTTGTCATCATCACCATCATCAAGCAGCACATTAGCGTTCACCAGTTTACTGGTTTATATCATCAACAGTCAGACATGTATTGAATAGGAGTCTCGACGCGAAATTCATGAAAATGGTGAAAAAGCAAAGCTGGAAGCCAGACACCTTGTTGCCTGGATTCAGTAGATTGGGAACAGCTTCATGGCATTCCCTCATTGACCCACTCAGTTGCTTTCTCATTCATTCGGTCACTTAGTCACTCACTCACGCACACACTGACTCAACCAGTCACTCACTGACTCGCATGATCACCTCAGCATGTACACTACTATTGTACAACATGATCATGCGGTCACCATTACACAATACTCACTCACAATAAATTCAATAACACAGGGAGGAAGGATTGATATTTAGACTGTAGACTGAATGCATGCTGACAAACCAAGCATCTCCTTAAATCAAGTCCATGCATAGTTGCACACTTTTAGGGGGTGGTTGCACACTCTTGATGGTATACCATACATGCACACAACCAGTGCTCTTGTGTGTAACGCTAACTGACCTTTTCATGTGCTGTTTTGGCTGCAATCAAGGACTGGGTCAGACTGGAGATTTCCTTTTCCAGTGATGTTCTGTGCGACATCGTCACCATTGAACAACAACAACAACAACAACAACAACAACAACAACAACAACAACAACAACAACAACAACAACAACAACAACAACAACAACAACAACAACAACAACAACAACAACAACAACAACAACAACACCAACAACACCAACAACACCAACAACACCAACAACACCAACAACACCAACAACACCAACAACACCAACAACACCAACAACACCAACAACACCAACAACAACAACAACAACAACAACAACAACAACAACAACAACAACAACAACAACAACAACAACAACAACAACAACAACAACAACAACAACAACAACAACAACCATGCAATATACAAACAGTTCAGAAAACAATCATGTTCAGATGCAAGCAGTGTGTCCTGTTCTGCATGGCACCGTATCACAGGTATTACCTCACAAGAAATCCAGCCAGTGCAAGCAGGCTGTTGAGCTAAATGTACAGAGAACAGCAAGAGCTATGATTTAGCTCTTTCAGACATGCTGCCAGTGACAATGACAAAAACACCAGCAGTGGGCCCAGTGCTGCTGCTGCTGCTAACAAGAACAAGGCACACCGGCACTGAGAATAGCTAACCTGGTTTTTGTCAGCTCAATAATGACGGTTTCCTTGGCTGACAGGAGCTGCTCTGACTGGTCCTGTGAACACACACATGTGAGTCAACGTGAATTCACAGATGCACAGATGCACAGACGCACAGATGCACAGACGCACAGACGAAAAGACGCACAGACGCACACACACACACACACACACACACACACACACACACACACACACACACACACACACACGCACACACACACACACACACACACATGTGCGCATGTGCACATGCCCGCACACACACACACACACACACGCACACACACACACATTACATACACACACACACACACACACACACACACACACACACACACACACACACACACACACACACACACACACACACACACACACAATTACATTACTAATAATGGGGAACAAAACAAAACAACAAGGACAATCAAGGCTTGTTTGCTGCTACTTCAAGTTTCATGCTCTCGCAATCATCAGCCAACAATGTACTGTAAAAGCCATAATAATATTTCTGACATGTCACATGACAATCGACATGGCAACAGCGAATCCTAGCGCGACTTGCCGTGCTTTGAATCAGCCACTGAAGACCTGTGAGCGCTTGCAGGTCTCCGATTTTCCAATCGGAGCACGCCCAGGCGTGCTCCGATTCAGCCATCAGAGGCCGCTTTTTTTTTTTTTTTTTTTTTTTTTTTTTTAGGCGGGAGTTTTTTAGGCGGGAGTGGAGCGCCGGTATGAAAGACTAAGTGCATAGTGCATTATGGTTGAAGAATGCAGATGTGCAGGGACTTGCTACAAGTGCTCTGTTAGTTTGATGTTGAAAGTGAATAAGTGGTGGTTGTGAAGAATAACAGGACATGTCAGTGATTCAAAATTTCGCGATGGACCTGGAGGAGGAGGAGGAGGAGGTTGCGGACATTGCTTTGGGCAGTGAGCCGCCAGCCAAAAAAGCTCGTTTCGCTGAAAGTACCCTTCAGGATGTGGCGAATATCATCGAGAGTCGTGTGCCGATAAGTACAAAGCGCACAACCGAAGGCTGGGTGAAAGTGTTCGAAGAATTTTGTAAGCAGAGGAAGTTGGCTGTCAACCTCAAAACAGACTCTCCTGGAGTTATAAGCGATGCTCTGGCTCTTCTCTACGTGAATGCCCGCGGCAGGGAAGGGCAGGCCTACCAGCGTTCGAGTTTGCTAGGGTTGAGATCCGCTCTGCATCGCCACATTCAGTCGTTCCGTCCGACAATGAACATCTACTCTGATGCAGAGTTTGTCATGGCGAACCAGGCACTTGATGGTCGCATGAGGCAAATGAAACGCAGCGGAGAGAGTAAGCCAGCGGAGCACAAAGCGGTCATTACCGACACGGACATGGCAAAACTGGGGAGATATTTCTCTCAGTACACAACATCCGCCGTTGTACTTACTGAGAGTGTGTGGTTCGCTATCACATATCACTTCGCTCTCCGTGGCTGTGAGAACCAGGAAACGATGACCAAGAAGGACCTGATCCTGAAGAAGGATGATGACGGCCGCGATTTTGTGGAACTGGCAACGGATTTTTGTACTAAGAACCATTAAGGCGGGATTGCGAGCCGTGATAAACCAAGCGACGGTCGCATCCAGCAGCCAGAGCAAGTCCATGCCGTAAAGCTGTTGCTGGAGTCTCTCAGCCCGAAGAGCGAGAGACTGTTTCAGATGGCATCTCGCTCTGTAAAGCCCGGAACGCAAGCCTTCAATGGTTTACCGCTGGGTAAGAACACCATAAAGGCTATGATGAAAAGGATCTCCAACAAAGCCAACCTCTCGAGATCCTACACAAATCATTGTGTCCGCGCAACAGCAGTGCAGAAGCTTGTGGATGCGGGCGTGTCGGAGACAGCGATCATGGGGACGACGGGACATCGCCAGGTCCAGTCGTTGACCGCATATGCCAACAGGAATTCAGAACAAAAGAGAAAAGAGATGGCTGCAGTTCTGGATGGAGAGTCTCCAACTGCAACCAATGCTGCTACCCGTGCTCTTACAGCGCCAACAACGAGCGTTCAGCGATCACAGCAGCAGACTGAGTTCCACGATCCCGACATTGATGAGTACATCGCAACTTGTGACCCAACAGTGCAATCCCCAACTCACCAACGGTCTCTGATGCAGAAAGCTACGAAGACCATCAACTTTTCCGGAGCTCAGTTTGGTGCAAACTGCAATGTTCACCTGCACCTGTAGGCTGTAGGCTGTAGTCACTGCGAAGAAGAGAAGCTGAACTGACCTGGTTTTTAGCTGACTAGACCGCCCTTGTTTTATCTCTGTGTTGTGACTGTGTACATTAGTCATTATGTAACATGTCTGAAGTACTAAACTGGCGACTAGTTGTGTTCCTTGTCTGGTCTAGTGTGCGTGCCTTGAGTAGGTACTAGGTATGTGTGAAGTACTACATGTAGTAGTACTAGTAGTACGAAGTAGTTCGTGCAATGCATGTCAGAAATGGTATCAAAGCATTCGTACTCGGACTCAAGTGCTAGAATCGGAGCCCTCCGCGCTAGCGCGCGTCGGGCTCCGATTCCGCACTTTCGTCCTCGTACTCATGCTCGATTCCATACATATAACGAAGTGCTAACTCTAACGAGTTAACGAGGTGAAATCTGTCGTTAAAATAGAAATTGTTATACAGAAATCGATACATATACTGTCCTATTGAGCGTTGAGAATGAGCGAGAATCGTTACCTTTGGTACACGTAAGCTAGTCAATTTTGGGAAATCGTTATATATGCGCCTCGTTAGAATAATGGCTTTTACAGTAAGTTGAAAAAGACTGCCATTGAGATTGCATAAAGACCATCAACATCATTGTAGGAAAAACTAGACATTCAATACAACGAATTTTCGATATAATTATGTGAAGTTACACACTGTTGTTACAGTGGCAAACTAACGTTATAATTATAGGGCTTGAACGTACTACGTCACAGCCGCAGCCTGGAGCCATGACAACGGCACTGGCGAGCAACGGAGTACTTGTAGGAGCAGATAGCATGTCGTACACAAGACTAACCTTTTCTTCAGTGACCTCTGTCAGCGTCTTCTTCTGCAGACCCAACTCTTCCTTGAGATCCTGCAGCTGCTTACTCAATGCATCCTTGGCCTTCAAAGTTCGAAACAGAAGAAAAATGTTTGCATTGAATTTGAAGTTCTCCCATTCCCATAAAATTTAACATTATTTCGTACTTCCTACAAAAGTCCGGAAGATGACCTCTTAGACTAGAAAATGTAACATTTAAATTTCTGCAAACAAACGTTCAATTGTAAACCCAAGGAAATAGGAAAAATTACACATAATCATACATAATACTCAAAGTCCTTGCTTATCGCTTTAGTGCGTAGCAGGAAATTGCAGTTTGTTGGCCAAATAGTTACGTGCTGCTGGTTTGGCTACTGTTATTGACAAGGTTGTGTGTTTCTGGAGGTCGTATGTGCAGGTGGGTCGTCTCGCTTGGTTGGGTAACAACGTTATTCCGTCTCGGAAGCACATGGATATGTCTTTTTTCAGTTAATAGCTGCCCATGATAGAACTAGTGCCCCTACCGCCTTAGGGCTACAGGCTCATGATGATAATTATGATGATAATGGACTCGGATGGAGAGCCAAGGATAAATATATAGTAAAGAAAAAGGACCAAGCATTATTGCGTAACTTGCAGTTCCTTGGTCCTTTTTCTTTACTATAAATGTATGATGATAAATGTACCAATCGTTGCATTTTACCTCGGTGAGTTGCTTGATCTTCAGAGACGACTCCTTCTCCACAGATGCAAGCTGAAATTCACGACTATCGATCTGTGAATTGAGGTCCTACACAGTAGACGCAGAAGACAACACGATAGTGAAAGGCTACTGTGGAAAGGAGGAGTACTGTACTAAATACAGCAAAAAGGCGGCGAGGTGACCATGCCTGGCCGAATGTTGTCACTAGTAGCGTAATCCATACTTCCCTTTCGTTGGTCTTCAACTCTCCATTGTTAGCTTTCACAGGCGTGGTTTCCTGTCACAAAACTTGTTATAATGATTGCATTGTTTTAAGGTGTCATTTCTCATCATAAGTGCCTCTGAATAGTCTCAATGTTGCAGTTTGTTCATCAGTAAAACGAAGCTTCCCGACGAGCGTTGTGCGACACCTAGTTCGAAGCAGTTTTTTCTCTTATGCATCATTCCTATTATCGTTCCTATTACCGCCTGCCCGTTATAGCTGTACTTACCAGTTCTCAGGCCAAGCGCCGGGGATGTCAAGCTACTCGTCCTGAAAGATCATCAGTGGTCCCTTGCAGAGGAATTGGTAGAGTTCCTTGCTCCTGCAGAAGCAGTTACCCGTCTCCTTGGTGGACAGCAGTACGTTACTGCTAGTGTCATTCTGCCACTTTTTATCGTTGGCCTTGTATCAGAGTTCAGGAAGCCACCTACCGACTTGGATGCTAGTGAAGAAATGGAGTCACTCGTTCGTTACTGGTATGCCATTCACAGCTGATGAAGTGAAGAAATGGAGTCACTCGTTCGTTACTGGTATGCCATTCACAGCTGATGAAGTGAAGAAATGGAGTCACTCGTTCGTTACTGGTATGCCATTCACAGCTGATGAAGTGAAGAAATGGAGTCACTCGTTCGTTACTGGTATGCCATTCACAGCTGATGAAGTGAAGAAATGGAGTCACTCGTTCGTTACTGGTATGCCATTCACAGCTGATGAAGTGAAGAAATGGAGTCACTCGTTCGTTACTGGTATGCCATTCACAGCTGATGAAGTGAAGAAAGCTGTAGAAGAGCGTGCTGAGAAGCTGCGCCCTGTGATTACGTCTTCAGCAAAGCCACGTGAGCCGAAAGCCAAACACAGCGTTTGGGACATGCTAGGCCAGGATGAAACGAAGAGGATGCAGCTTCCAGTGTCCAGGTGGAGATGGCCATGTTCTACAGCGAGAGTCGTCGTGAAGGTCGAGCGAGGATCGTTCACCCCACCGGTGTTCTCGACATATGGTTTCAGCGGGTCTGAAACAACTCAATTTCTGAAGTCTCTTGCCTCTCTTTTCATAGAGAGAAGTCAGGATTTGAAATATCCTGTTGTAATGGCCGATATGGGTATGTTGTGTACCCGCCTGTCATTTTGCCTCTTGCGGTGGGCCATTACTTGCTTCGTGGCTGCCGAGGGTCATATAACAGACGGCGGGTGAATTCTTTTGTGGCTCAGTGTCGCTTGGCCGCATAGTGAATTTTACGCTATGCCATTACCTACCCGGTAAAATACTCAGCAATTGAATATCTACTTGGTACGAATTATTCAACTGTTAAAATATTTTTACTTGAATATCAATCGGGTGATTTGACTGATTGACCTGTTCCCTGATTTTTGCACACAATCTCGGTTATCGCCGTACAAGAGGCCGTTTCCATGAGGATGAATCAGATGACGATGATGAGGACAACAGCAGTGAAGACTTGCCACCTCTTCCATCTCTCCACCGGCTATCCAGCTTGTGTGATAGTGACTGAGGACAGCACAAATCAATGTATCCCGATCTTCTATGACACATTGCTGTCCTTTCTTTTAGGTTTTGGAACCCTCTCTAGAGCCAGCAGCGGCACTGCGCACACGTTCGAACGGTCCATAACTCAGTCTGTGTGTGTGTGTGTCACCGTGTGTGTGTGTGTATGTGTGTGTGTGTGTGTGTGTGTGTGTATGTGTGTGTGCATGCGCGAGCGTGCGTGCTACGTTCAAAATGTGTACAGTAGTCACATTCCATTTGAAAGATGACGGCATAGGACGTTCGTATTGCCCTTTTTTTTTTACAAACCAAATTCTCTTCTCCACAGGACCATTTTTTTTAATTCTAAATTTTCGCATTTTTCAGCTTCTAATACTAGTACTGCCTTTATCTGTGGAAGAAATAATCGATAAATAACCGATAACCGATCGATAAAGGTTTAACTGTTAGGTTCTTCGGTAGTCAAAAAGTGTAATCGTTTCACCCCTACTCTACAACCATATTCTGCAAAACATTACTAGTTGTGTCGAGCTAGTCCAAATGCAACAAGATCAAAAGCAATGTTGTAAAATGACGATATGAAACTTACGCCAAAATCTGTTCTAGCACCATCCAGCTCTGCTTGCAACGCTTCAATTGTCTGTTCGCCAGACTGGAGTGATATCAGAACACACAGCATAATTTACTCAGAACAGTGAAGCACAGGGCAGAGCAATGCAGGCAAGGAGAGAGGGATAGAAAAAGAGATACCAGTAGATGGATAGATAGATAGATAGATAGATAGATACATAGCAGACTCAGCAGAGGACGTTCAGGTGGGTTGTAACTCTGAGTTTCATGCTGCTAGGCAATCATCAGACAACTGATAGATACATGCAGATAGATAGAGATAGACACATAGAATAGAGAGAAAGAATGCAGGAACTCAGCGTAGCAACATGCAAAAATCCACGCACAGACCACCCACCTTGACTTGCGCCTGTAGGCGGCACACTTGCCGCTCATAGTTCTGACAGCTCTGACACGGCTTTTTCAGTTCCACTTGTAAGCCCTGTGTGGGGTATGCATCACATAGCACGGACAACAACAACAACGGCGGCGGCGGCAACAACAACAGCAACACACACACACGCACACAGGCACAGGCATACACAGACAAAGACATACACAGACAGACAGACAGACAGACAGACAGACAGACAGACAGACAGACAGACAGACAGACAGACAGACAGACAGACAGACAGACAGATACACAAGTGTGTATGTAATGCGAGTATGTAAGTTACAGCGAAAACACAACCGGGCACACATGCGTGCATCCAGACCCATACAGTGGTGTACATGTATGTCTTTACCTCAATCTTCTGCTGTAGTGACTGGAGAACTGCCTCCTTGGATTCCAGATCCTGTGAAAACTTCTTCTCTTTCTTTCGACTAGCCTCAGTCTGAAGACAATGAGAAAAGAGCATCATCATAGAGTCCGTCTACTTCTTGTAATATCGACCGAAAAGGAGAAAGAAAATCCAACAAGAATAAGCGCCCAACAGTCAGTAACGAAAAACAAACAACAGCAAAATCAAGTAGACGAGAACAAGTCCAGAACAGTTTCACCAAGATATCAGAAGGCAACAGCAGTTTCATCAAGATATCGGAATGTATCATTTCACAAGAAAAGTCGCACATAGCAGATCTGTGTGGGTGGACATCAGTGCGGCGACTGATACTCACCAGGCTTTGCAGCTGAGAGTCAACCTCAACCATCTGACCTTGAACAGCATTGGCTCTCTCCTGCTCAAACTGACAAGAAGAAGAGCAAGAGCAAGCAGGAAGGAGGAAGGGGGATTGTGCAAGTACAAGGGTGGTGCACGCATGCTACAGTCGTCATTAAAACTGAGGGAGCAGGGACAGGAAACAATGACTCAAAGAAAGGATGCAGATAAACAACGCAATCATGTGTTGATGCATGACAAGTTCGAAATACATTCTAGCTGGAGTCATTATTTCACTACAAACCAGTTCACATAGAGGGCCAATTACACACAGCATTGTACACTTGGGGAGAGGCCATTGTTAGACTGAAATGCACACTTTTTACCTGTAGCTTCTGTTTAGACTCCTTGAGGAGACGTTTTGATTGACCGAGCTGTACACAGAAAGCGAGCACATGCGCACACACATAAGCATGCACACAGCATTTTCACAGCCAAACGCCAAGAGAGAACAAACACTTTAGAATCTCAACAGAGTGCTGTCGCGTTGCTGCGCTCTGCAGCCAGTGAGTGTGAAGTTGTGGGAACAAAAAGTGGACACAAAGACCCAACGTTTCGTAGCACCCTTTTGAAATAACTTGGGAAAGAGTAGGTGCACATTGAGTCAAGATGGTTCAAACTCGAAAACCAAAGCTAAAGTGGTCGGTGTTGTACATGGGACATCTTAGAGCTGAGTGCATACACAGCAGCCTGCAGAAGGCTGGACAGGGCGGGAGCAGAACAGATGGCACTGAGGTCACTGTACACACTCGCAGCCCACATGGCTGAGACCAGTGCTCCATTACTAGCAACGTGCACAGGCATGACACAACTGAAGGAATGGATCATTGGAACTTTGCTGTATTCTGAGTTTCTTGCAAAGACAACCATAACCCAACTGAACACAACATGCATGCGCTCTACCCATAGCGCTGTGTACGCTGCTGATGCTAGTGCTACTGGTGCTTTCAGCATAAACTAATCTACATAGTTGCATGACTGACCTGTTCTTGCAGCTTTGTGCACTCCGCCTGGCTGGCCTGAAGCGAGTCTTTCAGTCCCTGAGCTTCCTTCTCACCACCCTGCACAGAAACAACACACAGGTACACATATACACACGCACACGCGCACGCACACACACACACACACACACAAACACACACACACACACACAAACACACACACACACACACACACACACACACATCCTGAACTTCTCTATTCCACAGAGGGCACTGCAGTGCATTGCAATGACCATCTTCGCATTTTACGTCCTCTCGTTAGCCTCCTGCGTGGAGTTGCCTGCTTTACATATCATTACCCCATTTGGGCTTTGAGATGTTGGCGTAAAAACTACAAAAGGTGCGACATATATCCGGGGAAATACGCTAGGAATAGATTGGAAAAAGTGTGTGTGTGTGTGTGTGTGTGCGCGCGTGTGCGCGTGTACGTGTCTGTCCGTCCATATGTGTTTGTGTATCTACTATCTAGGAATGGAGCAAGCAGGCATTGGCCCTACTCATATCAATCACTGCTTGACAACCCTGGATGTCCCTGCCATTGACCCCAAGCTTAGAGAGTTATTGGGCCTGCTGTTGAGAAAGTAGCGCAAGAGAGCTGCGAGACGGCAGCAGCCGAAGAGTCACGGATAGCTGGAGATGAAGGAATAACGATGAGTTACGACGGCGGGTGGCAGCAGCGAGGACGCGCCATGAACAGCCTGACTGGTGTTGGTCACGCTATTGGCGACAAAACTGGGAAAGTTGTTGTTGTTGATTTTTATTTTGCTTCGCAAGGCCAAACGGGCAATGGTGCCCAATTCTATGGAAGCGAATTTCAAAAGGGAGAGAGCTACGGGGAGAGAGAGAGAGAGAGAGAGAGAGAGAGAGAGAGAGAGAGGGGGGGGGGGGGGGAGGGAGGGAGGGAGATGATAAGCAATTTTGTAGCGTCAACAGAGCGATTGTGCAGTGTCAATAGAGCGATTTTGAAGCGTCAACAGAGGGAACACAAAGGGTTCATAAGCGCACAAGCACGCAGAGCAATTTTGTAGCGTCAACAGAGCGATTTTGCAGTGTCAATAGAGCGATTTTGAAGCGTCAACAGAGGGAACACAAAGAGTTCATAAGCGCACAAGCACGCAGAGAAGAGTAAATGACGTGGTGTGTGGACGGGAAAAGTCAGACAGAGCATTCATTGCAAGGTGTAGGGGATGGAGGCAAGCTTAACCCTTTCACTGCCGCTGTCGACTGCAGTCGACAGCGCATTCATGCACTCCGAGTGCCATTGTCGACTTGCGTCGACGAGTAAACATGCAGTCCCCAGTGCTGTTGTCGACTTCCGTCGACAGGCAGACCTCACCCAGTTCGTGCCTCTATTTTCGAATATTGGAGATGTTTTGCCGTGGTAGACGGCCACTGGGCCCTGGAAGATGTCCATACCCATCGAAATACGCTTCCAGAAGTATGGGTTGCCATTTGAAAAAAATCGAACCAGCGTCGTTGAAAATGCGCATCCGATTTTTAGCCGATCGGCGAGGAAGAAACCGGTTCTCACGCACTTCCACCTCGCTGAGTCGGTGCGAGTATTTTCCTCTTTCCCGTCAACTTTCATTGCACGGAGCATGGAATTTGGTTCAGACTTGATGCCTAGCTATTACCCAAGACTCCAGGCGGCTATCCGTTGCGATAGGCGGTTGGAGTCACGGGTAGAGACAACCAGACGATAAATTCCTCGCGGACGCATTCACTGCAAACTTGACGGAAACAGCGCTGGCGGCGGTCACCGGGTCCAGAACTAAAATTTTCTAAGAACTACCACGTTGCAATGGCGACCAGCACGGTCAAGAGACACTACAGGTATGTCAGCTACAACATAATTATATTCTTTCTACAACGACACCTACCTCTGGCTCAAAACCTGACGATCTACTGCAAGCTGATGCGAAAGTGAATTACACTCGCGAACGCTTGTCAACGGAACAGGGAAGCGCTTCACTCTCCGAAGTTGAAAAGTATTTGGACTGCTGCTAATGGGGAGAACAAACGACCACCATGGCGGCAGAACATTCCGCAGCCGTTCACCGACACGATCCGCTTCACCAAACGACTTACGAACGTTTCGTTCTCCGAGTTTTCTGGTGGCAGCAACAAGAATTTCGTCCGCAACGACAGGACGAAAGTCTCTCGCAACTGAAGTCCTATTGCCACGAAGATAGAGAAGATTCCGCAAGCCATCTCTTCTGCTTCCAGTGTTGTAGCTCAACTGTCCACTGGCATATCTTTCAATCCCAGCGAACGAAAAAAAGGATCTGCTTCTCTCTCCAAAACAACAGCTAACTTTACTTCGCGAGTGTCCGGGCCGATCGTGTACATAGTGTATGTAGCGCATGCGGCGCACGGCGCACTTTCGCATGACATGACACGCATTTTTGTACAGCGGCTGGCGCTAGATCGCGCAGCACGTTTGTACTTCGGATTTTGCGATTTTTTTCGACGGCAATGGCTTCCTTTATGAGTTGTCTACCTACGATGTATACTTTGGAAAGCGATATTCCGTACAGAAAGTACCAAAAAATCCAGGAAAAGTAGGCCTTTCGATTTTTCGAGCTGGAGGTAAAAAGTGCCTGGCAGGGAGGGGGTGTACAGCTCAGCTGACAGCCTGGCAGGGAGCGCCTTGTCACCTTGAGTGGTCAGCTGGCAGTGAAAGGGTTAAATTGCTGGGCAGCCTTGATCTCCCTTACACTCCTTGGGAGAGCGTTCCAGGCCAAGGCTGCCTGAAAGGCCAGGCGAGATCTGCCGGCTTCTGACTGTGCCGAGGGGACAGTGAGGCCCCTGGAAACCTGGTGCCGGGTGGTGCTGCCAGCTGATGGTGAGAATAGGTCCTGGAGGACACTGCTGGCTTTCCCATTGACACAGCGCCACACCAGGACGAGCCGCTTCTGGGCGTAGCACTCCCGAACTCTGTACAGGGACATCCAAAAAGTCATTGGCTATGCAACATGGTCTAAGCGATGTGCAACATGCTACGCTGCCGAGGGATTGGGCAAAGTGCCAGGCAGCCATGACTGCAGGAAGAATTTCGACAAGTCCGCCAAGGCAATGGAGTCTGATTCAGCAGGTGAAATTGCAGAATCGCTCCAGTCTTCCGGTGTCTCCATTGCTATGCTGATTGGGGATGATGACTCAAGTGCCATCAAGCGTGTAAGGGAAGTTGTCGGTAAGGAGGTTGAAAAGTCATCGGACCTTGACCATGTGAAGAAAAAAACCTTGGGAATTCTCTGTTTAAGCTGAAGGCGGAATGCCGCAAGGAGCTCTCTGATGAAGTACGTGCAGAAGCTCTTCGTGTATGCCATTACCCAGAATCACGGCAATTCTATCAGCTTGAAGGTTGCACTGAACACCAAGGCAATGGAGTCTGATTCAGCAGGTGAAATCGCAGAATCGCTCCAGTCTTCCGGTGTCTCCATTGCTATGCTGATTGGGGATGATGACTCAAGTGCCATCAAGCGTGTAAGGGAAGTTGTCGGTAAGGAGGTTGAAAAGTCATCGGACCTTGACCATGTGAAGAAAAAAACCTTGGGAATTCTCTGTTTAAGCTGAAGGCGGAATGCCGCAAGGAGCTCTCTGATGAAGTGCGTGCAGAAGCTCTTCGTGTATGCCATTACCCAGAATCACGGCAATTCTATCAGCTTGCATGTTCTACAACATCACCGGACGTGAGGGGACAAGGTACCAAAAGGACGGACCAACAACAAGCAAGCACCGTAACACCATGACACCTCTCATTGAGGTTATGGTGGAGGACGATCTACACATTTTATAAACTAGTTTCACCATAATTCTCACCATCATTCATCATTCATTCATAATTCTCACCATAATTCTCTCCATAGTAATCCCTATTCTCTGTAAGGAGTCGTGGTCGACTCCTCCCGTTGGAGGAGGCTGTGTTACGAAATTCGATTTGCTTATTATTTACATCCGTTGTTGTTCCTGGTCTCGCTGTCTTGTCTTGTCCGGTGTCAAATATGGTCTGCTGTCTGTACGGGAGTGATGCGGGGTGTGCAGTATATGGGTGTGATGCGTATGACGTGGTGTATGTAGTATATGCGTTGTCAGAGAGTGTGGATCTGCTTCTGCCTGAGTGAGTGCGTTTGTCTAACTAGTTGTCGCGCATGCGTGGATTATGTGGAGCATGCGCTGTGCGAGTCGAGTTCGGGTGCGAGGGAGTGGTGTGATTCGTCCACGATGTTGTTGTCTTGGTTCTAGTCACATGTATCGTACGTACTAGTCGCTCATTGGTCGTTTCGATGTGTTCGCCGTTTCTCTGTTTATAACTGTTGGTTGTTTATTATTTCGTGGTCTTTCTTCCCCGCTCTCTTCGCCGTCAGTTCGTGTTTGATGAAGTATTCTTGAAACCCAAATGAGTCAGCGAACGGTTGTGTGGTGTGCGGACCAGGGGGTGGGGAGAAATTCCATAACAGTTGCACTGAACACCACTGTTCCGCACATGTACTGTGACCATGCCGCTTGCGGAGAATGGTGCAAGTATGGTGATGACCCCGACAGCTACCGCCACAAGAGCCTGCCATTTGGGAAAGATCTATCTTCTCCAATCACCCAAGCAGCATTGAAGAAAATATTCAGTGCATACGCTGACAATGCTGAGAAGCTTGTGCATCACGGCAAAAATACTTGAAGTAAAATAAAGTGAACGAATCGCTCAACAACACGGTGGCCAGCAAACAACCGAAGTCACGAAGTTCTCCGTCATTCAATTTTCGGGTTGGTGCAGCTGTTGCGCAGAAGAATGTTGGATACACCTAAGAAGCCGACGTATGCGAGAAAGCTGGGCTTTCACCAAGCCAGCATGCCCGTGCACATGGTGAACGACTGGATTTGCAGAGGAATCAGAAAACCCTGCGCCAGGGCAAGAAGGAAGTCAAGAAGCGCTGTGACTAGAGCTAAAAGAAACTCAGTCCTCACGTCTAACGGCCACCGAGGTGCGTGAAGGCACTCAGTACCAGTCTGAATGCGCCCTCCTACTTGACCAGCAGGACAACACTGAGATAGCTGCACCAGTGTCTTATGACCCAATCCCTGCATCCGAGGCCTGTGACTATGTCTTGTTTGACCTGGAAACAACTGGTCTCGATAACTCAGCAGGGATAGTACAGATTGCTGCATCTGGCCTTGACAAGACCTTTTCCAGGTATGTATTGCCATGTGCCGATGTGGTGGCATCCAAAAGCCTCAGATGCCAGCTCCATATTCGTACTACATGTACAACAATTGTTACCTTTTCCATGCTGGTTTTTTTCAAAGAACCTTATCGAAAATAAAAAAACCTTTATAATCGAAAAATCCATGATCAAGTGATCCGGAAAGGTGAATAGAAAAATCCAGTCAACTCATGCTCGAGATGTATAGACAAATCCAAAGTCAACGTATGCTCACAGGCAAGTATTACTGAGTCGCAGTCACTACTACCAAAGCAGATCATTATTTTACTATAGTGCAACTAAATTCTTTTTGGAAACCGAGTTTTCCGCATCTCTAGGATCAAGGCGCAACTAAAAGCCGGCTAAAATTCCAGACCATCCCTACTTGTAAAGTAGGTCGATACTAAACGGAAGACGCATCTACAATGAACGTAGACGGCACTCATCCAGGAATGATAAAGCCCCGGATCGCCTACGCAAATATGAGGCCCGGCAACCGCGGAAACAGGTGACGAACCACCTGACCAGAATGAAAGAGATCTTGCATCTTAATTTAAAGCTCGCAGACATTCAAGCCCACAGAGGCCATTAGTACTGAAGACCAAAGATGTGAATGCACCTCTCTCAACATTCACTACACGCTGTAGATGTGCGCTCTTCTTCTTTTCCATGCTGTATTGCTATTTATATTTGTTTCCATTCGGTCCTCTTGTCTTGCTATGTATGTCATTAGCAAACTGTTCGTATCTCATTCTGTGTGTCTATCTTTTGACTAGACATAGTGGTGTTCTTCAACTGATATTCTTGGTACTTGAGAGAAGTATTGAGGCAGACCCCCACGCACACCATTTTGTATTGCAGAACTTTTACAGAGCTCAGACGCAATGTACTAACACGAATTGTGTGAATGACTGAATGTGTGAGTTGCCACGTATGCAATTCTTACACTCAGTTTCTTGGCTGCTACCTGCTTCTCCTTTTCCAAATCCGACAGCTGCAAACATGCACAGAGCAATACAACCAAGTGATTAACTAGCGAGGATTTCATCATCAGTCCCATGTCAACCAAGCAAGAAACACATACAGTCGACTACTGATATAACGAACACCATTGTGCAGGAGAATTAGTTCTTTATACATGTAGCCGAAGTTCGTTATAACAGAAATGAATTTACACTGTGGGTTCAAACTGGGACATGGACAATGGTTCGTTTTATCACAAAATTCGCTACACGCGAGTTCGTTACAAGTGGAGTTGAATGTAACACATAAGACAGACATGGGTCCCTTACTTCAGGCTAGGTGACAGTGTTTAAAAGCAGAAAGGCACTGGATTCTAGCCATCACTGCCAACCCAGCCATGACAATGCACGCTTACCTGTGCTTTCAGCTGTTCAAGCTCATCTTTCACAGCAGCCAATGTCACACAGACCTTGACATTCTCCTGTACCATACAAACAGAGCACAAACAAGTGGCAGATTTCGTTTCGTAACTTTCATTGCGAGGAATTACGAGAAATTGCCCGGCCGGACAGGCAAAACTCGACAACTGTGATTATAACAAGCTGCAACCCACTCCCTTTGTATCCAAATTGCTCCAATTCAGTATCATAAGAAGCAGAGAAGCATTATGCAAAACACAAAGAGGGGCATATCACGCACTGTATAAATGTTTTTAGTAACTTTTTACCGAGCTTTGCCAAAGGCGTAAGCCGTAACATAGTGACGCACGTGTACATGTGAAAGTATGAGTGCATAGTACACTGCATACAGTCCATGCCCCCCTCTTATGCAGGGCCAGTATCAGTATGAGTGCATAGTACACTGCATACAGTCCATGCCCTCTTATGCACGGCCAGTATCACGGTACGTACCGTTGTTGCACTGGATTGCCCGCACAAGCAAACGGGTTCAAGATCAAGCACATGTCCTTTTACATGCAACTACTGTTCTGCTTATCATTACGCTATAACTTTCAGCCATAGAAACATGCGCCGTGGCTGAGCAGTTGTGTGAAGACGAGGTAACAGCTGCTGGCTAGAGTCATTATGTGTACTGCAAAGACTGCAGTCACTGCACCAATCCAAGAAGTGGTGTGACTGGCATTCTTTGACAGGAAGGTAGCAGCTCAATACTAACCGCTTTCTCCAGCTTTGTGGATTGTTCTGCCTCTGCAATGGCAGACCGAAGGTCAGCGAGCTATAATCGCAACACAAAAAGTCAATGTAAAACCAGGCACAGGTCAAGATAGGTTTGAGAACATGATATCCTGCAACAACGCAAACACGGGAATACATGTGAGCCGGATTGCACCAATATAATTCCTACATAGAGCATGTGCTTTGGTAAGACAAGCCCCTTTCAGAACATCATTTGATCCCAGTACTTTAGGAACAGCTACATTCCTCCTCTGCTCCTGGTGTGCTGCTAAACTATACTCCTCTTATCTCCTTTGCCCTTGCTCCAGTACTTGCTTTACCCCGTCATCAGCTTTTGCATGCACTAACCTGACGACTAAAGGCTCATACACATCTCAAAAGTTGGACGGCCGAGGTGGACATATCAGCAGACACATATCTATGTTGTAGCTGAAAAGAATTGTCAGTGGGTGAATGCAACACATGGCTACATTCATGGGCATGGGCGTGAGCCATGATGATGCTGCTGCTGTGCCCCCTGTGACCTGGGTTTATACCATGATACACCCTACTGCTCCCATTGCATGTACCCACACAGACAGGGCTAAGAGCCGTGTAGGCTGACAACTTACACCGCAGTCTACTGTACACAATCACGTCATGTGATATGCTAGTTGCTGGCCAATAAACAAACCTTGACAGCAGTATATGCTCGGTCATCAACTCACCTCTTTCTCATGAGTGGCACCCTTCTCCTTGGCTGTCTCCTGCCATGTACACACGCACACACACACACACACACACACACACACACACACACACACACACACACACGCACGCACGCACGCACGCACGCACGCACGCACGCACTCACATGCAAACAAAAACAAAAATACTTATAGACCACTAGCCATAACCAAAGGGGAAAATAAAATTGCAACCACATCAATGACGATGACAGCGACAGCAGTGACAACAGCACAGCAAGAGCAACAACAAGAGCAACAACGACGGCGTCGACGACCACCACCACAACAACAACAGCAGCAGCAGCTGCGGCGGCGGGGACAGCAGCAGTACACATATCATGTTGCCCTACCTGAGCCTTTTTCAATTTGTTCGTCAAGTGCTGAATTTCAGTGCACCTCTCGGCAATGTTCTGACAGGGCACAGTACACACGCGTACACACACACACACACACACACGTGTGAATACACACACATACACACAAACACACACACGTGCACACACACACACACACACACACACACACACACACACATGTAAATAAGTGCAAAATTGAACACAAAAACTTGACAAGGAGCCGTTACCCAAATGACCTACTGGCATGCAAAGGCGAAGGCACGCCTTTGCCCATGTCAACACAGCAGGCGGCAATATGATGAAAAGGGACTCCCGATCCCACGGCGGATGTAAGAGGCCCTGCAGCCCTTGAAAGCAGCGTGCAAATCGAAACCCTGGTCCGTCGCTCACCCATCTTGGCTGAATACACCAAGTCTTTGTTTTCGTCGACAGCCAAAGCAGCCAGTGACTTCAGAATACGTTGGCTTCCTTGTCTGCCACAGGCCGTCCTTAAACTGCAGATTGTGGAAAAGGCTGCTGGATCGCTAAGCCCGAGAATCCGTGTCAGAGTTGCTCCACAGCGAGGTAAGATCAACCCTGCTCCCCAGTCATCTACATTCAGAGTGTTATCCCTGTATGGCCTGCACTTGTCTTGGGAGACTGCTTTGTGTCAGCTAGCAAAAGCAGATAGTGAGGAATTCCCTGGACCCTTGTCAAGAGATGAACTGCTGGTGTGTGCTCGCCCTATCACTAGCTCACCTGGTCTGCCATTGCTATCAATCATCAGTCTTGGAGAAACAAGACAGAAGATGGTCCTTCTCCCATGCATGCACCATGAACCTCCTGCAGTGGTTTCCAGCGATGGCAGTGATACGGAAAAGCCATATCATTGTGCTAAACCTGCATGAAGTCGTACTGGACGAGCACGTCATCGATGATTTGCTGCATATGGAGTGTCCACCTTCTCCAGTTAAGAGCCACCGCCTTGCGCCTGTGCCTCACAACAGCCTCCGCTTGACCAGTCCAGGCCTGGACCTGGCAAAGGCTCAGGGGAAGTCCCCCCATACATGTGACTGTGCCCGGGACTGTGGATGCAGTTTCATCAATAGCTGAGCTACACGGCTTCTCAGCACAATGTCGCCGACGCACAGATACAGCGACAACAAACGGAGTGTCCCTGCAGCAGCAGATCTGTGCGCACTTGATAGAGAAATTTCCTGGGCTAGAGATCAGCAAGGATCCGGTCCATCACCTCATGATAGCGCCCCACCAAGATCAGGTCACGGCAAGATTGTACAAGTCATGTGCGCGTCAACACTAGCATCCCTGCCAAACAGAACACAGTAGCAAAAGCTGAGCACGCAGACCTGCACTTCACCATGGCTCAGGTCAAGTATGCCAATGAGCTGTTCGAATTTTTCCATGATGAATGCGAGCACGGATTTCTGTTGATGACAAGAACAAAGTCAACGTCGACGACTTGGCCGTGTCCAGGTTCTTCTCAATCAACAAGTTATTCCCTGTGGGTTATTGTTCTTCTCAATCAACAAGTTCTTCCCTGTGGATGCCTCTCCAAATTATGGCGACCACGATTTCCCATACCCACACAGCAAGAGTGTGGTGCCTTCTGGATACTCTTGGTCATGGAAACCAAGCATCAAAAACAATGCGTACGCAGATCCGGAAGGCAAGCCACCTCGCTGCAAACCTGCAAGTGACCACTGTCACTCACGGTCATTGTCACCAGCCCGTCGTGAGTCATCTGCCGATTACCTGACATCTTCGGATAAGTTCAGTCGACAGCATGTCAGGTTTGAAAGACGAAAGGAAAAAAAAGCGAAAGCAGCCAGCTGAGGATGAGGAAGCACCCCCTGCCAAGAAGTCCTGAAATTGCGGCTTCCAGGAATGTATGTTCACTGTAGCGCTGGGCAAGTTGCGGCAGCACAAGGAGCAGGGAAGGCCACAAGATGCAAGCTGGTCGCCCTCGATCTGCACCAAAGTGAAGCTGCACGTGACTTCTTCTATGGATACAGATCAGATAATAACTTTAAACTACTTGTGCATAGTCATCATACTTCTCTATACAATTATGAACATGCAATCAAGTACAGTCAAACCTCTTTAGGACGAACACCAAGGGACCGATGGAATTTGTTCGCAATAGCGGGAGTTCTTCTTATCCATATTTCGTACCCAGTGAATACACCGTGATGAATCCAATAGCGCTTGGAATTCTAGTTCTTCTAAAGCGAAAGTTTGTCTTATCAGTGTTCCTCTTACCGAGGTTTCACTGTATACAGTCAACTTTGCGTATAATGACAATCGGCGGGGCATCAGAAAAGTGTCCTTACTCGCGAAGTGTCCTTATGCTTGAAGTCTCATGACGTATTACAGTTAGACAGGACTTTGCTCTGGGCATGGAAATTCTGTCTTTGTTCGTGAATTGTCGTTATATCCACAGTCGTTATTAGCGAAGTTGGCTGTATGTAGACAGCCAACTCCAGAATTATGTATACTTTGTGAGCATGAATGACATAATAATCTTTCATTCAGAATGTGCTACGACTTTCATTGGATGCGTTTGATTACACACAATTCCGTCCATTCTAGAATTCGTTACGGTGCATGCATCGTTCAATCACACAAATTCCATCGCCAGAATCGACAGAATCCAATTCCGTCGATTCTGAAGAGAGAGAGAGAGAGAGAGAGAGAGAGAGAGAGAGAGAGAGAGAGAGAGAGAGAGAGAGAGAGAGAGAGTGCGGAATATCTAATTCTTCCGCCAGAATCGACAGAATCCAATTCCGTCGATTCTGAAGAGAGAGAGTGGAATTTCTAATTCTTCCGCCAGAATTGACATACTTGACATACACGCGATGCTAGGTCTACGTGCGCGCGAGGGTATATGCGATCCCACGTGACCCCTGTTACGATTTTTACGTGAAGTCGTTCGTTTACATGGCCGCAAACCGTTCATTCTGGTCATTCGATAAAACCAGGGTCCAGAATGTGTAATCAAAAGCGCCCATTACGTGTATTTGTGCCATCCACAGAAAAGTACGATAAGACTTTCGAATAGAGGGGGGGGGGGGGGGGGGTCTGTTTGATGTTACGTTAAGAAAAAAATGCGAACTTAAGAGATGCTCCCTTATCAGTACAGCGTTCATAGTTGAGACATGTTGTTGCATGGATAGTAATTAGTATTCCGTTTTCCTGTTTTAAAGTACACGTACCTTTTCTTTCTCTGCCACCTTTGATTCCAAAGCAGTCTTCTCCCGTTCAGAATTCTCTAGTTCACGGCGAACTCCTGATATGGCAGCAACCTGCAGCAGAAAAAGCATACAGTCAACTTCGCTAATAACGACTGCGGATATAACGACAATTCGCGAATAACGACAGAATTTCCATGCCCAGAGCAAAGTCCCATCCCACTGTAATACATATAATGGGACTTCGGGTATAACGACACTTCGCGAATAAGGACACCGTTTTGATGCCCCGCCGAGTGTCGTTATAAGCGAAGTTGACTGTACATGTCGTGTATTGGATTGGGCTTTTTTTCATGTCGAAGAACAAACAGGCAGTGTTGCCTTATTACATGAGATCGCCTACAGGCACACAAATATAAGGAAAAAAGGAAAAGATTAAAAGAAAAATAGAGTATTACTAGAGTATTACTCATCATACAGTATTACTGTGTCTTATAGCTAAGAAGAGTATAAGAGATGCAGACATCACTAATCACCATAACACCTGTATCCATACAAAACCCTACGTCATCACCAAAGCAAGTGGTCTCTTCGCTGCAAATTCAATTATCTCAACCAAATTGTTGGTGCTGTAAAGATCAAGACAAAGAGTGAAATTAGACATACATGTCAAGTGTCAAGTCAAGTTGGCGGAATAGCGCGAGCTCCAGTGTGGGCAGCAAACCCTTTCTTACAAATCATCGCCGAAGTCGCAACCACTATTTCGTACATGTAGTTGCCACAGAATTTCCCCAATGATCACAAGAACAGATGAGAGACCACATTTCTGTCCCTTGGAAATCCCTGAGAATAGCTGCACATACAGATAGTACTTACCTTACTCTCCAGTTCAGCTTTCACTGAACTGATTGCTGCTACAGACTCTGCCTCAGCCGATTCCTTCTCCAGGCGACAGCGAGTAAGAACTTCCTCATGCTCTGCTTGTGCCTGTCATGATTGTGATAAACCATGGACAAAGTAGCACAGAAAATCATGAATACCGAACATAGCAAGTGAACGTAGACAGAGGCCAGAGGCACTGTCAAACAGCGCCAACACTACACAGCCCCAGGACACCTGGAAGCATAGTACCCACACACTTGATACAGTGCACTGTGCTGAGGCTGAAGATCTAAACAAGTACTGTAAATATACAAAATTTCGGCGCTGCAAAATTTCGGCACTTCACGATTTTTGACATTTCAGCGGCGATTTATTTTCGGCGTGGGGTAGAGGGCATGGTATAGTGCGACAGATGCTGTGAAAAATTTCATCGGCGTTTTAATTTAGGCGTTTTGGGTCGGTGCCGAATATAGCCGAAATTAAATAGCTGCCGAAAATTTGTATAGTTACAGTATGTGAAAGCGTGTGCATGCATGTGTGTGTGTGTGGGGGGGGGGGGGGGGGGGGGAGCTGCATAGCATTTAGAAACTCAGAGCATCAGATATTCTCCACAGGCCATGAAACTAAGTGCCAGCAGGATGAATACAAGCACTACCTAGCTGGTTGGTGATCACACAGCAAAGCTGAGTGTGCAACTCAGCCAGCACACTAGCAAGCAGCTCACACACACACTCGCACAAAGTTCACTGGTGTACCTTTTCTGCCAGTATCAGCTGCTCTTGTAGCTTTGCTTGCAGTTCTTGTACGCTTGACTGTCGTTCATCGACGCTTTGCTGAAGTCTTTCAGCTTGGACATTCTTCAGTCAAATACACAGCAGAACAGATGCACGCACTCTGAATAAGAGAACTGCATAAAGTGCAGTGGCATCTACATCCCCTATATGTACATTCTTTATTGGATAGAGCACATTCATATGAACACACACATACACACACATACACACACACACACATGCGTGCGCACATGAACGCACGTACGTACACATGTACGCACATGCACACAATCCGCATAGAAGATGTGGAAGCAGAGATATACGTCAATGAACCTACATGACCTAACAAACTGCTCTATGGGTTCAATAACTCTCTACTGCTAAGCACACAGTGAGCCAGCAATGACTTAGCACTACAAGATACCACTATACATGTATAAGACAGTTGTATTGCTGTTGTGGCTACTGAAGTAACGGACAGATCACGGCTACACCACACATGAACATGCGCGTGTACATACCTGTAGGACTCAGTATAGAGTCCATGCACTATATGATGTCCAGCACCCTATATAGAGTCCATTGGTCCAAAATCCACTATACAGAGTCCAGGAGTCCCCTCAGTTTTGATCAGCTTCATCCTGCCGCGCAATCCCCTATAAGGAGTACACTTTTTCTACAAGTCCCCTATTCACAGTCCAGGAGTCCAGTTTATCCAGTCACGCCGTCCTGTGTGTTGTGCCCGAAAGAGAACAAACACATTTTCAGTTTTGCTTGCCTCGTGGCAGCGCATTCCTTTCTTCACTTCAGCCATGGCTGCCAATTCTGCTGTGCAGTTGCTGACAGTAATCTGTCTCGATGTAACCAAGGAGGATAAGGAGACGTTCAAAATCAAATCTGGAAAGCGTCTTGTGGTTCTCTGAAGACGTTTCATCAGTGCGCGGGATGAAAGCAGAAATTGCAGAACGAGAAAAGTTCAGCACAGTTCAAATCTGACGAGTCAGGTACACTGACGCTCTCTTTCGTTCGACGCCACAAGGATCCCCTGTTTGGCTGGCCATTGCTGCCAGTAAGACGTTTGAACGGTTTCATCAGAGCGAGGGATGAAAGCAGAAAGCGGAGAAAGAGAAAAGTTCAGCACAGTTGCAATCTGACGAGTCAGATACACTGACACTCTCTTTCGTTCGACGCCACAAGGATACCCCTGTTTGACTGGACAAGAGCTGCCTGTACCACCGTGTCAAAAGGCTGTCCAACTACATGGCAGGACGATGACTGAGGTAAGGAAGCTTTTACTCGTTTCGATTGGTCTGCTGTTCTGTCGTTATGCTTGAATTTTTTTCCATTTTCAAGGAGCGTATCGCGTTTGTTTGATGTTGCTTGAATGAATGCACTAAAAGTAATCAACGACTTCGTAATACAGTCTGTATCGGCTATAGAGTGACCGGATATAAGAATATATCGGCTACAGTGATATTGGTACGAAATATCAAAAGCAAAACGTATTTTATCCAGTACAAATATCACTATAACCAATATTATCGGATGTAATGATATATCGGATATTATGATGGCAACATAGAATCAAAACATGCATAACACACTACATTATAATCGGCTATAGTGATAACTTTAAAATACATGTTGCAATAATATCAAAGGCCCTATTTTTTTTACTTTCTTCACGTTGCTTATTTTGATAGTGACACATGTACATGTACATAACAGAATTTTTTATGGAAATGCGGGCACTGTCAACTATGCAGCATGCTCATTTGTCAAAACGCCATGCTGGAAGTATTCCCTTGCCTTTCATGTGTCGCTCGAAAAAAATCGATCATATCGCATATAGTGATGCATCGGTTATAGTGATAAAATCACGGAAATCAAAAGGGTACGCTATAGCCGATACAGACTGTAGTCCTCGAGGACTGCAAGGACTTTGCATCAATCGTATTATGATCGTCTAGCTATCATCAATTATTATTTTATTTCATGAGAAATGTATTTTTATCCCTGTGATAATTATGTGAACTCCACGACACTCTTCCTGTAGTATGATGTCAAATACAATGGGATCCACAAACGCAGTGCCAGTGTACTAGTAGTAGTAGTAGGACTAGGAGGATTGCTTGTATGCCAATGACAAGAAAAAGCTTCTCAAGCTAATACTCGTATTCCCTGAAGTGACCGTTTTGATGTCACGAACATGACATTGTGTCAGTGAAACTGTCTCGTGACAACAAATCATTGCATTTCCATCTTGGGGAAGACCGTGACTGACAGCAACGCTGTACAGATTGTTCAAATCATCTCATTTGAATTTAGTTGCAGTGAAGTGAAACACTGTGTACACTACATGTATGTTGGTGTGTCTGTGCGTCTTGAGTGTGCACAAACGATCTTATTCCTCATATTACTAATAGATTATTGTCCCCACCGTCACCTGTTCACAGGTCTTTGAGTGGGTTGACTTTCATTGAGCATCACATTCGTTGAGAACTTGGTAGTTGTGTGCTCCAATGCATCATTACGGTAATAAGCATATCCTTGTGCTATCTATTGGTTGCAGGTGTGCTGATCTTCAGAAGCTTGCGGAACTGAGTGCTGCTGAACATTTGCATGGCCATGAGCAATGGTGAAGCTTGCTATTGCACTCTCAGCATGTGCTAGTATTATGCTGACCACTGCACTATGTTACTCTCTTACACTACTACGTGTATGTAAACGTGCGTGTACCCGTCCCCGTATGCATTCGTTTCGTATAATTATTTGTTACCCATCTTGACTTTACATGTAAATGGGTGGGCGTTTGCATGGCTGTTGGAGTTGCGTGTGTATTGTGTCTCTACTCTTTTCTTGGTGTTTTCTTGGCGTTGTATAAGTTTGTGTGTGTGTGTGTGTGTGTGTGTGTGTGTGTGTGTGTGTGTGTGTGTGTGTGTGTGTGTGTGTGCGCGCGCGCACAATAATTTGAAAACAAATAATTAATCCTGGGCTCTCCATTATTCTCTTTCGATTCTTGGTTTTTTTCTAGGTATTTTCTTGGCGTTGTGTGGGTGTGTGCATGTATGTGTGCGTGCACAATAATTTGGCAACACTACATGATTGAGATATTGTAATTTGCAGCGTCTGCGAAGAGACCACTTGATTTGAGGATGGTGTTTGTAGGGTTTTTCATGTAATGAAGTGGCTGCAGTGGCGCCTCAATACATATTTTTTATCTTGAGAAGTGAATGATGTATAGGATTAAAGGGAGAGGCCGTTTTCTGGTTAATATTCACTGCTTACAGCAGATCCTATGTCTATTTTCGAACTCGATAGGGGATGCGTAATTGGCTGGACTTTATACAGGGGGTGTTGTCCACATAAAGACTCTTTATAGTTGATTTCAAAGTTTGGACTCCGTACAGTTGATTTTGGACCAATGGACTCTATATAGGGGTGAAGCCAATTGGCTGGACTCTATACAGGGAGTGATGTCCATCGAAACTTTGAGCTCACAGTTGATTCCAAGTTTGGACTCTGTACAGTGGATTTTGGACCAATGGACTCTATATAGGGGTTGGACATCATATAGGGGCTGGACGCTCTACTGAGTCCAACATATATAAACAGAAAATGCGGAGGAAAAATGAATTTCCCTTCACCAAATCGCATGCGGAAAGAAATGTTCCCTTTTGGGAACATTGGCCTGATTAAGGTTAATTTGCTGCACTTTATACAGGGAGTGTTGTCCACATAAAGACTCTTTATAGTTGATTTCGAAGTTTGGACTCTGTACAGTGGATTTTGGACCAATGGACTCTATATAGGGGCGAAGCCAATTGGCTGGACTCTATACAGGGAGTGATCTCCATCTAAACTTTGAGCTCACAGTTGATTCCAAGTTTGGACTCTGTACAGTGGATTTTGGACCAATGGACTCCATATAGGGGTTGGACATCATATAGGGGCTGGACGCTCTACTGAGTTCAACATACCTTCTCCTCCGACTCGATGTGAAGGTTCTGAAGTTTGGTTCTCAGCTGAACAGCTTCGGACTCAAGACGCTCGAGAGCCGCTGCATGCTAGATATGTAGGGGGGATGGGACATGGAGAAGGTCACACGGTATACTATACTGTAACGTATCGGCGAATTAGTCGAATACACACTCCAAAACAGGAGAGCAAAGCTGACCGAGACAAAACAGCGGACGGTAGCAACCAACAAAAGTTCTTACATTGGCTTTCAAGTCTTCCAACTGCCTCATGCTCTGCTGAAGTTGTTCTGTGATGGTTGCATGTGCCACTCGCACATCAGACAGCTGCTGTTCACTTGTTGTTAGCAACTCTTTCTAAAAATGGAATGAAGAGAACGAAGAAGAATGAATCCTGCTCAATCCAAGATATTCAACTTGAGGACTATGAGGTACACAACTTGCAGACAAAAACAAATTAACGCATGCTCCGTACGCGGAGGCATACACGACCCACACACAGACACAGCAGTAGTTGGTTGGCACCACAGGGTAACTGGGCGAAGGAGCTGGCAGTGTGTAACCATGGAGGCGGCCGACCCGACAGAGGCGGGGACCGAGAGTGAGACCGAAATGGCGGCTGACCTGCCAAGGGCAGTAACCGAATAGAGTGATTCGGAGTGAGACCGAAATGGCGGCTGACCTGCCAAGGGCAGTAACCGAATAGAGTGATTCGGGAGAGTAGAGAGAATGCTGCCAGCTACTGAGAGTTCAGTGCCCAATCCCTGCTTGTTTTTGTTTAGCAGAGTGAGTTTGGAAGACGAATGAGGTTAGTAGTATAAGCGGGGTGCTACAGAATAAGAATTGTAACACAATGAAGTCGGTGTGGGTGGGTGGGTGAAAACACGGAGCAAGAGTCATGCGAGCCAATGCAACTAACAAAGAGAGCCAGGCACGAAGGCTGCTGAAGGGCGTACGTATGCAAAGCGAGCTGCTGGGAGAGTTTGCGCATGCGCACAACGGCGCATCCGTGAGCTGGCGCGAACACGCGCGTGATAGACATCAGCATACAGTGAAAACATTACGTCACCGCGTTAACATACTTTAGCTACGCAAAACTTGCATTAACGCATGCTCCGTACGCGGAGGCATACACGACCCACACACAGACACAGCAGTAGTTGGTTGGCACCACAGGGTAACTGGGCGAAGGAGCTGGCAGTGTGTAACCATGGAGGCGGCCGACCCGACAGAGGCGGGGACCGAGAGTGAGACCGAAATGGCGGCTGACCTGCCAAGGGCAGTAACCGAATAGAGTGATTCGGAGTGAGACCGAAATGGCGGCTGACCTGCCAAGGGCAGTAACCGAATAGAGTGATTCGGGAGAGTAGAGAGAATGCTGCCAGCTACTGAGAGTTCAGTGCCCAAGCTAGTTACCCTGGTGGGCCAACCAAATAAATCAGTGCTCAGAAATAACGCGAGCATTGAACGAGGAGTATAGCAGGAGCTGCTAGCAGTCAAGAAATCTAGGTACCGATAGCGGTACTGAGAGTTGGTATGTATACCGGAGGAGACATTCGTCAAGGTGCAGCGCTACTGGTCAGTCACTCACTGTGGCTAGCTTCTCTGATACTAGCCGCACCTCGGATGGCTCAACACGGATATAGCGCAGCACGGCGTCGCTGCGCCATCGCCCCATATGGCGGATCACGTGCTCTGGTACGCCTGCGATAGCTGCAGACGTGGCTGCTCCGATCCGGAATGAGTGGCTGGCATAGCTGGACGGATCTGTAATCCCACAAAGCGGTAGGAGGGTCCGCACCTCCCTCGTGACGTCCGCTCGTGCCAGAGGCTGGCCATTGTGGTAGACGAGCAGCTGATCTCTAGGAGATTGGGACTCTGCCGACACTGCCGTCAGGTACCGCACCATCGCCGTAACAGGGCAGCTGATGACATAGGTACAGCCGCCCACGTGGACTACCGTGCCCCTACCGTCCGGGTCCGTCTTTGATTGCAGCAGCGTGATGGTGATACGAAATGATTGTTGGTCCAGGGCCACGTTGCCAAACGTCAACGAGGTGAGCTCACACTACAGCGCAGGAAGCCATAAAAGGCCAGGGTGAAGGCGCACTGCAGCATTGCCTAGTCAACTGAGTGCCGCATGGAGGAAACTTGGAGGCGTTGGCAGAGTTGCCGGAGGATGGGTGTTGTGATAGGCAAACGAGGGCGGCCAGGTCCCGACGAACGGGCTATGCCTCTTAACACTCGTGACAGCAGGGACGTCGGCTGATTCGGGTACTCGAGGCCCATTTCGACGTGTAAGTTCCAGATGGCTGACATATATGTGCGAACCGAGGCCGGCCGCAGTGTGCGCATGAGGAGGGCTGCGTAGTAGCACAGTGGAACGTCGCTTCCAGGCAGGGCCACAACGCCATGCTGCTGACAGAAATCCAGGTACCGCCGCTCTGAAGCTGAGTATGTCCTCCTGGATGACGGTGCTATTGCCAGAGAGAACCTTGTGCTTTGGAAGGTTGCTTGTTGCACGGTCAAGGTCGTACAGGCGCCTCAGGAAGGTACGACTGACAGGAATAGCCCGGGCCGCGAACGAGAGATTGCCCAACACGGAGGCGAGTTCGCGCCGGGACGCCATGCCTGATTGAAGGAGGCCGTTGACTTTGCCGAGATACGCCCCATGTTTGGCGGACGGTAACCGGATCTCAAACGTCAGCGAATCCAGCTCCAGGCCGAGGAAGGTGAGACATGTGGATGGGCCTTCGACTTTCTCAAAGGCCACCGGTATCTGCAAATAGCGGAGCATGTCTAAGATATGTGAGCGATGATGTTCCGCAACGGGCAGGTGGGGCGGACTAACGTTCAGAAAGTCGTCCAGGTAGGGGAGTAATTGGCTTAGGTGGCATGCATCCTCGAGAATAAACTGGACTGCTGTGGCGAATTTATCGAATATGTATGGCGCAGAACGCAATCCAAATGGTAGCACTTTGTCATGATAGAATTGTCCCTGCCAGAAGATGCCCAGAAGAGGCCAGTCACAGGGGGCAACAGGACAGAGACGGAATGCATTCCTGTCGACCTTCGTCAAAAGAGCGCCACACCCTGCCTGCATGATCAGAGAGATAGCTGTATCGACAGTTTCGTACTGCAGGCTGAATTCATCCCGAGATATACCGTCATTCACACTCGAGCCGGCAGGGGGCGAGAGGTCGTGGATGATACGCAGTTTGCCATCAGACTTCGGGATAGCACCCAAACCAGAAATATGCATGTGAGGGAATGGCGGAGATGCAAATGGGCCCGCAGTTTCTCCGCGGTCACAACAGTTAAGCAGATGAGTAGTAACCTCAGCAGGGCAAGCACAAGCCGAAGAGTGATTAGGAGACATAACAGAAGATGCAATGGGGCGAAAGCTGCCAATACGAAAGCCATACTGCATGCCTTGTGAACCATAAGAGCGAAATACTGCATTTGGATGAGGAGAGGGAAGATTGATAAAGCGCTGAACATGAACAGGCGTGCTAGTGGGCACCTATAAAGCAGCGTCACCACTGGGGTGAGAGTTATTTCTTGGTCGAGTCACCAGACTTGGAGCATTGGCGTGCGGGGTGACGGCCGCGGCACTGGATGCAGACGTGTGCTCTGGAGCAGGGGGAGAGCAAGCAGCTGCCGAAGTTGAAATTACGACAGATGGCTTTGCCGTCAAAGCCAGGCTGGTGCGAGAACTGGCTCCCCGTAGGCGCTGTTGGGGCTGGGAGCCCCCCACGAAAGGGGCAGCTGCTGGGCTGACTTGGATGGACCATGGAGCAACGCTGGCACGGAGGCCGCCCACGGCCCGTGAGACAAGACTGCCACAGGTTCGGGTCAATGACGGACCAGGAATAGCGGTGAGGGAGGGACGCCGTGGCCATACGGAATTTGCGGTCGTAGGACAGCCAGGCATCATTGTGGAACCGGACGTTGGCATCGACAATGATGGCCTGATACGCCCAGAGATCACCTGCCAGCTGTGGTGAGGCGTCGGCCAGCACCCTCGAGTATGTGGTGAACGCTTCCACCCATGTGGCAAGATCATAGATGTGTCGTTTGGCGGGTTGCCGGTGGGAAGATTTGGGGACGAGCTGCACAGATCGGCCCGCGCCCACGTCGAGTTGCATCACATCATGATCCCCCTCGAAGCCCAGGGATTCAGGCAGCAAATCGCTTAATTCTGTGAACTCACCTCGCACAATCCGGTCTCGAAGGCGAGGCGGCACCACGGGGAGGTCTCCAGATGACGGCCACTGTTGTGTCGGGTGGCTGGCAGCCGGTACTGATACTGGTAAAACCGGCGCTGCAGTGGCGATTGATCCGGCAGCACAAAGCGAGGCCCCGCTGAACGTCGGAACATGAGCGAGTCCCGAGTTTACGCCAGTTCCTGGGCCGGCGAGTTGGGCTGCGCCAGCCTGCTCCAGCAGGGTAACCTTGTCGGCCAGAGGCTGAATAGCAACAGCCACGGCGGCGGAGATCTGGCTCGCCAGCGTGGGCTGGGGTGGGTGGCCGGCCGGCATTGACTGAGACGGAGGCACTTGGCCAGGTAGAGCCGAAGCACGAGGAGCACGAGGCGGCGCGAGGTTCTGGGCCGGGGCTCTGGCCTGGGTGGTTCCAGGAGCAGGGGAGGATGTTGCTCTAGCGTAGGGGCTAGAAGATGACCTGGCGGACCTGCGCGACATCTCTTGCCTCAGCGTGGGAAAATTTGAGAAAATTTGAGTAAACCACTCCGCGGATACAGCACTCAGAATTCCAGCCCGCCCAGGGACTGGACACCACAACTAGGCAACAAGAGACCGAAACGACGATGTCACCTTGTACAAGGAAGTCTGAACAGAACTGAAGAACTCCGGAGTTTGAAAACACGGAGCAAGAGTCATGCGAGCCAATGCAACTAACAAAGAGAGCCAGGCACGAAGGCTGCTGAAGGGCGTACGTATGCAAAGCGAGCTGCTGGGAGAGTTTGCGCATGCGCACAACGGCGCATCCGTGAGCTGGCGCGAACACGCGCGTGATAGACATCAGCATACAGTGAAAACATTACGTCACCGCGTTAACATACTTTAGCTACGCAAAACTTGCACAAACAAAACATACTCTCTGCCAAGCCCAAACGCAGCACATTCAACGAAGACCTCTTCAAGGCTCTTGGCACCAGTCATTCTCTTTGCCCAACCTCATACCTTTTCTACTAGTGTGGAGTTTGACGACGCAAGCTCGGCGCGTAGTCCTGCTGACTCTGCCAGTGCTGCAGACAACTGTGTGCTAGCCTTGCCATGATCCTGGCACAGATAGCAGCAGATCAGACACAAGCAACAGACCAGGTGTCAAGTTAGGTAGAGATCGGTCTAGTACTTGCTATGAGGTTGAAAAATAAAAATGATAAAAGTTGATATTTACCCCCCTCCCCCTCGACACACACATACACATACTTCAAATACGTGTCAAGCGGCTAAGCCGGAAGCCTGATCCCTCGTTGCTACAGTAGAGACATGCTTTGTTCGTTGGTACGAATAAAAGTGATGCGCATTGAACGACATGAGTGACTCACCTCCTGGGCTTGCTTTTGTGCCTGCTCGGTTTTCAGGACTTGCGTCTTGCTCTGTTCAAGCTGTGTTTCCATGTTGTCCTTCTGGCGGTTCAGCATTTGGATCTCGGACGTCTAAAGAGTAAAGATGGATGGAAAGGAATCATAGAAAGGGAGCAGCACCCAAACATATGATGGTAATGCATGTACAGTAGATCTCACATGAGTATTGCACATGAGCATAAGAGTCAAATGCTCAAAGTCATTCAGCACGAGACGTTTTGAGTATGTGTATAACCCATGATGTAGTCTGGTCTGAGATTAGCTTAAAACCCGACTTGAGCACCAACACAACACGGCGTGCACATACCTGACTACCAGAAATATTATATTGGTATGAGCATAATACATGTACACTCATTGCTTTTGCTGGGAGAGTCTCGCTTGATCTCACCTGGTTTGTGACTTCTCGCTGTAACGTCGCCACCTTCTCCTTTGTGGAAGTCAGGCGTGCTGTCAAATCTTCAATTTCCTTTGATTGACCAGCTGTTTTCATCTTCATGTCACTGAGCTCCTCAAGTAGCTAAACGATTGCACGTCAAAGTAGCCAAAAACAACATACACAGTGTTGTCATGACAGTCTACAGCACATGAGATACATGGGCAGCACTGACAAAACACAAGCTCTCACAACTACCTGGTCTAATGTGCCTGCAAGCCTATCACTGATGTGCAAAGTAGTCAGTTTGTCAATACTGGTGTTGTCTGATTGGCTGGGTAAGCATCATCATAGTAGCACGTTTCACTTCAGAAAGTCCACTGCAGTCAATTCAGAGTGCGATAGCCATGCCACCATCGAGCACTGTCCAACTGCCATGTAAACACAGCCCTGGACCCCGCAATATGGATATACTACATCCCAGCGCACTGTTGCCACTGAGGTTCGATCAGAGAATGAGCAATAAAGAATACAGCTAGACGGGAGGAAATCGATAATTATGAAGATATGAAGCTTCCTGATGAAGCCTCAAGGTTGCAGCATTGGAGAAATGATATCCCCAGGTCCAAATTCTCTGACATGCCCAACAATACCGACTTACATTGTTCTTCGCAGCTGTATCTTCCTCTACTCGCTCAACGTGCTGCTGTAGCTGTGTTTGCAGCTTGGTTTCCAGTTCAATGCGCTGCTGGTACAGTGCTTCCTGTGGGTCACCGGCACACAGAAATATCTTAGATTAGAATTTCAGAGGTGCCACAAAGCAGTCTCCAGCTGAAATGAACACATAACGCTATGCGTCCACAATGCCATTTCTAAGATGCATGGTCAGAGCTTAATTCTGGCACATTTGACTATCAAAGAGTTCTACCCCGGGCATGCAGGGGTAAGGCTCTGTCTGATACTTGGCTGCTGGTATTGGCGGTCTCAGCTTTGCCAGAGGCAAGGATCCACCAGAAATGATACAGTGAAATATCAAGAAGACCAAGAACAAGAACAGTTGTCTCCAACACTGCAGATCCAAGCACACATGATCAACACACTGAATATCACCAACACTGCAGATCTAAGCACACATGATCAACACTCTGAACAGAGCTAGCTACCGACCTTGTCTTGGGTAAGCTGTTGGATAGCAGCTCCAGTACCTTCACCAGCCTCAATCTACAGATACAGGGTGTGAGAGAGAAAGGCAGAAAGGTGGACGTGTGTGAGTACGTATGTTCATATGCGCGTACATGCATGCGGATCACTCATAGCTCCATCTGCCCATTCAAGCGAAGGTGTAAGCGAAGGAAACAATGTTTGTCATGTTGATTGTTATGTTCATAGTTGCTATGACCCTAACCTGAGCAATGAGCTCCTTGCGCTCAGATTCAAACCGCTTCAACTCTCCCGAGGCGTCCGTCAGCTTTTCCTTGCAGTTCGTGAGCTCCTCTCGCCTACAACACATTGTCAAGGAAGCACAACACACCAAAGTACTCGGAGTGCCCTTCAAAAGGCAAGAGAACACTTCCACAAGTAGCACCTGGATTGGCTGTACAATTTGATCAAAGTTCAGTTCTCTCCCAGATAGTTTCCAGCCAGCCAGCTAGCTAATTGATCAAAACATCATCACAACTCTCAGATCACAGCACTCGCATAACAAAAAAGGTCAAAGTCAATGTGCAACGGAACTGCATATCGATCACAGAATGGAAATGGTATCATACTTGCACACAAATGGCGTAGCGTAACTTACACTTGTTCCAGTTTGGCAGAGGCATCTTGAAACTGTCGCTGTAGAGAACGGTTTTCCTCCTGCATAGCACCTTTGCTGGTGGCCTAAAAGCAACACCATAGCAACACTATAGCAACACTATAGCAACACCATAGCAACACCATAGCAAGCAAAGGTATGATTCTTCTATGGACAATAGGGTCAGCGACATCACCACACAACGGACTGACATGTCAATGCTAAACAACTATTCCGAAGGCATCCAATTATTCAAATCAATTTTGGCTAGCACTCAGTATGTATCCGCCGATCGACAACGACTACTACAACAAAAACAACAGCAGCAGCAGCAGCAGCAACAACAACAACAACAACAACAACGCAAACAACGACAACAACAACGCACACAACAACACAAACAACGACAACAACAGCGACACCAATGTTACCACGAACAGGAGTGCAATCAATAGTACAGTCAACTTCGCTTATAACGACACTCGGCGGGGCATCAAAAAAGTGTCCTTATTCGCGAAGTGTCGTTATACCCGAAGTCTCACTATATGTATTACAGTTAGATGGGACTTTGCTCTGGGCATGGAAATTCTGTCGTTATTCGCGAATTGTCGTTATATCCGCAGTCGTTATCAGCGAAGTTGACTGTATACAACTATTACCTCATCTCGGACGACAGCATTGGATTTGGCAAGATCTTCGCGGACTTGTGTCAGAGCTGATTCCCGCTCATTCAAACTACCTTGTGCCTGTGACATCAGAATAACAGTCAGACAACTAGGGTTAGAAAACACACACACACACACACACACACACACACACATACATACACACAATGTAGGCACATGAAGGGACAGATAGAAGCAGCAGAGTGAAACACAATGGGTCTACTGTGTGAGTGTGCACGCATGGATGCACACACGCTTGCACGCGTGTGCGCACGCACACACACACACACACACACACACACACACACACACACACACGTGGACGCGCACACATGTACCCACAATCAAACGCATGGCAAAGTCAACCGACTTCAGTAAGGGATAACAATACCAACTGCACAGTCATGAAGTTGGAATTACAAAGTTAAAAAAACTGTACCTGTCGCAAATCAGCATCAAGGGACGCCAGCATGGAATCTTTGTTTTGCAGCTGCTCCTGCTGTTGGCGACTTAGGGACAACGCTTCACTAAGGGAGTCTTGAACACTACAACAACAATACCAATAGCAACAGCACCAAAACAAGGCAAAATATAGTGTAGGTGGGTGTGCGCGGGGCCCCTATTGACACCAGCCTGAAAGAACCAGCACGCACTGCAGTAAAACATGCCACTCCGACTCTCTCTAAAAGAATCACCTACAATAACCTAGGCTACACCAGCACTGTAACCCTCGATGAGGTCACAGACATCGTCACTTGATGATCAAACAGAAAAAAACTCGGGAATGAGGCCAGAATGTAACATACATGTATCCAGATACCAAACACAAAATAACTATGCTAGGACTCCCACCGCTTTATGAACTGCATCTGCACCTTGACCCTTGAGGACAGTGGTGTTTCTGCGGACGCAGAAAACTCAGTGGGTCTCATGCAAGCCGTGCAATTTGTTGACCATGCCAAACATCCAAGAGTAGCAGCATCAACGGAGCGGAGTGTTCACATAAAACAACAACTTAGAAGTGAGTGTACCTGGCCAGGTGGTCGGCAGTTGGTGCGGCAGCGAGATCTGACCGTACCCGATTTAGCTCCTCTTCCACTCTGAACAGCACAACGAACATGATCACAGCATTTTTTTAAACATGTGGTGCGGTAATACACTACAATCATTGATAGTAAATAGTTCGTTATGGGACACAACCCAGAATCCTATCAGGTATGAGAAAAATAAGTTTTTTTAAACAACTGATAGCCATCAGATTGACTTGCAGCATGTTTGACAAGTACACCCAATGATTTAGCTAGTACTGTATGTGGTTCCAGTTCGATGACACTGTTGCAGTACAACGGTAACAGAGATGTCCGTACCGCTTGAGATGCTCTTGCTTGGGACGCGCATCAAGCTGCAATGTAAGGCCTGAAATACGTGATTCATACCTACAAAAAACAAATGCACGCAAAACAAAAATTTTTATAGGGAATTTGAAGTGCATGTATGCAAACACACCACGAAATACAAGCGTTGTCTCCTCGTACATTCACAATTCTCCAAGGTCTCGTCAGCCACTCAGAGGTTTGGATGTTACACAACCAGGCTCCACACGTCCCCCCACACACACCATGTACCATGTACACAAACACAAAGTACAGTATACTCACTCAGTGATGACATCACTCTTTGGCGCCTGATTCAGCTGTTCTCTAACCGTGCTAAGCTCGGATTGAAGCCTAGACGATAAAACATACACACGCAACGACACATGTCCAAACATACACACACACACACACACACGCGCGCGCGCGCACACACACACACACACACACACACACACACACACACACACACACACACACACACACACACATAGCATGTCCAAATACCGTAAAGTCTTGTATAAAACCGGCGGCTTCTATGACTTTCTTGGTGAAATTTTGCAGGCTTCTATATGAGACAGGCTTCTATACAAGACAGGTATTTCTATGTATGTCAACACTAAAACCAGGCTTATGTGTGATTTGATGGGCCCAAAATTGCGGCTTCTATTCAAGTGCGGCTTTTATACAAGACTTTACGGTATATACAATGCACACAGTGCTACTACCGTCCGAATAAGCCCTTCACATAGATAGGAGAGGTGATAGTACATGCTGTAGCGCTTTGAAACAAGAACGAATGTAGAGCATTAGCCACACCAACCAACATACCGCTCAACTTCACCCGCCGTGGGAGCTTGCTCGAGTTGGCGAGCAACGTTGTCAGCACGCTCAGTTTGCCTGAGAACAAAAATCAACAAAAACAAAGGTAAAGAAAAGCTACAAATCTCAGGCTATTCTTCACCATTATCATCAATAAGACTCCGAGATTCATGAACCAGTTTTCGGGCATTCTCATCAAATGAAATACAAGCAAGCAGAACCAATGAAACATAGGGATAAGTAGCATCACAAGGGTGGTAACCATTACAACCAGATGATAAATTTAACCACCTCATGGTTTGAGTCCTGGTGATAGCAGTCAATTTTTCTTCGGATTTTTCCCGCTTCCACCCCTCAAACTTGTGAACATTTCATTCATGGAGGAATTATTGGGATGAGCGTACCACTTACCTATCGAGATCCGACTGTGTTGGACGACTGGTCAACTCCGTTTGCAACCCAGAACAGCGGTCCTCTAGTCTGAAGCACGAAAACATCATTGAAGAAACAGCCGCATTATAACGAGAACCCAGGCATATAGAACTGGTAAATGTACATGTAGGGTGTACAGAAACAGGAGAGAATTACACGCAGTGACACAACTTGGACAGACCTCTTGAGAGCAACAGCGGTTGGTGCAGTATCCAGCTGACTCTGAAGCTGCTTCACCTTGTCGGACAGTCTGCACAGCAAGACAATAGCCATACGCACAGTGTTACACACATTCAATGCTGCCTGGGTCTCTTGACGCGCCCAAAACTCTCCGCAACTACTGAAGCGGGCACAGCACTATTGCAATCATCCCACTAGAGTACAGTCATGTAAATCTACAGAAAATCTGTATACATGTCCTACATGTATTAGAGATGTCAGAGGCCGTATGTCAGAGCACAGCAACTGATTGTGCGTTGCATGATTCCATAGTAAGTAATGTCATCCTCAACGCTCCACAATGATCCTACACTAGCCTGTCATCCTTAACACTCCACAATGATCCTACACTAGCCTGTCATCCTTAACACTCCACAATGATCCTACACTAGCCTGTCATCCTTAACACTCCACAATGATCCTACACTAGCCTGTCATCCTTAACACTCCACAATGATCCTACACTAGCCTGTAAATCACCCGCAGCCGCACACAGCATACTTTTCCTTTCTTTCTTGGAACTCCAACTCGTAATCTTTCCACTTTCCCAAGCAATTTCTTACCAAGGGCAACGACATATGACGCACTTTTCTACCTAAAGTGTGTGTGCCATCATCCTCTTGCTGTTTAGGGGCAGTAATACATTTCCACTCAGACAATGGCATGAACATTTCTCAACCATGAAACCTACCCAAGCTGATCACCAGTAGCTGCTCCCCAAATTGTGACCGTCAAACACAGGTGCTCCCCCTATCCTGGAATTGGTACCCCTTGGTCCTGATTCTAGTCGTCCCCTGGGACAAGTGGCCGCGTGATAAGACCAGTCTCCTTGATAGGCCTACTGTAGTTACCGAGATGTTCTGATCATCCTATTTTTCAGGGATGAATTTATCCTGTATCGCATCGCAGTTTGCAATGCAAAATCGATTTACTGCTACTCAAAAGTCACCGTGATTGGCAGAAAACTGCGATACATACAGCCTATCCATGCCTATCCTGCGCTGACAAGTAGCATGCATACAGTGCAGTGTATGTGGTGCAGACACTCTCAATCTGCGTGCACATGTATGACTCATTCATTTTTTTGCAAACGGGCTTTCAGCATCACTCTCAAGAAGGACAATGTGGTAAACACCCAACCTTCAAAGAAAAATGCTAATCAAAATCAAAGACTGCTACACAATTGTGATTTTGTATAGTAGAAACTGCTATGCGAAAATATGACATTAAATTAATCCCTGAAATAGATGGCCAAACGGGAACGTTGAGCTGGGTCCTGGCACACACCCCATCTGTTTCTATTTCCCACTATATTCTATCCATTCAGTTTATATGCAGCCATGCTTGATTGCCATGCACTCAAAAATGGCTGAACTTCATTCCGTACCGAGTTACTTCGTCCCTTGTCGGTGCCTTGTCCAGACCTCGCCGTAGGTCATGGCAGCGCACTTCCAGTCTGTAACAAGAAAGCCAACAAAAGAACAACCAACGAAATGGCATTCGCAACTTATTTTAAAACCAGCAATACATCACTGAGAACCTTCAGTGAAACATGTCTAAGACGACCGCTCAAGGGACCGTCAAAACGTGGTGGTCTCTGCTAACAGTTGGTCTCCTTATCCAGGGTCATTTTGAGTGGAAATAGCATCCCTTGCCTTGGTCCTGGTTGCAGTGGTCTTCTGGGCCAGTGGTCGCCTTATCCGAGTGGTCGCCTTGACAGGTTTTACTGTAGTTCATCCACAATCGCTTTTCAAGCAATAACAACAAGCCATTAGGAGCAGCTACCTTCAGCCACAATCAAACCAGAGAACACGGAAATCTACTCTGTTCTTCCATGCCGTGATGAAACTGCAGTCCAAGCATTTTGGCATGTGGTCCAGGTCCAACCTGCCTTCCTTGCGTTCTCCCAGCCATCACCAATGTGCCAGCTGCCATACCATTGTAAAACACACAAGAAACGACAAACCCTACGGCTATGCTACAGCACTGGGGGGGGGGGGGGGGGGGGGGGACTCACCGCTTGACTTCAGCTGCACTTGCATGAGCTGCTGCCTGGACCTGCGCCTCGCGTTCCTCACAAACTGTGATCTGCTGCTGAGCTCTGTGTGGTGAAAGAACAAGGTGGAAGAAAGTAGTGAGCAAACAGGCACCTAAGTGTACATAGAAGTGACCATTGGAATTCAATCACTATGGCCTTCAGTGTGAATGGTGAGAAGGTTGTGTACCACTATCCACATCAGCACACCTTTCCAAACCACTACAACTACAACACACCTGGAAAGTTCATCTCTAGTTGTGCTATGCTCCACGGATGCATTCTCCAGCTGGATCCTGTGAGCATCTGCAGCAGTGTCCATGGTCTCATGCAAGCGAGCCATCTGTTGTCGCAGGGCCTCCACGTCATCGTTCTGTGGTCTGCAGTAACATGGCAAAAACCAGCATGAGGTCATTAGAATGAAGCACAGTGGTCTAACAGGATAATTCGAATAATAGACAATGCTGTGCTCCCAGCATGGTAGTCATCTCACCTGCTGTCCAGTTGGACTTTGAGAGTTTTGCAGTCATTCTCCCTGTCAATGATGGTACTCTGCAGAACAAGAACGAGCAGAAAGCACTCCTTCACAAAAAATCTAAAGACCTGGAGTTTCAACTCCCAAGATACTGGACAAAGCGCACACTGGCCCTAACGTGTTTCCCAAATTTCGTACCTGCAGCTGTGTGACATTTTCGTTCAAGCCGATGTTGCGACTGAGTGTGTCGTCCAGCTGCGACCGCAGATTAGCACGTTCAATGGCCTAAGCAGAACAAAGGGAAAGTCAACAAAAAGACCGAAACAGAACAAGACGGGCATTAAAAGAGCCAGGCAGCAAGCAATCTGGTGCAGGTTCCAGTGGGAAACGGAAATTGCACAACTGAACCATATCCACCCAGGTCACCTATGGAAACTTTCCTTTTCAATTTTCACACCTACTGCATACCAGCAACTATGAGAGCACTCCCAAGACAAGAATTTAGAACCAACACATAATGTGATTTGTACCTGCTAGCTGCCATATTCTTACTCTGCCTGCGAAATCATTCTACCAAGTAGCTATATAATCGATTGTTGTAGTTATTGCACACTTCCTCCGCGTCATTAAAATTGTCGCTTCGCACATCACAATGTTTGTGACTTGTTCGTCTTAGGTTACGTTTGGTTGGTCACATTCCCATATGGGAATCACTCGGAATCACTCGGAATCATTCTCGCCCGTTGGTTGGTCAAACAAGTGCGTTAGGTTGGTCCCATTCCAGAATGGGAATCGCTGAGAATGATTCTTTTTGGAGAATGATCATTCCACCTCACATGCTGGAATGAGCATTCTCATTCCGGAATCAAAAATGATAATGGTTGCCACGAGCCAAACAATGTAGCATCTGGTTCAAGTGCCTCGAATCATGCACTCAGAAGTACCTTGACTCTCTCAAGGAAACTAGAGTCGGGTAAAAGAGAAGAGAGCCGCCGTTCCACAACGACATGGAATTGGTATGTCAAGTGACTCCTAGTTGATTCTGGCACGTTTGTTTGGTCAGGTGATTCTTACCCATTCCCATTCCAGAATGGTTGTCATTTACATTCTGAAATGCCCAACCAAACGCAACCTTAGTCAGACTGTCGGAATTGCTGTTTTCTGTGTTCGAACATAGGGTGCGATCCTTCCTGCACAATGTCTACTTGTTACTGAAGCCGTGGTCGTCTCGGACTTTGTCGGAGCTCTCTTGCGCACCAAACAAATTCATCGCGCTCCGCACTATTCCGCCCCAGAGTGCGCATCGTTTTTCTGGAGTTTGTGCCGTCCCACATCTTTCGCGTGCGCATTTATCAAGACTGCAAACCCGGGTATAAGAATCCTGGTTTCCCTCCTGAATTCGAAATGCTGAAGTTGAGAATGGCAAGAAGAAAGTGTTCTCAAATTCCTAAAACGTGCTACATGTGGCGCATGTTGCTGCGAAGGTAGCAGGCCTGAAAACACCAACAAAATCAGCGAAGTGCTTGCCAAGGTGCGGAACTGCTTACCCTATCCCGCTGGAAGGTCGTTACAGTGTACTTGAAAATGCTAGTTCGCCGTCATCGCCTGCCACCTGGAGGCATGGATCGCTTGAAAACGAAGTTTCTAGTACTTAATTTGAACGCGCGTCTTGTTCAGCGTAGTGTTGATGGCTGAGGGGTTCCGCCTCACACTCTGATGAAGACGTCGACCTAAGCTGCAAGTGCAGCGAAGCGGGAGTCCACAAACTAAAGATTGGTCCGTCGACAATGCTCTGCCTCCAGTTCTAGCTGATTTCTTTGCCCTTCGAGCGGATAAAAAAGATTAAAAAATTGCTCTGGGAAGCGACAATTTTAATGACGCGGAGGAAGTACTACGTGACGGAGTTCCACTGATGATGGTCACGAGAAAAAGATCTGGAAGTCATCTTATTTATTGCTGTTTTGCGACGATTGTCTCCTCTAAGTTACAAGTTATGACTAACAGTCCACCAAGGTAATGAGATAATATACAGTCAGATAGTGCGACGACAAGGCACTAAACTGACAGGGGTATTGATTATTGAGACATTCCACGACCTGACACCTAGCTCCAACACATCTACGAAGCGCAAACCCCTTCCAACTTGGAAGGCTCAGGTGCGGAGAGTTCCAATGAGGGGTGTGTTGCCGAGGGACATAGCTCATGCACTTCTTCATGGCGCATCCCTTCCCATCACTGGAACTTTCCGCACCTGAGCCTACCAAGTTGGAAGGTTGTTGGTTTGCGCTTCGTAGATGTGTTGGAGCTAGGTGTCAGGTCGTTGAATGTCTCAATAATCAATACCCCTGTCAGTTTTGTGCCTTGTTGTCGCACTATCTGACTGTATATTATCTCATTACCTTGGTGTACTGTTAGTCACAGCTAGTAACTTATAGGTCCTTTTTCTCTTTACATAATTATTGTCTCCTCGTCGGTTATTGAAACACATCTACATGATTGTATTAGCGCTGTATGGCTATCGCTAACGTGTGAAACTCTGAGCAGCAATAAGAAAGCTTCCGTTTCCCTTCTCTGTGCCTGTATACATGTGTTACATACTAGTCACAAGTAACAAAGACTATTTATGAAGGCTAGAGAGATGTGCCATACAAACATGTCAAGCTGGTACTCATGTTATTACTGGCAAAGCGCCTATTACCAGTCACAGAAGACGGAAATACAATGTAATCCAAGTGTTCAGCACGTGATCAGATGCTAAGAGCCGTCTTACCAGCTCCGCTGCTTTCTGTACAATCTTTTCCTTAGATCCTTCTTTCAGCAAGGTGATGACTGATTTCAAATCATCCACTTCATTTGTTACTAGATACCATACAAAACATATGCAAGCAAGCACACATGTACACACACACACACACACACACACACACACACACACACACACGCGCGCGCGCGCGCGCGCGCACATACACACACACACACGCACGCAGAAATCCGAAGCCCACATGACATATTGTACCCAGTGTTTGTACAAAGCACACCGAATCCAATACAGGTCTACTCTTCATATAACGTAGTCTCTGGGACCACGCACAAATTATGTTATATCGAGAGTTAAGTCATGTAGAAAACCGTGTGTAAAATACAAGATGTACCTCAAAATGAAGGGTATTACAAGGCGGGTTCAACCGTGCAAACATATACACACTGTACCACCATCGACATCAGATACCATCAATGCCGCAGAATATACATGTATGCACAATAGGACTAAACTGGCTAGCTACGGCTACAGCTTGATTGTGCCACTCGGGGACCGCGCCGTAAGGTGTGCTATGCCGAGGTTTACGTTATATAGGACTTTAACTGGCCTAAACTACCTAGCTAAGGCTACCGCTTGATCGTACCGTGCACATGAATTTATGTTGTATCGAGAGTGCGCACGTCGGGACCGCGCTGTAGCGTGTGTTATGTCGAGGTTTATGTTACCGTATTATCTCTAATATAAGCACAGTCTCCAATAATAGCACCTTGGGGCGGCATTCAAAAAATAAAGTGCTCAGTCTCCATTATAAGCACACTGTGTACATTCATTATCTGTACCGGCAAAAAACCCTGAAATGTGTGTGTCTGACATGAATTTGGCATGGCAACATGCCTCTGAAATGAGGTTGAAATAACAATGGAACAGTCTCCAATAAAGGAACGTCTCCATTAATAGCACGGGGCGGAGGTACATTGAAAAAATAAAGGACCGTGCTTATATTAGAGATAATACGGTATGTAGGATTATGTTGTGTAGAACAAAATTTGTATGGGAGTGATGCTGTTTCGGCGTGGGATTTGATTTTTTTACGTACTAGCGAGGTTTATGTACAAGTGAGAGTTATTATATCGAGAGCAGACCTGTAACTATTGAGAGGAAACATTGAGAGCAAGCATGAAAATATGCAAGAATGCACACACCTCTCATTCGCTGCTCTTCAGCATCTTCAAACATTTTCTTGATAGTCCGCAGTTCCTGAAGACGAAACGCGCACGCCGCAAAGAAAACAAGCGATATAGAACACAGCGATGGCTGACGGTCATCAACGCAGGAATCAAGCTAAAAAAATGTATACATATACAAACACAGATTCATACAGAAAACAATCAAAGCTATTACATGCACATCAAGAGAGATATCAATGCACTATAGTCTAGCCATAACAAGAGACTAATGCTAGTAATGCCTTATGGGACTAATTAGTACAGTGCTGGCAACTGAAATCCGACCCCCTGGGCGGCGCGGCGCGCCGGCCAGGGGGTCGGATTTCAGTTGCCAGCACTGTACTTTCATAGGACATGCATTCAACAAATGACAAATGTGCGATGCCGTACCTCTTCTTTCATTTGCACTTTACGACTCGCCGAAACATCAACCTGCTCCATGTGCTGCTTGACTGCAGTGGAGTAGAGGCGCTCCTCCTGCACAGGATACCATGATACGACAACACACGGACACACGCACGCACACACATACACACACACACACACACACACACACACACACACAAGCAAGCAAGCACACACACACACACACACACACAAGCAAGCACACAGACGCACAAGCAAGCACACACACACACCACACACACAAAAGCAACTGGTTGGAAACCGATAAAAAATATGACGAGCTCGTGCAGCGGATCAGGATGAATTTGGTCATGCCCCCTCCCCTCAACCATCCATGACACGTGCATATGCGACTAGCTGGTAGAAAATGTGGTGTATGAATGCACATGACAGTGGGGTCCAATCATTGTCTCGGTAAGCAGATGTTTTTCTACTTCGAAGTACATGTATTACAAAAAACTAGTGATCCATTATTCCATTCGATCATTCATGACATATGTATACCTTGACAGCTGCGCGCAGTCCAGTGATTGTAGAACGTAATTGATCGAGACTGGCCGATGATCTAAATGCGAGAGAAGAACAAAAAAGAGTTCAATACCAGAACAATATGCCTTGCATAATTATCAAGATTGTCATTGCAACAATGTTTAACAGTGATCATACAAAGTGTGAGCTCATTTTAAAACAGCATCACCTTCAGCTTCACCGTGCATGCCACCAGCAGCACCAACACTGCCACCAACACTGCCACTGTCACAATGGCAAATACGGGTACACCGTGCAGGATTGCTCACCAAAGTCGGTGTCAGCCCTTGAAAATGAAAACTATACCTACATGTATGTTCACGGCATTAGACTGGCCGTGCAAGTATTATTGCCCATGTGGAGGCAGGCAAGAAAATGATAATGATGAGGTTGATTGAAGAAAAATAATCATTTCCTGGGAACGATGATCAGGAGTGCGACAGCTCGATTCACTTACACGTCCTGCATACGAGCATAGCACAACACCACAACACACACACAGACACAGACAGAAGGATGGATGAGCAAACAGACGGCGGGCATGCAGACTACGAGGTAACAGATGACAAAACAGATCCACAACGTACAAAATGAGTTCTAATCGAGAAGCAGAAATCCATAAGTGTACGGTTTCTTCTCAATGCTTACCAACTCCAATAGCTCCTTGGCTATAGATGGTGCAACTGCAGCCTTGGCACTGGCCTTTGGTATCTTTGGTGATGGTTTTGAGTCGTCCATCTACAAACAAACAAAACATGAGGGCACATTCTTCAAAGTCAATATCGGAATACAACTACATGGAAGAGGAAGAAAAGCGTCCTGTAACGAGAATGGGTATCACAAAGGGTGACCGTAGGTGCCACGCATGACCTAAGGTCCTGGCAGCCAAAGCTAAAGTCCATTTTCTGAGCTGGAGCAGAAGCGGTTTGTCCCATGAGAGAGTTGGTGATCTCGTAGGTTGAGCAGGCATGCACTCCCTCTCGCGACAGGCTTGTGCCTACGCCGCAGGGTCGTACAGAGACCGAGTCACCAGCTGTCAGTACTGTGCGCACATTCAGTCTGAGTTCTACTCATTTCGTCATATGGAGCAGCTGATAGCCACGCGGTCGAGCAAGCAGTAGGCTCTTCTCACGACATACTGTGTTGTAAAGAGTACGTACGGTCCATGCTCACACCCTTTCGGAGGTCAGGTCAGGGCCATATATAAGCTGGGTACTCATTCTCTAGGAGCGGACCCCTAACAGGGCGCGGTCAAACTGCCACCGCTCAAGACCACGGGCAACAACAGTCAAGACAAAACGGTAGCTGGCTGTGGGAGAGTGCTCCTCCCGTATTTTCGAACATTCAACCGTTTACCTTCTTCTTTCTCTCTCTCTCTCTCTCTCTCTCTCTCTCTCTCTCTCTCTCTCTCTCTCTCTCTCTCTTGCTTTATAATCCATACCTTCCCCTCCTAATTCATGCAACGACCTGGACGCAATAAAAGAAGACGGGGCATAGGGATAAATAATGGACAAAAACAGGTGTGGATGGACAGATGTCAACCAGCTGGCCAGGAGCGCAAGTTAAAAGATAGCAGAATAGTAGTAGCTGAGAATACCAGTACAAAAACGCTGCACTCTCTTCACAAGCAGCGTGTGTATAGCACGTACCTTGATACCGTGCGCCTCTTCAAAGTGCACTGACAGACCCTGTGCTGTGAAGAAGGACTGCATGCAATCTGGACAGATGAAACCCTGAACAAACACCAGAACACCGTGACCAATGAAAAGAAAATCAGAGATCATGTTTCTAGAACTTTTTAACTGTCTATGTAGGACATAGAAGCATGTTTTGAGCTCCCTCGAGTCTGAAAAATACAAGTGAATCCAGGGTCGCTACGTGCTATTGAAGTAATCCAGTAGTCGGAAGTGCTACCTAAAACGGACAAGAAACCTCAGCTCTATCATTGCTCGTTCGATTTGTGAACCCTTTGCAAGCGCTTGACACTTAACGTTAGTGCTAGTCCATGCAGTAGCACAGCTGCATCTCGTGTACGTCTTCTTAGAGACCCAACAGTGACCAACCAGATGATGGCTTGCACTGGAGGACACAAGAGAGTTCTATGTAAGGACCACATCCATGTGATCCTACTGGAACATGATATCCACCACTGTGGGTGCTGGCAAAAGCTATGGGTTGGTTTTTTAGCTCACTATGGCTACCATCTTCAAGCATTCCACAGCAATAAGGTGCGCACACAACATGCACTTCACTGTGACAACACATGCAGCAACAGGAAAACATCCTTTCCATCTCTAAGGTGTACAGTCATGTACTTACGGTGGATAGCTGTGCCGGCTCATCACGCTTAGGGGAGGCTGTGGCAGCAGCAGCACCACCATCTTGCTGCAAGAACAGAACACCAGGAGAAAGTGCAGTATTACTACTTCCACCCTTTTTTTTAGTCTGGCTCCTCTCGGTCTCTCATTGCAAAAGAACCAATTCAATGGATTACACCTCTTCTTCACACTGTTGTCCCCAGTGCGGGCTTGCGAATTAGATGGTTTGGAGGCAACAACGTTGTGAATGGCCAACGGTCCTCAGCGCTTGTTCAGCACCTCCATGAGCGACACTGACTCACGCTGCTATCTGGTGTTCACGAGGTGTTTGTCGCGCTGGAAACGGAGCGTCTCTGTAAGTTTGTATCCCTGGTGATGTTTGTGCCTGGAGAGCACTATATAAGTGGTGCTCTTCAGGCACAATCTTCCTCAGCCTACTCAAGCTCAACTGAGGAGGGGTGAATTCCCCAAAACGCTGTGTATTGAGCAGGGAGTGGTGCTTTCTTGCAGGTTTGCCGAGTGGACGGTTCGATGGACTTCTCGTGTGCTCTGGCTGACAGTCATGAGTCAGTCAAGTGAGAATTCAAGTCGGCAGGAAAACTGCGAGCTCCCATCTAGGGAGCAACACACTCTTCCTTTTTTTTCAATGGATTACAACACCCACTACCCGTGTACACGCCCAGGTGCCCAGTGTCAACACTCTTGTCCCATTTTCTAGCCCACCTCCGTGTAAAACGCCCATGGGCGAAAGCACAGGTCCATTACACAGTGCAGTGCATGCACAGCTCCATATGTATGTACGGTGCTGTAATATAACTTAGTGTACAGCACACTGTGCTCACCGGATTTGTACATGCAGTAGTACGGCATGATGTGAAAATCAATCTGATTTCGCTCATCCGAAATAACGCCCAGGCCCACATTAGCGTCCAGGCCCAAATTGACGCCCATGTTCTGGACCCTCACTAACGTTTCCGCCCAGGGCCTTATTACGGGCTTTTACGGTATTGGGTTCCTTGGGCATCTTCAGGGAAATGATCAACCTGGGCATCAGTGCACTCTGTGTACATGCACTGATGGGGTGTCTTTGTGTGTACTAGTACACGACCAACGATACATGTGTTTGTGTGTCTGCGCGCATGTACCATTCAAAAAGGCTTCAACCCTGAATTCAAGAGAGAATTGGTAATGAATCTGAACGTTTATACAGCTCTCTCAATTTTGAGATTTAACTTTCTGAAATTATACCTGAAAGAAAAAGTACATGAATTAGGCTGAATTTGGAATATGCTGGTATTCAGCTATAATTATACGTCAAAATGTAAACTGATAAAAGCAATCTCCTCACCGTATCCTGCTTCTTCAGAAACTTGTTTACACTACTGGTGACACTGCTTCGAATGTTTATCAGAGACATGGCTTCTTTAAAAATGCAATAGGCGAATTCAAACGCCGGAAATTTGCTGGGCTGAACAAATCACATGTGTAAAAAAAGGAACTCTCCTACAAAGTCAAGACATTTCAAAGTCTGTCTCAGATGATGATTCGCAGAGTAACCAGCTCCTGCTAGCACAAACCCCTGGCGTGGATCGAAAATGAGCTGAAAGCCAAGTGCAACTGAAGAGCTCGCCAGGCCAAAGTCTAAGTGATAGCATGTGTGTACCTGAAAAAAACTAGGAAAATCACTACAATCAGGTAACACCACCACCCAGACCACACGATATGTGTGCGGGCTTACTTCTTCGTGAAGCTGATCAGTGATCTTGTTTGAATGCAGTATTACAAAAATTTGCAGTAGGGCAAAGCCTTCGTGGCGCTGTTTACATGGTTTACTTCTGACATGAGGGAGTACTAAAATAACTCCTTGGGCTGGCCGTGTCCATGGTAGGGAGTTCAGTTCCGGTCACAGAAAAGCGAAAAGTGCAGTCACAGCTCACCTGTACAAAGACTTAAAGGGGAAGTTAACCCTTTCCGGACTGATGCCGCACATGTGCGTCAAAACGTCATACCCTGATTTCCTGATGCCGCATATGTGCGTCAAGTAGAAGCGCATACTTGTACAGTGCATATACATCATTGTTCAAATTGTCGTAACTCCATTGTCCTTTATCCGATTGTCGCGAATGATGGCTCATTGGAAAGGTGAGAGAATAAGCTTTCCAGTGGTATGTCGTTTGATATAGCGCGGTGCGGAATCACTGAGTATCGAAGAACGAAACACGGATACGCTTGAAATTGTTTCGAAAATTTGTACGCAGAGCGCTTCAAAGTGCGTCGGCGTGCCTCAAACGGGGACTTTCCCAGTGACTCATCGCTGCACGGCGCATGCGAAGTAGAGATCAAATGAATCGCTTGAGCTTATGAGACCTTTCTCACAATGTGCACGTGACCTGACGCCCACGGCGCAGCGTAAGGCAAAAGAATTCAAAAGATGCACTGTTTCTGTACTGAAAGCTATTAGAATTTAGTTGTTTGTGGATATTGTATTGTTTCTCTCATCGTTTTGAAGGCCGTGTAGGTGTTTGGAATTATTTCCTCGGTGTTACCAACCATGCCGTCGTCCTGCGCTGCGGACAGCTGTGCAAATCGTGCTTCAGCAGACTGTCCTTACCGCTTTTTTAGATTTCCAAAATCAGATCGAGAACGATGTCAGATGTGGATAGCTTCAGTTTGCCATCGTCGTCCAGTTGGCTGGTGGCCATCCGATGGTATGCGCATTTGCGGGAAGCATTTTTTGACTGAAGAACCCTCCGACTCTCCACATGACGTGGACTACATCCCGACAATTGTGGATAGCAAGCCCAAAACTGAAGAGCGAGCTGTTCAAGCTGATGCCAGAAAAAAGCGACAATTCCGAAGGGAACAGAGGAAGGGAGATCAGCCGGATGAAGCTGCTGCTGCTTTTGCTGCTCAACCAGAGGAATTACCTCAATCTGAACCTGTCAGTGCTGATAAAGGTCCTGTAATTCATGCCCCATTGCCGGAGACCACTGATGGGCTTGCGGCACGTATCCGGCATTTGGAGTTCCGTGTCCACCAATTGGAGACACACGCTTGTGAGGTAACCAGTGAGCTGGACACCTACAGAGCAGCAGCCAGCCGCAAGCAGTCTATCTCGGCACATGACCTTGAAGGCAAGGATAAACTGGTTCGTTTCAACACTGGTTTCCCTTCGTACGCCGCCTTCATTTCCTTCTTCCATTACCTGTCTGGGAAAGCTGGGCGCCTCCATATCTGGCGCGGTCAGAAAGAAGAAGCGCTTCGTTCCGCAACAGGTGTGACAGGTCGGCTAACGATGCAGTATGCTAGTAGGCAGCTGGAGTTAGTAGATGAGTTTCTGGCTGTCATGATGCGGCTGAGGCTAGGATTGCTGGTGGAAGATGTTTGCTTCCGGTTCGGCATTTCTGCCACCTACTTCTCGAAGATCTTCACAACGTGGATAGTGTTCTTGTCGAAGGAGTTGGCTTTACTCTTTCCCTGGCCATCTGCTGAGCAGGTTCGCTTCCACACCCCACCACAATTTGCAAAGTATCCTAACACTAGAGTAATAATTGACTGCTTTGAACTATTTATTGAGCGTCCATCTGCTCTCCGTGTGAACTGCCAGATGTTCTCTCACTACAAGAACCACTCGACGTTCAAAGCTCTGATTGGCATCAGCCCTGGTGGCGTTGTCATATATCTATCCAAGTTGTTCACTGGACGTGCGTCAGACAAGTTCATTGTGTCTCACAGTGGCTTTCTTGATCTGATCGAGCATGGTGATAATGTAATGGCGGACAAAGGCTTCGAAATTCGGGATCTTCTCCTGCCTAAACGTGCCACTCTCAACATCCCACCATTCCTGGGCCAACAACGAAGCCAGTTCACTGCCCAGGAAGTGGACGATACACGCAGAATTGCTGCCCTTCGTATTCACGTTGAACGAGCAATTGCCCGTCTTCGGTGTTTCCGGATTTTACGCGGGACACTCCCCATCACACTTGCCCCTATTGCTAATGACATCGTCACAGTCTGCACTCTCGTCACAAATTTTTCTGATCCTCTGGTCGCAGATGAGCACTGAGGTTCGCACCATTGTCAGTCACCAGTGCTTCATTACATTTTCAATTTTGCCAGCAGCGGTACTGCTGAGCACACAGCTCTTTCACATTGTGACACTGCAAGTCGTGGTGTATTGTTAGTTTGTTTGTTTCTTGGCTTCTTCATTCGTTATTCACACCTGTGTGTGCATGAGTGTGTGTGTGTGTGTGTGCGGGGGGGGGGGGGGGGGGGGGCATGTGTGTGTGTTTGTGTGTGTGTGTGTGCCTGAGTGTGTGAAAGAGGCATCATTCAATGATGTTGTACTTGTACTTTCATCGCGTATGTCGAAAAGCATTTCATTTTGTTTTGTTTGATCCACTTCACCAGTTTTCGACTCCATCCTGATGATGGCTTCTGGCCCAAATCTCATTGAAATTAAACTGGTTTGCAGCGAAGAGACTAACGTTACTTGGCATTTGCGTTTGTGGTGGTGTAGGGTTCTTCATTAATTAACGCTGTGATCCCTTTTCCATTCCCTCCGCCAGTGAATATGTGGTTCATGATTTCCTTTTTCTTAGTATACAGTTGCATGTCATTTATCCGGTGGTCCATCATCCACCATGTCAGTTGTCAAACAACGCAGTGCTGGCTCACACACTGTATAATTATTATGATCACTGTCCCCATATACTTCAAGAATCAAGACATTGAACATCGTTGCGGTCGCATACAAGCGAGTCTATAGTTGAACACGACCAGTGTCTCAGGATAGTAACAGAGCATGCAAAATACAGGCAAAAGACACTCTCTACAGTCCTTTTGATGTGTGAACACAAGATGGCTATGTAGTTTCAGTCATCCAGATTATCAAACAGTGTCCATTGTCCAGTCCTGAGCTTGAGGGTGCCGGATAACAGACACTCACCTCTAATTTTATTCTTTCTTTTTTATTAAACCCGGCACGTTCGGGCTCTCTGCCTTCTCCGTGAAACAAAAAGAACTCTAATGACATGAGGAATTGGCATGGACATAGCAGGTTGGCACCGCAGCACAGCATCAGGTGCCGAAACAGTTCAACCGAATTAAAGATTTAAACTACAACAAGAAAAGTGTGTTCTCGTGTGGGAAACAGCAAAACATTAATTGAAAAAGGATAAAAGGCGTGATGCGGGCATCGCAGGTTTCACAAGAGTCCGTACCAATACTGTTCAACCAGTCTAAGATCTTCCTACAGATCATCGGTATCGACAAAGCAATGCATACAGTAGTTCCCCATATCATCAGTTGTGCATATATGATGAAAATAATGTGCGCAGTGGCTGTTACGACATGCCTTTGGTTTAAGCCCAGGGAACGCACACGTTTGAGAGCAACATGCAATACGAGGTGCCAACTTCTGAGACAAAGCAGGTGACCGACCCGCAACAGGCAATGGTGCTGAAGGTGACGACACTGCAGCAAGTGACGACACTGCAGCAAGTGACGGCACTGCAGCAGGTGTTGGCACAGCAGCAGGCGACGACACTGCAGCAGGTGACGGCACTGCAGCAACTGACGACACTGCAGCAGGTGACGGCACAGCGATAGGCATAGCCAGCGAGGGCATTGCAGCAGGCAATGATACTGGCGATAACATTGCAGCAGCTGTTGACTTCTGATGTTCAGCGAACAGCTTCCTGGAGTGGATCTCTGGTAAGACATGGCTGATGTAGAAAGCTTTCAACTTCGGTAGCAAAGTATCATTCCACAGTACACTGTCACGAAATATCCTCTCAATGTGAAGATTGGTGGGATAAGGCGCGTCGGTCCACATGACGAAGTCTGCCCACTCCTTGTCCATCACGGCCAATTCTCCCTGCACCTGCGTGTAGAACTTGTGAGTTCTTCGCAATAGCAACTTGCCTCCGTCGCTTCTAGTCAAGCAAAACTTATGCCCAAACTGGTTGCAGATGGCCGCGGGAGACATCTTGTTAATGGACACGCCATCAATTGAAAAGGGACATTTCACCTCAATTAGGCCATGCGGATCAGACGAAGCAGGATCGTACAGCAGTCCATCGGAAGAAGCACCGATGAAGGAGTACTCTTGATAGAGAGTAACACCTGATGGCATGTGACGTACGGCAATATCTGACTCAAAACCAAAATTCACAAGTCGCAAGTAGTCCTCCACGGCCTTTGCTTCATGCATAATACCCCATTGCATAGCCGTTGTCTTCGGCATGTTGGAGTAACCCATGATCGTCTTCACCAAGCTGTCTGGGGATGTAGTCTCCCTACGGTTTACGATGACATGAAAAATAGAGGAAGTGATGCGGCCAACCCGAATGTCACGCCAAAGTGGCGATCTTGACTGCTTCTTCGTGACACTCTCGATATAGGAGGCCAGGCTGCTGTCAATGGAGCTATCATTAGCAAGATCAGTGCACATCCCCACAACAACATCCTCATCCAGGTCATCACTGAACTGATCTGTCCTAGGGTGTCGTGAAATAACCAACTGCTTAGCCTGCTTGTCCAAAGTGTGCATAGCATGCTTCTTGGCCAAAGATGGGTGGTTCCAGAATTGGAACAAGCCAGATGTTGGCAGCTTTGATGCAAATGTATCCAGTAATTCCTGGACACAATGGTCGTCCACAGCAAGGTCTTGAGCAGCTCTCGGTTCAAAGGTGGACAGAGAACCTCCACAGACCTTGCGGGATTCCTTGCCATAGGCAGTGGCCTCAAACACAGCGTCCGCCAACGGGACAGCAGGTACCGATAGCTGGGGTGGAGGACGATGCCACGACATCAAGCGTCCAGTGCATGTTGCGTCTGCCTGTATTGTTGTGGCGTCTTTCTCCTTACAGTCCAGGAGGTAGAACAGGAGCGCGGCGACATGACTGCAGCTCTCACCCAGTCCAGCAGCACACTTGCACCTGGCACTATACACAGCCCCTTGAGGCGACATAGTAATAAAAACTGGGTAGGCCGATTTCTCCCGTGACGGATAAGACTGGTGCACATGCCCTCTAGCATAGATGTACTGGGGCTTCACGGGATCAGGGCAGCACATCCACACATTGGAAACCCACCCGCTGGTGAAATAGCTATAGCCTTTCAGTGACTTGAAGTTGCTGCGCTGACGGTCAGACGAGGATTTGTCCCTCACTTCCACGAGGTACGTGTATATGTCCCCGTAAATAAAATTATCAATAAGGAAATCGTGTACCCAACACGAGACAGAATCATACGTTGGCAAGGCTTCCAATTCTGCCGTGATCTCCACTGTTTTCGCGGACGCTTCTGGCGCAACATGTGGCGGCGCTGAGGCTGCAGAAGACGTCTCAGCAAGTCCAACAAGGGTCTCCACCAACTCAGTTTTCCTCTTATTGCTGTGGACAATTTTGAAATGTCTGCACAGCTCCTTCAGCACAGGCACGTTTGCTGACTCCAAGCGTTTCCTCAACTTGTCGACATCACCCTGTTGAGACTGCACTGCCTCGACAAGCTCCTTGAGGGATGCCATGTCGGGGAGAGAAAGGAAATGTCAACGATAGCAATTGTTCTCAATACAAAATGATGTGCAAACAGCACAAAAACCCGAGTCTTTTGCCTTACGCTGCGCCGTGGGCGTCAGGTCACGTGCACTTTGTGAAAGTGGTCTGCAGGACTTTGAATCATCGTTCTACGTTGAGTAAAAATTGAGAAACGATAAAATTTGTGGAGGTGGGTACAGAATCTCGCTCAGGCGCAATAGAGCAGCTCTCAACAGGCTTGAAGGCGATTCTGTTGCTCCTGCCGGGTGTCTAGTGGCGATATTCAGAGAGAGAACATCTGTAGCTTTCCAATGCGACCAAAAAGAAATAATTACGAAACTGGTGAGTGAAATTAGATAATTTTCAAATGCATACTGGGACTATTGCGTATGGCAGGGCGGCCGGTGGCAGGAATCAGGGGATTTAGCACCAGGGCGCAAAAGGTTAAGGCAAAAATTAAAATTTCACCAGTTGTAGTCTTCGGGGTGCTGAGTCGAATGGTCGTGGTCCGAGGAAGCTGAGACGCTCCCTTCCTACTTGAATTCCAATCGAACTCGCGCACTTCCACCGAAACTGGGTGACTGCGCCCTACGAGATGGGGATTTGTATGCAAAATGTCACTAAAAGCGCCATTTCGTTCTTATAAAAGCACGGATGATCGCGATTGGCCCATATGTTGTAGTCTTTGGGACGCTGAGTCGACTGGTTTTGGTCCGAAAAGGCTGCGATGCGGCGTTCCTCCTTTATTCCCAATCGAACATGGTTGAAGAAGCGGTCACGTGCTCCTGCGTACACCAGTCACCTGGTCACCGTGCCTGCAGGGTACAACTTACTAGCCTGTTTGACCTTTTTTGGGTGCAGTCCTGTCACTCGAGTTGAACCCGAGTTGAACCTTGGTGTGAAAGTTGTCACCTGCTGGCGTGGTGACCAGGTGATTTGGGCACCCAGGACCACGTGACCGCTTGTTCAACCATGTTCGATTGGGAATAAAGGAGGAACGCCGCATCGCAGCCTTTCGGACCAAAACCAGTCGACTCAGCGTCCCAAAGACTACAACATATGGGCCAATCGCGGTCATCCGTGCTTTTATAAGAACGAAATGGCGCTTTTACTTTTTAGTGACATTTTGCATACAAATCCCCATCTCGTAGGGCGCAGTCACCCAGTTTCGGTGGAAGTGCGCGAGTTCGATTGGGATTCAAGTAGGAAGGGAGCGTCTCAGCTTCCTCGGACCAAGACCATTCGACTCAGCACCCCGAAGACTACAACTGGTGAAATTTTAATTTTTGCCTTAACTTCCCCTTTAAGTGAATGGGCGCCTCGTGACTGCAGTTCGAGATGCAGTTTGAGGCCCAAGTATCTTCTCCCGCGGCCTTTTCGGCCTTGTCGATGCTATTTTTAGGTAGCTGAGGTCATTACCTTTCCAATGGTGCCACACATGCCATGCTTCCAAAAATAATGCCTCCGCGCTTGGCGCGGATGCACTTCGAAGTACTAATTTCGACCAGATCCGTACTCGGCCCCACGAAGAACACCCGATTTTCGTGTTCAGCGGCCTCGAATTAGCCTAAACCAAGAGGATTCTAGAACATTGAGGCTCGCGCTTTATCACGGTAGAAGGAAGATGACCACAGAAATCAGCCCACGGCGATTTCCTGGTGGTAGACGAAAAAAATCGAGTGAACTGCGCGCACGCTGTAGAAGCAGTGACGGTGAAAACGTGTGACTTGTGCAAGTAGGCGCGCACGGCATGCGTGCACACTGCATGCATGCACACATCCTGTATCGCCATGTATGTACCAGATAGTGCAGTGCTGGACGGAAACCACACGGCTCACATACATACTTGCATTACTTCTGTGACTACTTTCTCCCCCGTTTTCCGATCTTCAATCGACTATAACTCTAGATTGCCTTGGAATTTTGGGTTCAAATTTTCACAGGGTGTTTCTCACACCTTCCCGGTTTAGAAAAACTAGCGTTTTATGCGAAACTCGCGAATTTGGTTTTTCAATTGAAGTCCCTATCCATGGTGTCAATGCAGTGCAGTGATAAACGGTGCCGGTGACCGGTGATGCATGCATCTGCATTTTGTCGTCACGTAAAAATAGTATTTACCGCCAAGAGTCCGGGTTATTATAATCAGGGAGTAGTACAATACCGGTATTGTACACCTGTATACATGTACTCCCTGATTATAATGGACCCTTGCTACAGTACAGCCAGGTGTCACTGAATCATTGAATGGCCCGTAGTCTGCAATCCCCCAGGACCTAGGGCGGTTATCATGAGGCCCGAGTCTTGATAGCACAGAGACCCCAGAGGCATGGCGTGAGTGCTGTGGGGTGATCAACCAGCCGGGAGTACTAAGAAAACTGGTACATGTACTTCCCCAGCGATCAGTGATTCCAACCCCCGCCTGGACCGTCCCCACCAAGACCCCCTCCCCTCCCCCCCCCCCCCCCCGACTATAAGAATATGACTCGGGGAATTAATACAGATCCAGCCCCGGGCCGTCACGCCGGTAGCACCGGTGTTTCAGGTCACGGGTCCGTCCTGCCACCGGAAAGCAACGAAAACCCGTTTCACACGGGTGGCCCGGGTAATCTTTTTCGAAATACCCAAAGTCCGGCCATGGCCGCCCCGGGGGCCGGATGCTACGGACCTCAATGAACTCCCTGCTGCAGATCAACTGGTACATGGTGTGGTGACAGTAGGTCTAATTTCGGACACAGGCTACTGTGACATTTCTCTGCTATCATGGCAGTATTTCATGTACATGGCTCAAGTCTCACGAGCTATAATACTTTTTTGTACTCACTCGTGACTAATCCAACGGGTAATGATAAGATGTTTTATCAATGCTATCAGCCTGCTGGGGACAAATCAGACCCACTAGTTAGCATCACCGTGCATGCCCAGTGAAGGCACTGTATACAGTACATGTAGTTCAGGGGGTGGGGGTTCAGTGATATCAGTTGTAGCAAGAGTACATAGCTCTCGCGCCAGTGTGTGCAGCTGATTTCACACAGCTGAGCTGCAGTCAGGCGATATCGATGGGGTCTGTTACAGCAGAATTTCAGATCACATGGCAAATCTGTACACACTTCCTGCACTCTACAGCCCACCGGGTTGTATGCAAAGCCTCTTTGGGTACTACAAACTGCTCTGTGGTTGCTTTGCCCTCGTAGCTGTTTGCTCGTGTGACTTATAAACTGCATGCACCGTCAACACTTACTAAGTTCCATTCCACAGGTTTTTGCACATCATGGTTGTGCTCACTTCATCAGTGTGCACCACCAGAGAGCCGTCGCATCTAGGCGGGAGACAACATGGGCGGCTGTAATGCTAAACGATGTTGGCTGTCAACCCCGGGCTGCCCGCTACAGCCCCGGCTTTGGGCTTGGTCAATTTCAGAATACATGCTCACACATGGCATTGCCGGACTGGGTCGCGGTTGGGGTCAGCTAGCAGGTCAAGGCCGCGATCGCAATCGGGAGCTGCACAGACAACTTTGAACAAAATCCGGGGTCGAAACACACACCGTTTCAGGTGCTATGACTAATCTCGTGTCATCTCCCCATATGCTACAACACCCTGGTGTGCACCGTGTCTACTGGATCGTGTTAAACATGATGTGAAATGCTGCCGCCAACTCACTGCAGAAAATGTGCAGGCAGTCGCACAATCTTGGGAGTTATGTACCGTATTGGTCGTAGCAACCCACTGTGTCACATATCTGTACTACCCTGCATGAGTCATCACGGTGATGGGATGATATTTTTTACGATGATAATAATACTTGATAATGGACTCGGATGGAGAGCCAAGGATAGGGGTGTTAGTGGACATTATAGCGTAACTTGTAGTTCATTGGTCCCTTTTCTTTTGTATAAACTTATACTTGATAATGTGAGCAATACACCAAGAGCAGCTCAATGCTATACTTCTCAACATTTGGCAAAAAGTTCTAAGCTCAGCTGGGTAGAAAACAGCCCCATGGCCGGGTTTCATGAATTCATGGCAGTACCCAGTCACGGGATACATCTCTTTTCAGGACGTAACAGCAGCATGCAAACAAGACCAAACCTGTTTTTCATGCCGGCATGTGTTCCGAAAGCATTGCTCTGCGCATTGTCATAGTTTCTCGGTAAGGAACAAGGTATGTGCTTGTGTCAATACTACGCCTTCTTGTTCACATCCAGTGTGCGTGCCATTGTGCGTGCACGTGAAGTCTGCTGGGCAGCAGTGCACACCATCCGAGCAGCACACTGCATTCTCTAGCGTGCAGCAGCCATACATACCATTTTTCTGTAGGCAACATGTCTGGTTGCCAGGGCAATCATGGCCGTCAGGGCACATTGTTCTTGACACAGTGATGAAATCTCTGTCATGCGTTCCCATGTTCACTGGCGTTTCAATGATAAGGGTATCAGCTGAGTTGAGCTTGCTCCTCTGCTTGTGTCTCGTCTCTGACTCCAGCCTGAGGAAGGGCAGGCTAAGTAGTCGTCCGGTGCCACTACGCTTGCATTCCTGGGCGTGTGGATCACAGTAGTACCCCTCTGGGCAGCAATGAACCAGGTCGCTGCAACACACAGCGTTCACCGCCCCGCAGCAGCCATAATCACCGGTCGCCTTCTGGCAGCACGTCTCTCCGTCGTCGCACTCCGTCCGACCTCCAGGACACACGACAGTGCCGCTACCACTACCATACGTCGCAATCAGCAGACCTATACCGGCCAGGAGTACCAGGCCTCGTCGAAATTCAGTTGCGGGAATCATAACTGCCCGCAACCCGAGAGCACACTGTCTGGAACACAATTCGGCCCCGTCTGCTGAACGAAGTAATTAGTTGCCGAGCGGATTCAAGTTTTCCCAGCACTACGCCTTTTTCTAACATCTACTGAGCATCCAGCATCAAGAGTGATCTGGGCCTGGTCACACGATGTCTCGCTGTGCTGTGGAAACAGAAGGAGGCTAGGCTGCGCACGCCTCAACGCAATTCAATACAAAGCCGCAGTCCTCCTGCAGTCCTAGCGGTGACCGGAGCTCTCGCTGCAAGGCTCGGATCGGGAAACGGCCTAATGAAATACCATCACAAGTCACCGTTGAAGTGTGTATCGTGATTGGGCAAAAAATACACGAGCTTCTAGTACTATACTACTAGTTAGCTTGAGCCTAATGATTATGTTGTTGCAGGATCAAGCAGTTCTGTTGATCTGCGAGATATCAGCGAAATAGTCGCGTTACTGCATTGGTTTGTGCATTATTTATGGGCACATCTGCGTCCCCGCAGGTTTCTTATCAATCACGTGGTCATCAGGTACTGGTATGTAACAGAATGCTGAAAAGCCGTAGACCTACGGCATAACCATGATAACCTCATGCTCTGCAGTGTCCTGGTGTCAGCAGTGATCCACATGTCCAGTTCTGGGGATCGGGATAACAAAATCGGCAGACCAATACGACACTAGTACAGTAGGTATCGGTTATAGCGTGGGTGTTTGAAAAACGACATTTGATTCTTATTGCCGATATTTCTTACACACGATAAATCACGTGTGACATATCATATGCACATGTGACATAATACATGTTTGGCATGTGGACACGTACAATCATGTAGGTCTACACAATCATGATACACACGGATCAGACTCGCGGTCGTGCTAGGCGACTGCGGAGCAGCAGAGGAGAGAAGTCGGAAGAAAGAGTCCGACTGGACAGAAAAAGTGATTCTCCAATGCTCAGTTGGACATAACTCTCTTTTTGTGTTGAATATTATTGTATTGAGCATGCACAGAGCACAGATGTTATTACTACAGGCGATACATTTTGCACTAATCTGGCATATTTTGCTACACAAAATCCATTCTTAGGGCCGATATATTCTACTATGCGATAATACTGCTTGTAAGAATAAATATACACATAAAATAGGTGTTATGATTATGAAAAAATGAGTGTTCATTCTTGTAGGCAGTATATTCTTGTATACGACCACACTATAACCGATACGCACTGTACTAGTCACTACTCTATGGCTATGCCCATAGGGCCATACTGGTGTATGTTGCCCAAGACCAGAAGCCGCCAGGTCAAGATCATGCAAGATTGAAATGCCAAGACCAGGGCAAGGTTAGAGAACATCAACACTACATAGTAGGCCAGCATAGCAACAAATCTGTTGAACCAGGGCCAGCAGAAGCAATTTTGGATTGATCCAGCCATTGCTTAACCGAGTATCACTTCTAGCGTGCTGTAAAGGTACGTGTATTACAATGTAGAGTAAATCTACCGCACCTTCAAATTTCGGCCTCCCACTCCCAGGATATTAATTTTGTTGACTTACAGTACATCACACAGGGATGAATTTATCCTGTATCGCATCGCGGTTTGCGATGCAAAATCGATCTACTGCTACTCAAAAGTCACCATGACTCGCAGAAAACTGCGATACATACACAGGCTATCCATTCTTAGCCTGGTCTGCCAAGTAACATGCATACAGTGCAATGTACATGTATGTGGTGCAGGTACATGATTGTACTCTCAATCTGCGTGCACATGTATGCTTCAGTTTTTTTAGCATATTATTGTCTTGTACTTCCACAAAGCTCCTAGTCGAGTCCACATTATGACAATGGTCTGAGTCCTTTTTTCATGACAATTAATTTCTGTTCTTTTGGTTTTTTGGTAAAGCATAATTGGCTGTTTTCTCGAGCATCCTGCGAGCATCCGCTAGAGCACAATCTGGTCATTTTCCGAGCATAATCCGCTTACCCCGGACTGAGGACATGGACAGGGCACAAGCCCCCAAAACGAAAACTTGTTTCACGATGGCACTGCATTGTTGTCAAGAACACTACACTTCGCGGTGGGATATACAATGTACTTCTGAAGTACTCTTGATAGAACTGTACTAGTTTTGTATGCACATACTGACATACATGTACATGTATGTACATGTATACAGTCTTGTCACAGTTTGCTTTTCAATCGGAAACCGCCCGTGCACGCGTGGTGGTCCGGATCCTGGAAATCACTTACCGTATTATCTCTAATATAAGCACGGTCCTTTATTTTTTCAATGTACCTCCGCCCCGTGCTATTAATGGAGACGTTCCTTTATTGGAGACTGTTCCATTATTATTTCAACCTCATTTCAGAGTCATGTTGCCATGCCAAATTCATATCAGACACACACATTTCAGGGGGGTTTTCGCCGGCACAGACAATGAATTTACACAGTGTGCTTATAATGGAGACTGAGCACTTTATTTTTTGAATGCCGCCCCAAGGCGTTCTATTATTGGAGACGTGCTATTATTGGAGACTGTGCTTATATTAGAGATAATACGGTACTATAAGTTAATAAGTGCACAGACAGTATTGACACTATTGATTTGTGTGGAGTCTAGAAACTACTTACCGTATTATCTCTAATATAAGCACAGTCTCCAATAATAGCATGTCTCCAATAGTAGAACACCTTGGGGTGGCATTCAAAAATAAAGTGCTCAGTCTCCAATATAAGTACACTGTGTGAATTCATTATCTGTACCGGCGAAAAAAACCCTGAAATGTGTGTGTCATACATGTACATGAATTTGGCATGGCAACATGCCTCTGAAATGAGGTTGAAATAATAATGGAACAGTCTCCAATAAAGGAACGTCTCCATTAATAGCACGGGGCGGAGGTACATTGAAAAAATAAAGGACCGTGCTTATATTATTACTATTAGAGATAATACGGTACATGTACATGTATGAAGAAGATTAGTAGTCTGTAAGGGCGCGTTCGAATTGTCACTCTTCAAGCTTTTCGAGGAGTTTCGTTTTTCTGAAGAGGTTGCCTTATTCAAAAGTTATTGGCCCCTTCAGAAAAACGAAACTCCTCGAAACTCCACAACCTCATCCGATGGGAGAGGTGGATTAGTTTCGAAGAGTTTGGAATAGCTACATTGTACGTCACGTAGTATGTGGAGATGGTCGATCTGATCGGATGTCATCATCGCCATGACCACTGATGGCTACTCATGCTGCCCTCTGTTGCCCCGGCATGCGTTCAACCAGATACAACAGCAACTCGTAACAGTATGAGACCAAGAACTTTCTCCTCTGAGATAAAACTGCAAGAACCAAAACTGTAAACTGCTTCCTACAGTTCAAAACTAACAACTAAAAAACTTCAAAGGCATGGAAGTATACATTCCAGAATGACGAAAGCGAGAGCGCAATCGCAGCCTGCGAGTATCCACAGGACTGTGCACAAATGCAAAGACGAGTGAATATATTACGACTAGATAGCATGGAGACAGCACATGCATCAAACGATACGCTACTTGAATCTCAGACAATGCAAAGGTTGAGACTGGCCTGCGGTAGCAATAGTCAATACATCAGGCGCCAGCAGCATGCACTAGAATAAAAGAAATGAAACCTGAGTACAATGAAAGGTCATGCAAGATTCACCACAAGCTGGGAATATTCCAGAACATATCCCCCTTCACTCACGAGCACAGGGTCAGCAAACAAACTGTGACGAGTGAGTACTACTACGGTACTGTATGATGAAAGAAAAACTTCATAGGTTGAGAGAGAGAGAGAGAGAGTACTGTCACAGGGCTGCCTGTAGCACTTCAGATACACAAGGCACAAACTACTCGGTGTCCAGAATAGGTACTAGATGGTGGATAGACCGTCGGTAGATCTTGTCGCCGATCTTAATATCCACTACTCGGACGAGCTTGTCTGCACCAGGATGCACTGCTGTGACTCTACCCATGGGCCATGTTCCACGGGGAGTGTTTGATGTAAGACACAGCATGATGTCACCTACGGCTACATTGCGACCTTGACGTTGCCACTTACGACGGACATTCAACAAGGGAACATACTCATCTCGCCACCTGTTCCACACGTCTGCTACAAGCCGCTGAACATACAACCAACGTTTGCGTGGGTCTCTGCTGGGGTGCTCGTCTGCTTTCACTTCCAGAGCCATTGGTGGGTCGAGTCGTCCGACGAGGAAATGTGCTGGTGTTAGAGGCTGCAAATCAGCTGCATCGGCACTTACAACTGTCAGCGGGCGCGAGTTCATCATGCCCTCAACCTGGCACATGGCAGTCACTAACTCTTCATCTGTGACGTCCGCTTTCCCAAGTACTGCTGTGAGTCCGCGCTTAGCCGTCTTGATGAGGGATTCGAATACGCCGCCGAAATGTGGTGCTCTAGGTGGGTTGAAGCGCCATCGCACGCCATCACTGACCAGTCGCTTCTCGATCTTCTCCTTGTCCATGGCCCGGACGGCCTCACGGAGTTCTTGCTCCGCGGCAGTGAAGTTGGTCCCGTTGTCGCTGACCATTTCAAGCGGGACACCACGGCGCTTTGTGAATCTCTCAAATGCTAACAGGAATGACTCAGTGGAGAGGCCATAGGATACCTCTAGGTGACAGGCACGAGTCTCAAGGCATGTGAACAGGCACAGGTACCGCTTAGCCTGCGTCTTACCTCGGCCCTGCTTGGTCAGGAAGGGACCCGCGTAATCAACTCCTGTACGGCTGAACGGTTTCAACGAGCCTGCAACTCGGAAGTCTGGAATCTGGCCCATCATCTGGGATGCTGGCTCCGCACGGTTCTTACGGCAAGTGACGCAGTTGCTTCGAACGGCCTTGACTGTTGATGTTCCGTGAACAATCCAGTAGCGTTGTCGCAGATTGGCCAGAAGATGCTGTGGCCCAACTGCATGGAAGCACCGATGATCTTCCTGTTCGATTATCAGCTGGGTTACTCGGTGCTTTGCTGGTAGGATGACTGGGTGGCGTACGCCACTTGGCATGTTCTTTGTAGCTTGCAATCGACCTCCTACCGTCATCAGGGGTGACTCTGTTGCACTATCGAACTGGGGACAGAGAGGTGCCAGAGGGTCCGATTTCAACATCGGTTGCCTAGACTGTAGACGATGGTATGCTGTACCATGGCAATCCTTCTGGGCAGTTGCAATCCAGTGCCGCTCTGCTACTGATACTTCGTCAGTGCTGAGAACTGGAACACTGATGGAGCGGGTGCCGCCAAGCTGTACTGGCACTCTCACTGGCGTGCTGGACTGGCTGTCCGATGCGGCATCCCCCTTCGTGGACTTGCTGTCACTGACTGCCTGCCGACAGTTTGCCACAAATCGCTTGCACCATGCTGTCACGCGTACCAGTCGCGACCATGTGCTAAAGCGACCCAGGA